TTGGGGCTCAGATACAAGGCTTCCCAGAATAGTCTTTATTGTTGTCGTTTCCATCACAAATCTCAATTTCTAACACCTGGATTCTTTCTTTTCATTAGAAACATTATCCGTTGTTGCCACTGAGTTGGAACTAAGGGATTTCTTGAATGTCCTGCCGGAAGATGGAACAGTAGCATTCTTCCTACCATATCTCCTTTATAGCAGTAGAAAAAAATCCATGACTTGAATACAACAGCAAAGTATTATGTATGGGGGGAAAAAAATGCCACCGAAGTATGGAGAACCCAGCAGGAAATGAAGCAATCAAATGGATGGGTCTCAAGTAGAGAAATTGCAAATAAAGGACTGTATGGACTCAATTTTCCTACTAAATATATATATTCCAGACACTTGCAGGATGTAAGTGGTAATACTAATCTCTAATTTTTTAGTGACTTAAACCAGTTAAGTTTGTAGCATGAAAGAGTTTTAGGAAATAGGAATACTGTAAAGAAGCCGTATTTCAGTAATGCCAGAGGATTAATTTTTATGGACAGAACTGTTACCATCTTGAACTCACAGCTGGAAGCAAGACAATCTTTTTTAGCCTCAGGAATGCATAAAGGAAACTTTTTTTTAACAACAATATTGAAAATTCCTTGTTTTCCAGAGCTTCATTGTTTTCCATCATTTTCTGAGACAGATTGTAGAAAAGGAGGAAACCCTATGCAGGCCTCAGATTTCCGGACTACTATTTTGCTAATTCTCTTACAAGTTGTGAAGGAAAATATAAAGTTTTGTGGCCATCTAAGTTTGCCAGCCTCTTTTCTTTGAGAAATGGGAGATAGCTCTTTAATTTGAGTGTCAATTAAAGAGCTTATGAAGCCTCCAGCCATCTGATCTGGCTGGTCACATGTGGTTTGTTGATATGTTTTCATTGAAGGCTTTTATTTCACTGAAATATTCTATTGTCTTGCCAGACAGAATCCATGTAAAATAAATAAGTACTGTATAAATAAGTGTGTCTTCTTTCCTAGCATCTCTTTATAAAGTGAAAAGGTGATGATCTTTCAGATTCACATATCCTGACTTGCTTTTGAGATAACCAGTTTGAAAATGTCCTACTCATGAACGCTTCACCTCCTTCATGGCTGCTCTAAGGAAGCCCCTCTTCTTTCCTCATAATTCAGTCTTGGTCCCTCCCTGTTTATCCTACAGTCTAAGTTTATAGGATTATGGGAGATACTGCCTGCTATTGCAAGATCATAGGGTGGTATCAGGGTACAGAATCAGGAGACCTAGGTCCTATTCCTGTCTCCATCACTTACTAGCTCCGTAGGTCAGGCAAATCCAAATCATTAAACCTCTGACAGCCTCAGTTTCCTCAAATAAAAAATGTGGATGATAATAGCACTTGTCTCCCGTGGTGGTTGTGAGGATCAAATGAGATATTTATAAAGCACTTAGCACAGTGCCTGGCACTTACTGTATGCTTAATAAACTCTTTTCCACCTTTCTTCCTTCGGCACCCCTTCGGAAGGGGCATTGCTGTTTGTGTATGCCCTAAGACTTCAGTGGAGAAAATGGCTAGACTTCCCTGGTAAGATCGTTTCTTGTTTTTGCTCTTCTCCAATCCTGGCTGCTTTTGTGACCCCATCTTAGATGTGCAGAATGCTATCTGGCCATGGCTTTGCTCACTCCACACCAAGAGGTCCAGTCAGATCAGTAAGACCAGTAAGAAGTATATGATAGAGACCTAGCAGAGTTCTCATAGTAAGGCAGAGTCAAGAATGTAAGCTGAGTAATGATTACTGCCATTTTGGGATGAAAATCCAAGAAACATTTTGAGTACTAATGAATATAATTTGCTGAACCCTCTAAAATGATGTGTAGCATTGCCTATGTGGTAATTATAACCCATTTTGCCTCCCCATCTTATCTACAAATTTCTAATTCCATCATTTCCATTAGATTTAATGCACTATTAATCATTTATAATCATCTTTTGACCTATCCAAAAAATGTCACTTCTCAAAAAATGCACAAGGCCTTGTTGGTGGTTGGGTTTTTGAAAATTTTTTTAATGCACATAAATATGCCAAGTCCACATTTCTATTCTGTATTTTAAATTCTGTAGAGCTGCTATTGCAATTTTAGCATCATTTGATTTCCTTCAGCCAGACTTTGTCTCTATAGGAAAGAAAGTTCAAAGAATATGATTAAAGTATTCCAAATTTACTCTACATTTGAAATGTAACGTTAGATCATGAGGTTTCCAAATGAATGTATTCAAACATGGTAATTTTTTAAAAGGTTTAAAGGCTCTTTTTTTCAGTCCAGCCCTCATGAAATCCTTTAAGAGAAAAAAAGTTTTCCATATTGTTTCTTTGCTCGTCATACGTTTTTGTTTTGCTTTTTTTTTTTTAAACCATAACAACAGCTATTTTCTGGAGTTATAAAGAAATGGTGTATTTATTACTTTCAGTAAGCTATCTCTTGATGATTCAGTACTACGCTTTTAAAAGTGCTGCTTTGGAGGGGCCAGAGCCAAGATGGTAGAGTGAAGCCAACATTTTTGCCAAGCACACCTTCTCTAAAACAGCTTAAAAGTGCTGTGTTGGGCACTAAGAATTGCATAGAAATGCAGAAGATGTAGGTAGCCCTCTGTATGTGATGGGAGATAAAACAGAGGAAATGCATAAATATCTCAAAATCCAAAGGTCACATTTTCTCTTCCTTATCCTATTGCTTCCCCTTCCCCATCCTCCCCTTCCTCCTGCCCCTATCCACATCCCCCCCCTGTAAGAGCTAGTTTGTTTTCATTTTTCCTGATGAGTATCTTATGTATTTCTAGGAAGTTATACAATACTCTGAAAATAAGTAAAGTTCTAAAAAAGAAACTTTGAAAACAAATTTTTTTTAAACAATAGAAATTAAAAATACTTTTAGTGACTGGGGAGCTAAAATGTTTCAATGTAAGGCAGGGCACTCAATGTTGTTTTATAAGGATTCTTGTTCCTTGGTGGAAGAACATCTGTTTTCTGACTCAATCACCGAATGAGCTCTAAATCTGGAAGGGACCTTCTCAGAGATGATCTAGAATGACCCTCTTATTTTACAAATAGAGAAACTAAGGCCCAAAGAGAGTATGTGATACTCAAGCTATGGTTCAGTGACTCTTAGGTCAACATTCTTTAATTACACCTTACCATCTTTGCATGTTTCATTATACCTTTGGCTGTTTGGTTGTGTTTACCTGTCCTAGTAGACCTAAATCTTTACTGATAATGAGAATTAACAAGATTGCCCAGAAGCATTGTATTGCATGTACCAAAACTCTAACTATAACAAAAGTCAGACTATTCAGTTTGACTTCAGTTTTCCTTTTGAATCAAAGTCAAAAGACTTTCTTTTCAACACTCCCTTTGCTTTGAAGGCTTGGAGAGTTCTATTGTCTGGTTAGGTCATGCTCCCTTCTCCCACCCTGCTTTGAGCTCTTCCTTTATCCCTGTTCTTCCATAATTCTCTGTAACCCTACAATAACCTTCCTCTTGTCCACCAGCAGCTCATTTCCCCTCTGACCTTCTAGATCTGTATACAAAGAAATGCCTTAACATAGATTGCTAGGATGTGACTCTTCTAGAACTCAGAATGTATCCTTTCCAGCCACTTTTTTCTCAGTCAAGCCAGACTTCTCGTAACCCTGTTGGTAGAGGACTGTGCTGGCCCTGCTTTTCTCAACTACAGCTGTGTCCAGTGGACTTCCTGGCCCAGAAGTGAGGTTGCTACACCCACGCACAGTAAAACCAAGATTTTTTCTGTTTGAGGCATTTATGTTTCCAGTAATGCTAAGCAAAATCTTCCTGTAACAACATGCCCAAGGGAGAAGTTTTGGTGTCACTGCTGGTCAAAATTGTCAGTGGAGGTTATACAGACTTAGGAAGTCAGATTATTGTCACCTAGCTCTCTAGGTGACAATTTTTCAGTGCTCTTTAACTCTTAAAGGGTACGAAAGGGTTTGTGTTCATATTTTCTCCTTCTGTATGTATGGTCTCTTCCTGCCATCCCTTAATTTTAAGGAGTAAATGCAAAGATTTTTTTCCCCTTTGCATAATCCCTACCTGATGAGTTTGTGTTGTCAATAGGTCCAAGAATACTAGTACTTGCAATCTCAAGGTAAGAATTTTATATTGAGATGTTTAGCCATTTGCATTTTTTAGAGTGTTGGTATTTATTGTTTTTTGTATACATGTCTATGGGGAGAGAAAGGGGGAAGGTCATTCCTTACCTCCCAAGGGTTTTGCAACACTGGTGCTCCATGCTACTGCTAACCAGAAAAGAGGAGCCTAGCTGGGCCTGCTAGAGTCAGTGCTTGGAGTTTGAGTCATGGTGGGGCTCTCTTCGAAGGGGTAATTGTGTGTGTATGGTTATTATTATTCTTACACTTTTTTAGAGAGAAGATTGAGAAAAGAAAAGGGAATGGTGTGGTGTTCTCACTCTATATTTAGTCCGGATCTGTGGGGTGGAGCACCCCCAGTGTGGAAATGGCCCTCCACTTATGCAGATAGATTTGCCTGGAGTACTGAGAGGTTAAATGGCTGGATTCTCACAGCCAGCATGTAAGCAGGGGTAAGAACTGAACCAGGCAACACATCACATGCCTCTGGTGAGAGCGGTATCACCATGTAATTGTATATACGTATTCCTTTCCCACTCTCTTCTTTCCTTCCCATCACCACTTAGCAGTTAATATCTGTGATTAGCACTTAACTAAAATGGAGCTACCTTTTCCCCATAGGATAAAAGTTCTAGGGAACCTCAAAGACTATCTAGTCCAACCCATTCATTTTATAAATGATGAAACCAAGGCCGGATTGGCTAAGTGACCAAGCATTAGACGTGGTAAGATTTGAACCCAACCCCTCTGACAGTTCTTTTAACACTATAACACAACTTTGTTCTTAACTACATCACTGTGGTCAAAATGGCACCTAATAGCTCAACTCATTAGCTATCATTACCTTCATTTTTAAGGACAGTGTAGGTAGTTTCCATTCCAGCATGAATGTGGTCAGCCACATGACAGTGAAGCAGCCAAGTTCCAGGCACATTTGGACGCATTTCTATCGTTTGGAAAGTACCAGGGAAGAGGTCAAAGACATCTGAGCGATAAACTCCTCCAAGCTTTATTAGAAAGGGAAAAATGAAAACACAATACGGCTTTACCTACGAGAGAATTTGGCATCCAGTAAAGTTGCTGAAACCCATCTTAGTGACTAGCTGTGTGACATTAATTTTAGCAGGCACAGTAAAAAACGGACAGATTCGAATCGGTTGTGATCTGCATTTGTAGGAGGAAGTATTGATGAGATCTCAGATAATCAAGAAGCATTTTTTAAGAGAAACAGTTTCCACCCTCTTGGAACTTATGTTCTTCCGGGGCGAAACAACAGTCATATAGACAATTTCAAAGTGGTTCATCATCAAAGCCTTTGGGTACATGTATAGAAATAGCTTCTAACCCGAGTATAAAGATATGCTTTCTAATGTATAGAAGGAGTAGAATATAATGATGGATAATGGAATCCAGTGCTACCTACTGTCCTCTCTTCACTCCTTATGTTTCCTTAACCCATACCCTAAAGGGTCAGGGTGGTGCTAGTACCATCTGAACCCACAATTTTGTTTGCCCATGCTCCTCTGCTGACCCAAGCCACCATATGCCATTTGAAAACGTATACTGGGAGAAAGAGTGCCTAGATTGGGGCAAGGAGATAAAACAGGCAGAGAACGAGGTTCCAAATGGAGTTGGTGTATGTAAGTGGGGTCGGAGTTGGAAACAGAGTGATTGTAGGTGTTTCAGGGAATGGTTCAAATAAATTCAGAGGAGGTGTTGACCATTTTTTAAGATTAGGTCAGGGCTTAGAAGTGGGAGTGGGGTCGAGAATAATAGCTGCTGAGACAGAGACCAAGGTTTTGGCTGACACAATCTGGTAGTTTTCCATTCTGGAAGCAGCTCTTGGAATAGAGAGCGAGGCTGCCAAGAGGGCGTAATGGGGAAATGAGTGCTGAAATACAATCACTTCATTTACTGAAGTGTGTGATCTGTTATACATTTTCTTCATGCCACAGTGGCAATTGCACTCAAAATGTGGATTATACAGAAGATGCCAATGAGTAGAACTACACAAAAATCCATTAGAAAGATAGATAGATAGATAGATAGATAGATAGATAGATAGATAGATGGATGGATAGATAGTGTATAGTGTGTGTGTGTGTGTGTGTATATATATATATACACATGTGTGTAGTGTATATAGTTTAATATATCTATGTATTATGTACCTAAGTGGGTATATATGTGTGTGTATATCTACATATATGTATATTTTCATATATATATATATATATATATATATATATATATATATATATATATATATATATATATATATACAAGAAAATTCCAAAGCAGTTTCACTTTGTCAATATTTGAGTCTAAAGTTTTTTTCAGGGAAAAGATACACTTAAAAACTGTATTTAAAGAGAATGACAGATTTATTGCAGGGTGGAAATGGGATTTTTATTAAAAGGCAGAACAGGAAAATTTTAGACCACCTTTGGTTTCCAAAAGAATAAGTAAGTAGAACTGGAATGTATTTAACCTTCTGTTGCTCACTACTTTTAAACAACCAACCTGAAAATACCGAGCAAGCCTTGTTATTAACCCCTTATATTGGGATTCCCAGATTACTGGTGAATCCCAAAGTGCCCCAGAGAGACGAAAGCTTGAGGGAGCAACTGAAAAGTAAATAAAAGTTAATGTTTTCTGTAAAGGCTATGATAAATTAAGGTAAGGAAAAAAAAAAAAAGAAGAAATAGACTTAGCCTTTGAGTGATTTGAAAGGAAATAGAGAAAAAATTACATCTTGAGCCCTTCAGAAAATTACAGTCTCCATCAGACAATTTTTTTGGCAATATAGTTTCTATTATCTCTAATTAATATTCCTGTTAACTCCAATTAATGTAGTTTTAATAAAAGCAGATACTTTAAATCAAGAAATTATTATACTACAAATCAAAGATCTTTCTAAGGCAAATCATTGTTAATTTGACAATGAGGCAAATTTTATTATAGATCTAAAAGGATAATAATCTGCTTTTCTATCAAAGAGTTAGTGAAAATGGCATAAAGTCATTAGGGAAGGCTATATCAGTCTTTTCAAACATCAAAGAATCTGTAAAAGGTGGTTTAATTTATATTTAATTGAAACAATATGGTGCTCACAATTACATCCCAACAATTGCAGTCTCATCATCACTTTTCAACATGAGTTAATTTATTTTTTAAATTAAAGAATAAGCTAATTGTTAACAGTAGGCCCTGAAATTTGAGATCCGACAGTGAAATGGAGATTTTTAAATTGTTAACATTAGTGATTAGTAGATTGCCATACTTGATTTTATTGAATCCAAAGTTAAATTAGTGTGATAAGAATTTCTGTGTGTTTAAAATCATTAGAAAATTAACTTCTGTTTGATGAGAGACAAACTTAAAACTTATAATTACTTAGATGCAATGATTTAATAACATGTAGTATTGGAAAATATCAGAAACTTTGTGAAAAAGCAAGAGGCAATTAGGAGCTAAGACTATTCACAGTCAAGGAAACAGGGCTTAGAAGTTTCTTTACACATTTAAGTTCCTACACTAAAATGAAAGTTGCCTTTATATGATGTCATTAAGCTACAAACAGAGAATAGGAAACAGTTAAAATAGGAAGAAAATTATAGGTTGTCATAATAATTTGTTGTGAGAGGAGGAGTAGAGACCTTCTGAGGTACCAATATCTGTGAGGCTTCTCTACCAAGTAAACTCCTTTGTGAAAGAGGTGGATGAATGCTTCTCTAGAATCAAAAAGGTTACCTTTGAGAAGGAGGTAGATGATTTTCTTCTCCAAAGTCATTCTGCTTGCCGAAATCTGTGACACTCTACAATAAGGGACCCTAAACTTCCTGAGTGAGTTGTATTTGGGTTTATTTGATTATAAAAACTATGAGATTATGACCAATTCTAATTGACCAAAGAAATTGGAATGAACTATGTATTTGTAAGCCTTTAAGAACACACACACACAAATGGGTGTGTATAACAAATGTGATAATAGTGCAATAAATTGTTTTGTATAATTAAAAAAAACTTGTATTAAATTGTGAAGGAAAATTCATAGAATGAAGATTAAGTCTGTAGACAGTCTTGGATATAAGAAAGAAAGTTTAAGCAAGATGCGATGAGAGAATAATAGGTAGAGAGTTAAAGGAAAGCTGGATTCTGTGTGCCCTGATATAACATGAATGGAGGATTTGAAAGGAAAGAGTTTGGGAGTTTTGAAAAAGGAGATTTAAGAAAAGGTTTTTATCCCACTGAAATAAAAAAAAAAGATTTAAGGAATTTAGAGAAATGCATCTTTGACAAGTACTGCCTGTCTGCCCTCTTCAATCAATATAAGGTTACAAAAGAAACTTCAGGAAACTTTGAAGGGGTAAGTGAAAGCTTAACAAAAACATATTAAGTAACTGATTGATGAAGAAAATATTGTTCCTTTGGTCTGGTTTAAATAGTTAAGCTAAAGGCCTTTGCAAAAGAAATTTAGTAAGTAGTTTTTTCCTTCCTCGGTTAAGGGGACACGTACTCTTTATCTTCCCCCTTAAGGCACACTGGTAAGGTTGTTAGGAAAATAAAAGGAATTGATTTGGTTCTTTGGATGATTGACAGAAATAAAGAAATAGTTATGGAAAGCTGGGAGTGCCACCATGATTTCTTTTTTAATGTGAGCTAAATGAAAACAGTAGACCTTTAGGGGAAAATGAGATTTAAATATTGCCATTTGTAATTATAAATCAAGGATTAATTTTGTTGAAATTTGTGTTCTGAAACTAAAATATAATGTGGTCTCATTTACAATGAGATGAAACATTTGCATCTACCTCCCAGGGTTGTTGCAAGAAGCATAAAGTTATGAAATGCTTAACCTAGTTCCTCATGCAGAGGATGAGCATTGCAACTTCAGACCTTATGGAAATTCACCTCAGCCATTTAAAGAGTACTTTAAAAAAATTAGCTAACAAATTTGCTGATGCATTTCAGAAATTAAAATTACAACAGAAAAATCAAAACCTAAAGATTTTAAAGTACTACAGATGGCATGGCTCTGAAACTCTTTATATTAAGCTTCACAAACCAAGAAAAAAGCCTGGCATGTGGTAATCACTACATAAACTATTGTTGAGTATGATTGCTCCATACTAGATTAAGAAGTGAGTAGTATAAAAATGCCATGTATTTAAAATTTAACTTCTCTTTTTTTATCTAGATTCTGTTATGAATTGAACTCTTAAAAGAACATGACAAAAATGTTTGACAACTGTTAAATATTTAAGGGGGAATATTTTGTTTTAAATTAGAAAATAATAATAATGATGACTCTTTCGAAGTTGGGAGAAAAGAGTAGCAAAATCCTCTTAAGAGATCCTTGTCTGTGAAGTTCTTTGGAACTTCCTAATTAGGTTGGGTTACAAGATCTTACCAGCCCTTCTGACAGCATGTTATAAAACTCTGTAGTATTGCAGTCTGAGGAACTAGGACCTCTCCCAATCAAAGTGAAAAAAAGATTGCAAGTTAACTTTAAATAAAGAGTGAGCTTCATTTAAGATCATTTAGAAAATCATGAAATTGTATCTGTAATAATTAGTATGTAGTGAAGCTACATGTATCTGTTGTACATATATGCATAAAGGTCAAGAATGCAATTATTCTTACATGAAAGATCAATAGAATGTCCCAATATTTTTTAAGACACGAGAAAAGTGACAATAACCTAGCCCGAGGCTGTGATTAGTGAAATTTTGCTTTTTAAGGAAAAGTTTCTTGGGACTTTAATTTGCTGCTATTTTAAGTCTTCATTTTAAGTATAAGTGTCTGACCTGTCATACAGCCACTATCCGTTGTTCAAAAGAAATGCCACATGCTCCTACAGTCTGAGAACTGCTATGAGAGGCTGGGCAAGTTGAGGGAATGACTTTGTGAAGGTGAAGGTAGGATTCCCTTGACTTAGTACATTTTCCAACCTATGTATATCTGAGCCTGGCTGTGATACCCTGTGGCTCAAGAGGAGCCTTTCCATAAGAATGATTGTTGACCATGACTCATATCTGAAATCAAACAAAACTAAGGAAAAATATTGATGCTGATCTCTTTTTGTGATCCTTCACATAGCAAATTCCATTGATAAGGGCAAGTATATAATGATGCCTGATTTTTCATTGTAATACACATGAGATAAACCCTAACTTTTAACTGAATAGTGTGTAATATGTATACACTAATTAATAGTAAGTAAATTAGAAGAATATGAAACTTTTCACCTATCAGACTTATGGAGAGGACAAGAATTTATGAATAAACAAGAGATAGCATTGTAAGATATAAAAATTACATTAAATTAAAAAGATTTTGTACAAATAAAACCAATGTAGCCAAGATGGGAAGGAAAGCAGAAAATGGGGGTGGGAGGATTTACAGACAGTTTCTTTGTTACAAGTCTCATATCTCAAATATATAAAGAACTTTGTTAAATTTATAAGAATATGAGTCATTCTCCAATTGATAAATGATCAAAGGATATTAACAGCTAGTTTTTGGATGAAGAGATCAAAACCATATGCAATCATATGAAAAAAATGCTCTAAATCATTATTGATTAGAGAAATGCAAATTAAAACAATTTTGAGATATCTTACACCTATCATATTGGCCAAAATGATCGAAAGGGAAAATGACAAATGAAGGGGATGTAGAAAAATTGGGACACGTACACTGTCAGTGGAATTGTGAATTGATCCAATCATTTTGGAGAGCAATCTGACTATATATACCCTTTCACCCAGCAATACCTCTATTAGGTCTGTTTCTCAAGTGATCAGGGAAAAAGGAAAAGAACCTACATGTTCTAAAATATTTATATCAGCTCTCTTTGTGGTGGGAAATTGAGGGGATGCCCATCAGTTGGGGGATGGCTAAACAAATTGTGATATATGGTTATGATGGAATACTACTAATACTACTAAGAAATGATGAGCAGGTTGATTTTAGAAAAATATGGAAAGACGTATCAAATAATGAAGAGTGAAATGAGCAGAACCAAGACAATGTTATGTATAGTAACAGCAATATTGTTTGAAGAATAACTGTGAATGACTAAGCTATTCTGAGTATTATAAGTACTCAAATCAACTACAAAGGACCTATGAAGGAAGATGCTGGCCTTCTGTAGCATAGGGAGGTAACAGAAGGAAGGAGACTGTTCAGAATTTAAAATGTAACCAAAAAAATACAATTAAATTGAAAAAAAGAAGAAATTAAATTAAAAGGAGAAATTAAATTAAATTGAATTGAATTAAATTCCACAATTTTGAGGGAACAATATACGTGTATGTGCTCTCAAATTGGCTGTCAAATATAAATGACTTTCATGGAATATGCATTGGTCTAGTGGCCTATTTTCTGGTTTTAAAGGCCTAATTTTTTTTCCTTTTATGAGTTTTCATTCTGAAATAAATATTGAAACATATGAAGGGCCCAATTTATGTCAGGCCCTGATGCATTTCTTTTAGGATTGATAGATATAAAAACAGCCAGAGACACATAGAACTTAAATTCTCTGAAGTTTCAGGTGTCAGTTCTTAATTTGATGTTCCATTGTTCACCATCTCAACTAGTTACTGAGCTGTATGAAGATCTATTTTGTGAAAGGGTTATAGCAGAAACACCTAGGAGTCTCTACAAATGACCAGCTCTTCTTAGAAGACCCACCTTCAGATCTACCATTAACTGAGACCTACTTCAGAATGAGACCATAAGAAGTTGTCTCCAGGGACCATATGAATGTGGTCTGAATTCACATCTGAAATTTAACTGGAGAATGAATGGACATTGGGAGGGGGCTACTAGGGGAGAATCATTGTATTACCTGGAAGACATGTAAATTCCCGTGTGCCATTTTATTTGTGAGGCTAGCTTACCGAAGGGGACTGCCCCCAACAAATCTTTGTCAGTGTGCTGGCCATAGGTAGCAAGGCTTTAGTCTGAAGCACTATAGCACTCTCGAATCACGTCTATTCCTGTCTAGCTACCACAACATGCAGATGGAGAAAGCTTGAGAAACTTATCATCTTTTGCTAGGCTGTTTATAACAGTCAACCAGCGCCAGTAATAATCAGGCCTCTCATGGCTGGCCTTGTATAAAATATTGAACCCTGTAATTATTGCTTTCCATTGCCCCATTAAGTAATTTAATTCTAATGGATGCTGATCAAGCCTGATCATATCAATTTGGTTTGTAAGTGGTGATACAATGGAGACATGGCTTCATAGAATCAGATGGGAAATGTCAATTTGGAAATTGATACTCCATTTTATTTTGTATCATTTATTAATGGAGAATTTTAGTAACTCACTGGAATCAAGTAATTATGGATTAGAGTAAAATTTCACTGTATAGGCCTTGGGATAAGAGAGCTTGACTCCTTAGTATCAGAGTGTATGAGATGGGTGGACTTCTGTATAAGAGTTTAACTTCCCCATTTCTCTAGGCTACAGCCTGGACTCAATTTGTCTTACCCTAGAAGGGAAGGGGGTGGGGAAAAGGAGGATGTTAATAAGATATTATGCCTGGTCATAACCCTAGCAACAGACCACTGGTGTAGGGGGGTGCCTTCCACTACACTTTCAAGAGACAACTCTATGTTTTCCCCATTGTCATGGATCCTGGAGGATCCCCTCTTGTAAGTCAAGCCAATTGTAAGGCTGCCTTTTACCTCTGTAAGACCACACCTATCTCTGATATAAATTAATTACAGTCTTAGTTTAGTTTTCATATAGACTTCACATAGACTGTTATCTTTTTAACTGTATAGAAGGCTACTCTGACTGTCAGATGTATCCCCTGCTACTGAGGAACTCGGGATCTCACTTTATTGGCAATTACAAGCCTTGCTAATAAATTGATCATGCTTGGAAATTTGTGCCTCAGTTTCTCATTATTGCAGATTTTTATTGTGACAGTTTTAACTTATGTGTATATGTTTTATCCCTCCAGTATCATCAATCAATCAATCAATCAACACTTATTAGCATCTACTATATTCCTGGAATTATGCTAGATACTGAAGATACAAATACAAAAACAGAACTGTTCCTCCCCTCAAGGAATCTCTATTTTATCATTAACTAAAGTTTAAGATAGAGGCTATCTTGTTAATGTGTTTTGACCACAGTAGGCACTTAATAAATGCTTTTTGAATAATAAATGAATGAATGTATGGAAGGGCTTCATCAGTGCTTTCCACCGGGGCAGATAGTTGTAGAGTGGATTGATTGTTAGAAGAGAAGCTTCTATATCTGTTAAAATGCTCGATATTCTTTAAAAATAACACTGGTGGTTTGAGGGACTCAAATTATCACTTCTTTTTCTGAATCTCTCAAAAGAACTGGGTTGTCTAGTTGCAGAAAATTCTAAAGTAGAGAAAACATACCTTATACTCAAAGCTGTGTCCATGGAAATGCACACTATGCAGGTCAATTTCATTTCCCATGGCCAAGAGATACCAGTTGACTTCATCTCCAGTATGCATTGTCAGGCCATGTAAATTTCCAAACATTCGTCCATTAATTGCTAAAAAATAAAAAAAATAAATAGTCCATTTAAAAAGAATTTCTTTCATCTTGTTTCTAACAGAAAGTATTTTGGATGTTTCATAAAAAATACAGGTGCAGAATAAATGTGTGGAATGCTTAACAAGTAATTAAGTCTTTGTACATAGTAAGTGCTTAATAAATTAATTGATTTAGTTCAAATGAGGGCCGTTGATACTTTTGAGAGGTAGTAAGAAAGGCAAGGTCAAAAGCAAGCAATCCCTTTCTAGAAGGTAAACTCAACTCTACTCTAAATTTTGTGAAAAGTGCCATTAAATTTTTTTTTCATTTTTCTTTGTTTTGGATAGGTTCAAGGAAATGATTCTAAATAGGGAATATTACCAAGAATGAGATATATAAAACTGGAAAAAGTCTTAGAAGCAATTGAGTTAATTCTCTTTATTTTACAGTTGGGGAAACTGACATAAAAATCAGTTAAATGATTTGCCAAGAGTCACAGAGCTAGTAAGTGTCTGAGGCAGGATTTGACCCAGGTCATTCTGACCCCAAGTCTAGTGCTCTAATGGAATTCCAATCAGTGGCAAGGGTAGAGGTGGATAAAGCTCATGAAGAGAGTTAAATGCAAGTTAAAATCCATAGGCCTTAAACTGATAGTGTAAGGGAAAAAAAGGAAAAGAGGAAAATGTATAGATTTTTTAAATGGCATATTAGATACTACCATGCATTTTGTTGCTTTCTATAAAATCTTCATCTTCCTTGTTTACTTTTTCTGGGTCAGCAGAGTAAATTTGGATATTTTCATCTAAATACCAAGATTCATTTTCATCAAAAACTAAAAATAGGAGAGAAAACTGGAGTTTCTTTATGGCTCCAAATACAGGTTTTTGATGTCGGCGGCAAATAATCAGAGGACCAATTAATCCACTGTAGAGATCCTGAAAACACAGACCAAGGGATAACTTAGTGACTTTCAATCCATTTGTCACTAAACATTTTATTAAACATTTAGTATATGCTAAGCACAGAAGATGCAAAGACAATAGTTAAAAAAAATAACTCTGTTCTCAAGGAACTGATATCCTTACCAGGGAGATAACATGTAAATAATTGTGTGCGTATGAGATACATACAGAATAAAGGTTTTATCATCTTTGTAGCATAACTACAGAATATTTTGTTTAACCAACAACAATCACCTTAGTAGCTAACCTTCAATAGTGAAGGGTGGCCAGTAGCGGAATGCTAATTTGTAATGGGGAAATTGAGGAAAGTGGTGTGATTGTATATTAGATGGAGCATTGTATTATTGTATTTTATTATATATTAGATAGATTAGATTAGAGTTAGATTAGATAATTAGAGTTAGATTAGTTCCAATGATGGCAGTTGATACTTTTGAGAAGTAGTAAGAAAGACAAGGTCAGAAGTCAAGAAATCCCTTTCTAGAAGGTAAACGCAACTCTATCACAAATTTTGTGGAAAATGCAATGACATCTTTTTTTAATTTTTCTTTGTTTTGGATGGCTTCAAGGAAATGATAATTAGATACATTAGATTAGATTAGATAATGTTATATTATATGTTAGATAGAGTACCAGTCCTTTACTCAGGAAGACCTGGATTTGAATCTTGCTTCATACATTTACTGTGTGACCCTGGATGATAAGAATGGTCAGCATTTATATATTGCTTTAAGATTTACAAAGAAATTTTACAAATGTTATTTCCTATGATTGTGACAATGACTCTGGGAATTTACCAATGGAAATAAACCCCCCAGTTTACAGATGAAGAAACTGAGGTGAACAGAAGTTAAGTGATGTGCCCAAGGTCACACAGCTAACAAATGTCTGAGGAGGGTTTTCAACCCTAGTCTTCCTGTCTCCAGGTCTAGCATTCTGTCCACTGTACTACCTAGTGGTCTCATAAGCCAAATTGATTAAACCTCTCTCTGCCTCATTTTCCTCATCTGTAAAATGACGGCTTCTAACGTCCCTTCCACCTGTAAATCAGTGCTACTGTGATCCTCTCAGAATGGCATCCTATTGGTTGTTTTGCTCCTTTCCACAGGCTAGAATGATCTTCAAACAATGGTGTGTGGTCAGGAGATCACGGCAGCCATAAATTTGATTTTGGCGACCACAAATGTGAATTTGCAAAGCTAATAAGCAGCAGTTTGAAAAAGAGCCTAGTTATCCTAATCTCTCGCACCATTGTTGTGGCCTGAAGGTTCACATTTATTCACAAGAGAGCTCGTTATTAAGAGAGACTTTCGTTACTAAGATGCCTTATTTTCGGCTGTGCATATGAGCTAAGGATGCACTCTTTTTTGTTCTAAGGTATTCTCATGACTATAGGAAATTGCATTTGCTTTTATCACTAATTTTTGGAGTAGAAGCATATTGCCCAAGGTTCAATAAAAACCATAATTAAGTTTCAGGACCCTGCCCTTCCCCCCATCCCCCACCCAGGTGTCTTTACTTGTAGATACCAACTTATCTGAAGTCTTGTGATGGTCATGCCAACAAATAGTAAATACTATTCATTGGTAAGTCAGCTAACTGTGGTCCCTAAAATTGTTTGAAGCTGTGTTTTTGGAAAGAAAAACTGAGATGTGTGATTAATCATTACTCCGGATATTCCCTTGAGCTTATTTTAACTGTATCATGTATCTTGAGCAAGCCTAGAATTGCTATTCTTAAAAAACAATAAGTTCTATTGATTGCTTTTGAAAACCACTGGAGTCATTTCTGGGTATATAATGCCTACTGCTCCTCAATCTTCCTCTTCTCATATGTACACAACATTTTACACTCTTAGTCTCCAACTTCTCTCCCAAAAAGGGCAAGAGGAGAGCATCTTCATCCTTTTGTAATTACTTAGTATTTGACTCCACTTTTAGCAATCATTTCATTTATATTATTGTAGTCATTTGGTATCTCTAGTGCTTAGCACAGTGCCTGGTACACAGCAGGTGCTTCATAAATGCTAATTCACTTGACTTCTCTATTGTTTTTTTGCTTTCCCTTGCTTCACACTCTCAGTTCTTCCAAGTCTTCCCATGTTTCTCTGAATTTCTCCTTTGTCCTTTCTTACAGTACAATACTACTCCGTGTACACTCACATACCACACATTGTTCCGCTGATGGGCACCTATCTATTTGTTTCCAGTTTGTTGGTGGCCCCCACTCTCCACCCCCAAAATGCTACTCTGACTGTTTGGTTGTGAGGTTTTTATGTCCTTGGCTTCCTTTGGGGCATTTTCCCAGGAGTGGGACGACTGGGTCAAAGGGCTGTAATTGTTATTTATATAGTACAGTGGAATCATCTGTGGCCTTGAATGTTCCTCTGAAAGGCTGCGATTGTTTGCATTTGCTATGATGCTGGTCTTGTGGCAGATCTGTGAGCTTGTTTATCCCAGTTCTGGAGTTTCGTACAGGTTGCTAGTACGTAGTTTCCTTTGCTGCCTACTCTTTCGACTTGATGCTTATTTTAAAAAGTATCTTAAAATGCAGTTTTACGTATTTTATGCCAACTTAAAAAGAAAATTAAAAATTTGATTCATTTTTATTTTCTTATTTGTGTTGCCAATATCAGGAATCATCATGTGCTTAACTCTTCCTTTAATAAAATATCAAAGCAAAATGAATTGACAAGCAGCCTGTGTTCCTGGGAAGTTAGCCTGGTCCTGGGGCATGGAAAAAGGTTGATCTCTTTTTCCTTCAATTGTATATCTATTTTAAGAAGATGTCAGGAAAGCAGAAATAGGATACAGATGAAACATACCTTCACTTGATCTACGGTTGAATAGTAAGCCCAGGGAATGCAAGGGGAATCTTCTATTCCAGCACCAGATCTTAGAGGGATTTCCCAGGTATAAGTTTGCATCTCACCTGAGTTAAGTGAGCATATGGATATAGAGTTAGATTGGTTGTATTAGTCCAGCTTTGTGATCCCAGCTTAGAAGTTTTTCTACACTGCTTTGATAACTCAGTGACTTGGTAAAAAAAACATTAATCTGATTAGGTTAACTCCCTCTCCCAAAGCAATAACAACAAAAGGACCCCTGGTACATCTCAAATGGGATATAAATCATATTGTAGTTAGTTTATATAGATATAGATATATACATATAGATATAGATATATACATATAGATATATACATATACATACACACACACACACACACACACACACACATATATGGGTATAGCTATAGGTGGGCAGCTAGGTGACACAGTGGATAGAGCACTGGGCCTGGAGTTGGGAAGACCTGAGTTCAAATGTGGCCTCAGGCACTAGCTGTGTGACCCTGGGCAAGTCACTTAAGCCTGTTTGCCTCAGTTTCCTCATCTGTTAAATGAGCTGGAGAAGGAAATGGCAAACCACTCCAGTATCTTTGCCAAGAAAACCCCAAATAGGGTTGCAAAGAGTCAGATATGACTGAAACAAATGAACAACAGCTACCCCCTTAAGTATTCAGAATCAACTGGTTGTTATACCTACACTGTCCTGTAGAATCAGGAAGATGGCAGCCCCATTTCCTCTGGTTTGCAAAGAGATATTCTCTTACCTTGGATAATAATAACACACACTTATATAGCCTTTACAGATGGCAAAGCACCTTTCTCTTGTGAGATAAGAAGGGCAAGTATAATTCCCATTTGAGAGATGGGAAAACTGAGGCACCAAATAACTTCCTTAGGATCACATGCATGTCAGAATCTTGGATTTGTCCCCCTCTCCCCACCCCAGCCCCACTTCTTGACTTGAACGCTAATCTACTTTTCAGTAGACCTCTTGGCCTCTCATAATAACTAACACTGAAGTTTTATGCCCCGTTTTCCTTACAGCAACCTTGTGAACTAAAGGATGGAATTATTATTCCCCCTTTGGCTTACTACCCATCATGTCACTTTGGATAGGTCAATACCCCATTATGGGTTTTTGTTTCCTCGACTATAAAGTGAAGGCTTTGAATGAGATGGCTTTTGAAGTCCCTTCTGGTCCTAGAGCTCTGAACCCATGAACTTCCTTTTTCTGATGTTCAGTTTCCTCAGCTATAGAATGAGAGGGGTTGGACCTTTTTAACTGGCCCTTCCAGATCTAAGTCTATCAGCCTTTGGTCCTATTAGACCCAGGCACAAAGTAGTTTAACAGAAATGGAGTTTCTCTTCTTTTTCTTTTTTTTCTTCCTATGTCAAGTGGGTTTTTCCTTTTCCTGACTAGCATTCTCCTCTTCTTCTCACACTTCCTAATTTTTATCAGCTCTCCAAAAGCTAAGTTATTTTTCCTCTCCAATGAGCTTCAGTTCTGCTTTCCACCTCCATGTTTCCTCCACTCATGATCTCCAGAAGGCTTTTCCCTGTGGCCCCAGCTGCTAGCGGCATCCTCTTGGAAATAACCTTCCATTACTCTGTATATAGTCATTATGTACAGAGTATGAATATATCTAATGAGTAATGAGTGTATGTACTCATTATTTACATGTTGTTCAAGATGTGAACTCCCAGAGGGCAGAAGCTGATTTTGTCTTTCTTAGTGGCTAACACAGGCCTTTACTAAATGGTTGCTGACTGAGCTCTGTATTTAACCATTTGGACACCAACCTTTCACACCTTCCCCTCATCCCCACGCAATACTATAAATAAATGTCAGATTTCCCTACTACCTTACTCATGCCCTTCTACCCTGCACTCCCTAAATTCATTCCAGTCCAACCCCTTTCTACCACGTTCCATGGAGTCTTGTTCCCTCCAACTCCTCACTCTGATGGAAATCCAAATTATATGACCTATTCCACTGCCCCCTTTTATGAAAATTCCCCTCTTAATGCATTTCATCGCTGATAGAGATGAGAGATACACCTTAATTCCCCATGCTACTATCCTTCTCTTTTTCCTCATCATTTGTAGTCTATACCAAACGTTCAAGGTTATTGCTACTGTTGTTTGCCACTTACTAAGACTCATTGTCATCAACCAAGTCTATTGTGGAACCTTCCTGAGTGACCCCAAGATTCAGGGATGACTGATGACCAGATCACTTAATCTCATTATGAAATATAAGCTCTTTAGGAGTAGGGATTGTTTCATTCTTTGTATTTTTACCCTATCCTCAATGTACAGTGCCTGGCACATAGTAGGAACTTAATAAATGTTTTTTGATTGATTGATGAGTCTTTGATATATTTATTTTGGCTTAGGCAAAAGTGATTTGCCCAGGGTCACACAGCTAGTAAGTATCAAATGTCTGAGACTGGATTTGAACTCAGGTCTTCCTGACTCCAAGGCCAGAGCTCTATCTAGCACTTCTCCACCCAGCTGCCCCGAGTCTTTGATATTCTTAACTCTGACCTCTTCTCCTCCACTTCAGCTCATCAAAGCACTCCCTGGACCTTGATGTCCCCCAGTCTCTTTTTCTGTCACCTCTGTCACTCCCCTACAGTCCTTGGTACTGTTCTTCACCCAGATCTCCTCTTTAATTACCTCATTCCTCTTATGTCACCTGGACCATTAGCAGCTCGCTTCTGGCTATCTCTGATTCTTTATGTCTCCTGACTTCTATCATTATTAATGCTACCTCATTGTCCTCATATTCAGCCTTCATTTTTGAAGAAGACCTATGGCATCACAGGTGATAACTTGACTTGCTCATGAATGGGATTTAAGTGAGACAGAGTTGTACAAAGTCATTGGCCTCCCTCTCCTCTCCAGAGTCACCTAAGTCCGGTAAAAGACAAAGGTCAAGATGACTGATGATGGCCCGGGATGCAGTAGATGATCTTGCTGTCCTCAATGCCTGACCACGCTCTGAGTGCTCCACAGCACCTGCTTCAGCTGCCTTCATGGCTACTGAGACAAATTGTTCTCATCCACCTGTTCCACTGGGAAAGGTTTCACATTCTTGGGGCAGACATCCCCTTAACTCAGTGACAAATTTGAGGCCTACTGGTCACCCTCAACCTGGTTTAGCCCTTCTGCTGAGACAGTTTACCAGGATGTGGTTGCTGCGCATGCTACAGCTTCTCGGAGCCACAGGTGAGAGGTGGGTGAAGGTAGACACCCAAGGTGGATAAGCAACCCTGAAAGTGGCTGAGCAAGCCCTCTTGCCACAGGTGCCAGTCCTCCCTGAACATCCTGACCTCTGTCATTAGCTGCATCATCATCCTCATACTAGCCTAGATTCCTGCTCCATTCACTTTCCATAATCCTGTGGTAAGCTACTTAGCCCGCTTTTAGCCTCACTTTCCTCATCTGTAAATGGGGATAATAATAACAACTCCCTTTCAGAGTTGTTGTGAGGATTGGAGATAACACAAGTAAAGTGCTTTCTAAAACTGAAAGTGCCATATAGATACTGATTACAATAATAATAATCCCCATTTCACTAATTCTTCAACCTAAATTCATTAAAGATGTGATCCTGCTCATCTTTCCTAAAAACCTACTATCATCCAACCATCAATTCTCCTTAAGTTTCATTTATAAAGGAAGTTCTAAGGAACTTCTTATATTATTGTATCATATTACAAAGATAATAATTATATTATTATAATATGTTATATATCATAATTACATTGTATATTTCATTACATTATCATACTTCTCGTATTTATATTATAAAATGAATTTTCCCCCAAATGATTACCTGGTTTTGTTGGAACTACCACAGAATTAGAGGTTTTTACCCCATGGGCATGTATTGAGTAAGGTCTTGAAGCCATATTTTTAAAGACAATTATAACTTTGCCACCAACATATCCAAAAAGTTGTGGACCTAGTGGGAGGAAAAAGAATGAAAAATTATTGAGGAAATTAAAAGGCACAGAGTACATTGAAATGGTCATAGTGATAAAATACTTTCTTTGATGTGTAGAACATGAATTCTTCCTACTTGGGAGACAATTTAGAACCCAAGCAGAATTAGCACTGGTCAGAAAATGGCTTTGTCCAGAAATGGAGATTCTAATTGACTTCTTCTGATTCAAAGTTCTGGAAGACCTTCTGAAGACCTTATGGACCTCTATAGGTACATGATCTGATCATGGATCATTTCCTTGTAGGCTCATATCAGATGCCCCCAGCTCATATTAGGAGCCTCCCAAGAATCACTCTCCAGTTCCCTGTCTCTGCTCTGAGCCCATTTCCCCAGAGCTTAAGTGAAATGTGGGGGACACCAGAAATCTCTTTCTTCCTTGGCCCCTCTTCTCTCCTGGGAGAAATCTGTGTGGTACCTTTCACCCTTTTTTGCTTGAAACTTTAGTATATTAAAAAAAAATAAGTCAAGGATAGCTGAGCCTACAGGAAACCCAGGAAGCAGGAAATAGGTAATGGATATTGCTGTCCTCCATAGTCAACACCTCTCCTCCATTGACTAGTTTTCAAGAGACCCAAAGACTTGGATTCTCTCTGTGTTTGCAGAGTCCCTTCAGCAATCCCCTAAAATCCAAAGATAACTTCTCACTGCCTGCCATAGTGATACACATTTTGTTTCATCTTTCTATATTGAATTAATGTCCCAATTATCCATATATACATTTCTTCTTGGCCATCTGTATATTTCTTCTGAGAGTCAGCTTTGGGTCTTTGAAAAACAGTTAATAAATAGGTAGGTCCTTCTAGTGTTTCAAGAGATGGTTTTTTTTGGTGGGGGGAGGTGTTGAGGCTGGAGGGTGAGGATAGATGTTAATCATGGCTAGCATTTGGGTAGGTTGGAAAAGCACTTTATACTTGTTATCTCATTTGATTCTCAAGACAACACTGTAAGGTAGATATTCTATTATTATCCCTATCTTACAGATGAGGAAACTGAGGTTAAGTGATTTGTCCAGGGTCACAAAACTAGTAAATGGCCAAGGTGGGATATGAGCCAAGGTCTTCCTAATTTTGGTCTAGTGCTCCATGCATTGTTTCGCCTAGCTCCCTAAGAAGCAAACCTAACTTAGTTGTTAAGAATCAAATTAAAACAGTGACACTAGAAACCATGCCAACAGACTCAGTTCTATCAGTCTGGAGTGAGAGAATTGTAATAGTGTAATGATAAATGGGAGTCAGCTAGATGGCTCAGTGGAGAGAGAGCTAAACCTGCAGTCAAAAAGACCTGAGTTCAAATCTGGCCTCAGATACTTATTAACTGTTTGAGTGTAGACAAGTCACTTAACTTACTGTGTGATTGTAAACGAGTCACTTAACCTATGTTTGCTTAGGAGGTAGCTAGGTGGCTCAGTAGACAGAGTACTGAGCCTGGAGTCAGGAAGACCTGTGTTCAAATCCAGCCTTAGATATTTACTTAGCTGTGTGACCCTGGGCAAGTCACTTACCCTGTTTATCTTAATCTACTGGAAAAGGAAATGGCAAACCACTTCAGTATCTTTGCCAAGAAAACCCTGTGGAAAATACTGGTGTGTTATGGTCCAGAAGGTCACAAAGAATTGGACTCAAATGAACACCACCATGATAAATGCAACATTTCTGAATGATGTAGAAAGCAGCATTTTATTTTACTTGAGGATTTTTTGCTGGTTTGGGATTAGTTTTTTGTTTTTGTTTTTTTAAGGAAAGTACATGAATTCAATTGTAGACTGATATGTGGGGATAAAAATAAATAAACACGTACATCTTAACTATTTCTATGAGTCATTGAACAATGAGAAACATTCTATTTCTCAGAATTGCTTATGGGCCCATTTTTTAAATTAAAACTCATGATTTAGAATCTCAGGTTCAGTATCATGGTACAGTACCTAGAATTCCCAAATGTTCCTCCTCTTCTTTTCTCTCTGTTGGAGTACTGAATGTGCTATCAGTGTATTGACGATACACAGCTTTCTTGTACTTTGAACCTATGAAGAGTTCTCCTTTATCTAAAAATGCATTGGAAACACTTTAAAAAAAAAAAGAAAGAAAAATTTGGGATTAGACAACACATTGATTTTTTTAAAAGAAGAAAAACTTTCAGCTGTGCAAGGTTGGGTAAGGAATATAGGAACCTAGTCTTATCTGACTTTTGTATCTCCCCTAATGCCTACCTAGCACAGAGCAGATACTTGATAAACGTTTGTCAACCAAGTATTAATTATCAGCATAATCCTGTCCTAGAAAGAGAAGTAAGAGTAACCCCTTCAAAAGCAATATGGTAGATGAGAGCATGGCTTAACCAATCACTGAAATATTTCACATATGAAAGAAACTTGCAGCTCTTTTTATATTTTATGCATGTAGCTCCAAGAATGTTACTCAAGTGTCTTCTAAACATGTCCTCTGATCTTCAAAAGTCTTCAACTCTAAATCTCCTTCCCAATAAAAGATTTTTGCCTTAGCCTTTGTCTATTATTTGGCTTATGTTTACCCAAACATTTGCTCATCTGTTCATTCATTCTTTTAAAGATAATAAGTAATACGAGAGTTCCACCACCGAGGAATTAGGATCAAGGAGAATAAAAACACGTACACAGACATGTAAAATATGAAGTAGAATTTGATAACCTAATAAGGAGAGTATGAATGAGACCATACAAGGGAGAAATTCCTTCCGTTGGAGAGGGATGCTTGTACATGCTGTCTCTCTTGCCTAAAATAGCTTTTCATCCTCATTCTACTAAATTATAGTAACAAAGGCTTGTTTCGAGGATGAAATGTTATGATTTTTGTGAATGTGCTTTATGGAAAGTAGTGGTGTCATTAATCAATAAATTACACAAAAGACAACCTTTTGATATTAGAATACAACATTTCAATAGCTTCCCCAATCTGTGAAAGTTTGCTGACTACTGTACACCTTAAGTATTTATTAGCATTTACATATAATTAGTTGTCTATGTTTATATAGTTATTTCTGTTAGATTGGAAGTTTCTAAAGGGGGACCCTTGTCTTTAGTGTTCTTGAATACCTCCCTATAGCCTGTACAAGGAGGAATCATTAAGATACTATTAGGATCAGGTGTGTCAATTGCTGCAAAAAAATTTTTGAAACTTAAAAAGACTTAGTTATTTCTACTTCATGACTTTTTCTATGCCTTTGTTATGAATGTTCCTTAGCATTCTAAAGACTTTTCAAATAATGAATGGAATAAAACCTGTGATTCTACCTATAAGGATGGGATGAGTCAAATGAGACAAAAGCTTAATTAACATACTGGATGACAAGCTCAGGATCCAAAAAGGACTTCATAGGCTAGAGTACAAGGCTGAATCTAATAAGATGAATTCCAGTAGGAATAAATGTAAAGTCTTATAAATGGATACCAAAAAAGAAATCAAATCCATAAGTACAAGATGAGGGCAGAGTGTCATGATTAGATGGCAGTTTGTCTAAAAAGGACCTTGGTGTTTTAATGGACTTAGAGTTCGATGTGAATCAGCAAGGTGATGTAGTCAGATAACAACAATGACAACAGTAACAACTATAATGGGCTGCATTAAGAGAGATTCTTAGGTCTTAAGATTCTTACTATGAACAGAGATGTATTGCTAGATTCCAGGAATTAGGAAGTGATGGTCTTGCCCTAGCTGTCAAGGTCAGATCTCATCTGGAAGATTGAGTGTAAGAAGAACATTCGTAGGCTGGACAATGTCCAGAGGAGGACAACTAGGATGAAATAGATTTGAGTCCATGTCATAACACAATTGGTTGAAGGAAGTGGGGATATTTAGCCTAGAAGATTTGGAGCCAGATATGACAACTTTCTTCAAGTATTTGACAGGTTGTCATGTGAAAGGTCAGATGTGGTCTGTCTGACTTCAGAGGGTAGAACTAGGGACAGTGGGTAGAAGCTGAAAAAAGGCAAATTTAGACTTGATATGAGGAAAAAACTTCTTAACCATTAGAGTTCTGCAAAAGCAGGATGGCTGCCTCAAGAGATGGGGGAAACTTTCCCTCTCTCCCCCATCTTGGAGGTTTTCAGGCAGAGGTTGGATACCCACTTGTTAATTATGTTAAAGTGGACATTCCTTTAGGGTCTGGTTGCACTAGGGAACATTGAGGTCCTTTACAACTCACTTTCAGTGATTTTTGTGATTCTGCGTCTAGTATAGTCCTTTGTGCAAGTATAAAATGTTTGGCTATTGAAAAAAACTTGAGTTTTCAGAGTGCTTTCAAGGAAAAGTATTTTGTTCATTAAAACAATAAACAATGTGAGGTCATTTGGTTTTCTTAAGGAAAAAGAATGCAGTGATATTGGTATGGGGAAAGAGTAATTTTGACCTCTCGAGAGGGTGGGTACTAATATGTTATTGACTAAAACTAGAATTAAATGAGAGGTCTGGAAGGTGGAATGTGGAGGAAACAAATGTAGGGGAAACCCACTTTGCTTTTGATAAGAGATTTGGCTGAAGGCAAGATTTTTGGGCCAAAACAAATGGGAGCCTAGTTGAGACACAAGATTTCAGAGTAGATAAAATGGAAACTTGCCTGATAGAAAGTGGGAAAAGACATAGACCTCAAAGTACAAGAGCAAGCAAGTTCATGGAAATTTAAACCAAAACAATGCTGCACTTCCTTAAAATATTCTGTCCAAGCAGCTAAAAGAATAAGAATTCTACTCCGCAGAAGATCAAATTAGTCTGAAGTTGCCAAATTACTTGTGCTGTTCTTGTAAATTATGCAATCCTTCTTCCCAGTGCCTGCTTGGGGAATAATCCCATTCCACCTCCTCAGCAGCAATGTAGTAGACTTTCTGATGTAGATAGAGTGTTGTGTCAGCTGTAGACTTCTCACACTGCGTTACTTGATATTTCTGTTTCATGCCTCCTGTGTAATGGTCTGTTGTTAGGCACTCAACATCAAAAAGTCCTGGGGAGGCAAATAACAACAACAACAACAATAACAATAATTTCACATGGTGGAACTCACGCTTGTAGCAAGCAGCGTATGATAAAGAATGGATGGCTTAGAATCACACCTAGTCAATAGGTCATGCTTTTAATTTTCATTTAAATTCTCTTTTGCCCATTTATAGTTTGGGGGGGGTGATGTTCCTTTCAAGGGAAGGTAAAGGACACTGGATGGGATGGGGAAGGCTGGAGTTAAGGCAAGATCTCATTTCTTTCAGATCCCAGGTTTGCGATTCTGTTATAATGACAATGACCGTTTCTAGGATGAGAAAATCAGCTGATAGACATTAAGATGGTAGAGCAATGAGCTCAGTGTGACCTCAACACAGGGTAAGCAAAGAGTGAGTGCCCTGGATCTTGTGCTAAAAGGGGTGCCTTATATTTTGGAAAGTTGTCACTTTGGAGTTCTGATAGGAGTCTCAATCAATCAACTAATAGACAAGTATTTATGAAATAAATATCTATTATGTGTCAGGATTTGTCCTAAGCTAAGAAACACATAGCCAGAAGTGAGCCCTCAAGGAGCTTACATTCTAACATATAAAAGAATATTTAAAATATATACAGGGGCAGCTGGGTGGCACAGTGCATAGAGCACCGGCCCTGGAGTCAGAAGGACCTGAGTTCAAATCTGGCCTCAGATACATAACACTTACTAGCTGTGTGACCCTGGGCAAGTCACTTAACCCCACTGCATAGCCCAAAATAAAAATAAAACTATATACAACATGAATACAAGATAGTTAGAGAGAGAGGGCATGAATAGGTGGAGAGAAGTAGGAAAGATTTTATATAGTAGATGCTGATTTGAATCTAAAGGAAACCAGAGATTCCAAGAAGTGGAAGTAAGAAGGAAAAACATTCCAGGGATATGAACCAGTCGATGCAAAGACAAGGAGGTGGGAGACAGAGTGCTGTGCCCAGGAACACCAGGTAAGCCAATGTGTCTGAACCATAGAGTGAGTGGAGGGGAATAATATGTAAGAAGCTGTGAAAGGTAGGAAGGGGATAAGTTGTGCAGAGCTTTCAATATCAGAAAGTTTATACTTGATCCTAGAAGTAATAGCTGTCTTGTGGCCGGCCACCCTCTAATAACCTGGAAGAGTCTGAAAGGGGATGGAAGGATGATGTTGTTATTTTAAAAATGTGTCACAAACACCATATGAAATAAAAGGACCAGTGTTCCCACTTTTGCAATGGGTATCATACGCAGTCATAACCGATCCATCCACCAGATGAACCTACTTTCAGTGTCCAGGGACTGGTTAGAGTATAGGATAGACTGAAGCATGGGAGACCCAAAGCAAGGGAGTTATACTGAGGCAGTTCCACTTTCTCTAGAATCACTGAGAGGCTCCTGGAAAAAAGAAGGTGCTCACCACTCAAGGTTTCTGGGCATACGTTGGCAGACCAAGCTTAGGGGAATTCATTAGAATAAAAATTATAAAGAAGAGAATAAAGTCATGGGTCGGACTACTCACCTGCAGAGTCAGGTGTCATAAGGAGTGTAAGAGACGTCTGAGGGAAAAGGTTTGCTGTGTCCTTCCGTTCTCCTTTAGAGAGGAATGTGTTTCCTGTGAAGTATATCCCATGTATATCAGCCTCATTTCCAGCACTGAATAAATGCCATGAGACCGTATCTCCTAGGCACATGTGAAGGCCAGGCTGATTCCAGTACATGAATCCATTCATAGCTGCAAAAATATTGTAATAATGAAAAGTCTGTCCCAAACTGCTCACTGGAGGGTTCCTGCCCATGGGTGGTATTTTAATATCCCTGTCTCAGCTCATATTTATGCTAGAATACCCTCTTCCTCATTTCTGCAATGGGAGGAGTGTTTCTGGGAAAAGGATGACAGATGGTGGTCCCATCTGTGTGTTTCCCAGACAGCCCCAGGAGCTAGATGTAGATGCAGAGCAGACTGAGGTACTCGTGTATACATAGAGCTGAGGAAGATGTCAGTAACATTCTGCCATAGTGTTCTCTGGCTACCCCATCCCTCACCTCTTCCTACATCTCCTAATGGCTGTCTCTTCTGGGTACAGGGAATCCATGTTTCCAAGTCACTTTTCTGAAGCATTAGAAATTCATTACTCGGACTGCCCAGGAGAAATGCTTTCTTACGTCTCTATAGAATTTAGAGTTGGAAATGAGCTTACAGATAATCTAGTCCAAGCACTTCAACTGACGTATGAAGAAACTAAGGCCCAGAAAAGTTAGGTGAATTGTATGTCTTTTTTTTTTTTGAGCCAGTTGGGGATAAGTGACTTGCCCAGGGTCATACAGTTAGTAATTCTCTGAGGCCAGATTTGAACTCAGGTCCTCCTGACTTCAGGGCCAGTGCTCTGTCCACTGAGCCACCTAGCAACCCCCACAAGTCCTAAAAGTAACTAGTAGCAGAGTCAGGATTTTAACCTAGATCCTTCAGTAACAAATTGAGCATTCTAATAAATGATCATACCCTTCCAATTGTAAGGTCAAGCTGAGCATTTTGGAGATAGTGTTTATAATAATTCATAATAGCCAAGCTATAAAGACCCGATACCAGAACATAGCACTTTAAATCTACCATTTAAGAGCATTATTAAAATGTATACACTACCTTCCCCTCCTCCTATTTGGTGTGATGATTTTTCTCATAATACCCAACAAAGGACAGTCCCTACTGAAATTAATTTCATTGTGAATGTGGTCTGTCCCTTTCTACACGTTGCAATTTTTAATTAGCCTTTTGTGCGTACTTCACATTTCTGTTACTTTTCATGCATAATCAATAGCATTTTTTATGGTCCATTTTCTGCGTGGATTTAAATGCCAGCTATTATTATTATTAAATACTAAATTGAGTACCAAAGAGTGTTACCCTCAGGCTATTTTAAATCAATACAATTTTGTTTCAAATTAAACTAATGGGAAAAGCTGTGGACAATCTTGTCCAATAAAAACTGTGTATTCCGTGTTGGTATTCAATGGACCACCTGTTAATTTGGCACTCACAGTGCATCTTATTGGATTCTTGAAAATCAGCATCTTCTTTATCCACCCGGTCAGGTTCTTTTGTAAACATTTTGATATTTTCATCCAAGTACAGGCTTTCATTCTCATCGAATACTAAGGGGAACAAATAGAACTCCTTATCTACACCTGTCTGTGAAACAAAAGATCAAGAAGAAATAACAGATGAATCCAGAGCAGATGTCCTCAGATAATTACATTTGTGTTGAGACAAGTAGCGGGATGAGCATGTCCTTTTTCAGGGTGTCCTAGAGCTCAAGAGTGATGGAGGAGTCCTTTAGCCACTAAAGCAGAAGTCCTTAACCAGGGATAGATTTCAGGGGTCCATGAACTTGGATGAGAAAAAAAATTACATCTTTAATTTCCCTAAACTTTAACTTAATTTTGTATTCTTTCAATTATGAATATAGTCAACAAATACTATTTTGAGAAGGTATCTATAGGCTTGTCAAAGGGGTCAATGACCCCCCAAAAGATTAAGAAACCCTGTGTTAGAGTTTCTCATTTAGAGTAGATTTAAGGGTTGGAGACTGAGAATTAGCTGTCCCTATTAGACCAAGCTGGAAGCGCTTTCTCCCTCCCTGAATTTCTCACAATGCTTTTGTAGTTGTTTCTAATTTACATTATAGTTATTTGAATCCATGTATTTCCTCTTCTACTCTTTTGCAGGCTTTCTTTGAGGAGTGGGATGGAGAATGGGAGATGGGAAAGAGTGCTGACTGGAGTCAAAAGACTTCCCTTCAAATTCTGAGAACATTATTCATGATAACAGCGACATTGTGCAATGATCCACCATGATTGACCATTAATCCAATGGTCCAAGACAGTTCCAAAGGATTCAAGATGGAAAATACTATCCACATTCAGAGAAAGAACTAATGGACTCTGAATGCAGATTGAAGTATACTATTTTCACTTTTTTGGGGTAGTTTTTTGTCTTTTGTAAACTATATATATATATATATATTTGCAAACTATTTCTTCTTTCACAGCATGACTAATACAGAAATAGATTTTCTTAAATTTATTTTTAATTTTCAACATTCACTTCCACAAGATTTTGAGTTCCAAATTTTCTCCCCATCTCGGCCCTTCTCCCACCCCAAGATGGCATGCATTCTGAATACCCCTTCTCCTAATCTGCCCTCCCATCTCCCCCCCCTTCTCATCCCCTTCCCTTTCAATTTTTCTGTAGGGCAGGACAGATTTCTATACCCCATTTCCTGCATATCTCAGGAAATAGATTTTACGTGATTGCACATACACACCCAATATCAAATTGCTTACCATCTTAGGGAATGGGGAGGGAAGAGGAGAAGGGAGAAAATTTGATACTCAAAATTTTATAAAAAAGAATGTTAAAAATTGTCTTTACATGTAATTGGAAAAAATGAAATACTATAAAAAAAACCCAAATTCCTCCTTTGTTGCTCACTACTTATGTGACCCATGGTAAGTCACTTAATTTCTTTATGCCTCAGTTTCCTCATCTACAACCTAGGGCTTTGGAGAAATCCCTTAATCTTCCTAGATGTCAGTTTTACAATTGGTAAAAATGAGGGGATTGGACTTAATGATCTCTGAGATCTTCTTGCTCTAAATCATAGTCTAAATCCAGGAGCCTCTGAATCCTGGAGGGGTACAACTGCAAACATTTCGTAAACACTTAACGTGTAAAATCATAGGATCCTAGACCTAAACTTGGAAGAGGACTTAGAAGCCATCTAGTCCAACGCCTTCATTTTGCAGACAAGCAAAGTAAAGGTAAAAAAGAGATTATATGACTTGCTCAAGGTCTTTGACCCCAGGTCCTTTGACCCATTTCACTATGCACTTATCAAAGGGCTTTGTAAAACCATAAAGTGCTATATAGATGTAAGCAATTAAAATTTTTTTTTCCTACTGAAATGAGGTCATCCTATTTACTGAATAAAGTCTGACAAGCCAACAAGACTGTCTCTGATTTCTCTCGGTGAAAGGAAGCTAATAGATGAATGTGCAGATATTAATTAATCCGTCAATCAATAAGCATTCATTAAGTGCCTATTATTTATCCAGCACTGTCCCAGGTGTTGAGATGACAACCACAAAAACAAGGTGTTCCTGCCCTCAAGGAGTTTATATTCTGACAAAGGAGGCAGTTGCAAATTCAAATATTAAGAATTGCAAAGCAAATATTTTGAAAGCAGATGCAAAGTAGTGTGGGGGTGAGTCAGGCACTATGATCACATGCATGGGGCATGGGAAGAGACTATGGTAAATGTACAATAAAAGGTGAGAGTAGAGAAGGAAAATATAGTCCTCAACTTAAGACATAAAAATAATGATGAAGTCTGGATTCAAGGGAATTATGGAACACAGCACTCGTACCTTTAGGACCTGTATTGATTTCTATTCTAGCTTGGATGGTGGATGTTTCATCTTTTTCCTTCCTGCTAACAAAATGTGGCTATTTGGCTACCAATGAGGAAGGGAAAGTTACTCAAGATTTCCAGGGTTAATTTTTCCAAATGGAATGAAATTGTTTGAAAACAAAATGACTGATTCTGCAGACTTAGGTTGTCAAGCCCAAAATGAATATTATTTTCATATTTGGATAGTATTTTTGTTTCCATAATATAATAGGTGATAATAATAGGTTATATTGGGTCATAATCTAATCTAATTTAGTCTAATCTAATTGCATGATATAAATAACTCAGATTTCATGGAAGACCTTATTGCCAATCTATCTTGGAATAAGTGTATTGAAATTAAGTGAATTATAGAATCAAAGGTCTAGAGCTGAAAGAGATCTCACAGATCATCTAGTCTAGCTCCCTTCATTTTACAGAAGAGGAAACTGAGGCCCAGAGAGATAAGGTGAGAAGAGCTAAATGGTCCTTCAAAACTTCAAAGATCTAAGATTTCACTGTTGGCATATAATCCCCATGAACATAGATGGCAACTCCTTCACCTCTTGATAGACAGTCTTTGTGGGTTTCTGTAATTCAAATATTATCACCTGTGGTCAACTATCTGGTGATGAACTTCCTTGTTGATTCCTGGATGATAAATACATAATCTCCCACCAAGATCTTACTTGAAACATTTCCAGCTTGTTGTAACCTACCAAAGTCTGCACTGTGCTGGAACAATCCTCAAGAATTCACAAAGACACAGAGCAGTAGAATTTTAGAAGAGCGCCATAATACTTGTGTCAACAATTGTGCAACAAACTTCTTATTGGGTTATTTTAAAAGGAAGGCCTAAAAACCTAGAATTGTCTCTTTTGGACAATGATGATTCTGATAGATGGTTTGATGATAACAGAAACAATCCCAAAGAAATTAAACCAAAAAAACCCTATATATTCAAAAGTAGTTCTTTCCATGGTAGCCAAAAAATTGGAAATTAAGTGGTTGTTCTATTGAGGAAGGGCTAAGCAAATTATGGTATGTTAATGTAATGGAAAATTATTACCGCATAAGAAATGACAAAATGGATAATTTCAGAAGAGACTAGGAAAACCTTTATAAACTAATACAGAGGAAATTGAACATAGAGCAATTTATAGAACAATTTGTAACTTTGAAAGACTTTATATGAAAAGCTGCTTCTCAATTAATGCTCCTAAACATGAAAGGAGCCAGCAAAAATAATTTACTTGGAAGTTTGGTGGAAGCCATTCTTGTCAACCATAAAAAGTCATAAAAACAAATTCTATTATTAGTCAGTTTTGTTAAGTTAATAAAACCACATACACAAGGAGAAAGACTTTAGAACCCTTATCAGTGCAATAATAAAACACTAGTCCAAAAGAATGAAGAGTGAACACATTGCTTACCACCTGGGAGAAGTGATGATCGTAAAGTGCAGAAAGAAGTATACGTTTTTGTTTGAACATGGCTAATGTGGAACTTTATATATATGTATTGAGGGATTTTTTAAAAAATGCTAAAAGGGGAAGGGATAGATTAATAAAAACACTAGTTACTTGAAAAACAAAAAGAAAAACCGAGACATTAGTAAGCTCATAGAAACATTAACAATGCTGGGAGGAACCTTTGCAAACAACTCCCTCATTTTATAGATGACAAAACTGAGATCCACAGAAGTTAAATGACTTGCCCAGAATCACAAAGGAGGCAAATAATAATAGATCCCAGATTTGAACCCAGGTGCCCTGATTCCAAATGAGCCATTCTTTCCGTCATACCCCGTTACTACCTTATAACTTACCTGTCTACCATTAGAATTCAAACTTCCTTTTCTACATATGATGAGAGGACCGACAAGCCCAGTAAACATATCTTTAATGGGATTTACCCCAGAGTAGTACATCTTGGTTAAACAGTTGGGATCACTGTATGTGGGTCCCACTCCATCTGGGACAGTCCATTCATAGGTAAACTTTGTTTTGGGTGCCACGTGTGAGGAAGGAGGAGGAGTAGAAGCAATGCCTAAGATAAAATTAACATTAAGAGGGTTGAAATGTTATTCAGTATCGCAGGTGGAATGTAGGCTCTGTCTGGGCTCTGTCTTTTGGATTAGAATGGACGAGAACCTTAGAGATCATCTGGGGATTGTAGGTGATTAAGGGATTTTTGCCATGTCATTCTTCACCATGAGTCCATGCCCCGCCCCCCCCTTAGGAGATCACTATCAAAAAATGTTAAACCAATATAGAATATTGGGGAAAGGACTCTATTCTCTTATTGGTAGTTTTTTCTTAACAAAAGTCTGACCTGGTAATTTGACTAAGCCAGAAAATGAGTCAAATCTAGTTCTTAGTACACAGTGGACACTCCATAAATACCGACTAATGAGGGCTATGCTCACCTCTATGGAGTGAATTGTAACGGGATCCTTCATTATGCTTGTTGAATCTCACACCAGTTGGTTGAATGCTGAGGGGAAAGGGACTCTTATTAAAGAAAGTAACTTTGATGGTATCTCCAACTTCTGTCTTAATGACGGGACCTAGAGTTAAACAAAGAGTGACTTTTTCTCCTTTGCCGTTTTAATAATATGAAGAAGTTGTGATCATTCCCCCTTTCTCCCCATTCACCTGGTATTTATGTTTGTGTATACATACATACATATACATATATATATATATATATATACATACATACATATACATATATATATATACATATATATATATATATATATATACATACACACACACATACATATATACATACATACATACATATACTCTCTCTTGATAGAATATCACTTCCTGGAGGAAAGGGCTGGGTTCATTTTTGTCTTTGTGACCTTAGTGCCTTGTACAGTTCCTGGCACATAGTAGGCATAACATTAATAAGCATTATTAATTATTAATTAATTAACATTGAGAAATGCTTGTTAATTGATTATTTTTCTTAGTTCTTTTTGAGAGCAATACGACTGTCTGTGCTGTAGACAAGTCCACTCATCTCACATGAGGGTGGCAGATGATTTGGGTGGATGTTGACTTTGACCCAACTTTTTTGGATTCTATTAAAACAAAAGACATAAATTCAATACTTGAACAGGTCAGCTGATTTTCAAACATACACACCCAGAAAATTCTTTCAAGAGTACAAGCTGCTCTCCTACCCCATGGCTACACTGTTATAAATGCAACCCTCTGGTTTCAAGAGAGAAAGAAGAGAGAGCCCTTTAATCCTTCATTATCAAAGACATGTGACCAAAAGCACTGTCTTTGTATGTGAAAGGTAACACTTGGGGGTGGTGGTACCACTATTATTAATATCATCAATTTAGTCTGACAACATCTTATACAATAAATATTGAATTAAATTATTGAATTAGACAAAACTTTGTTGGGATAGGAAGGATAGAGAATCACCAATACTTCAATATCTTTGTGATCTCATTGATGTGTATCACTCAGCCAATAAGCATTGATTAAGCACCAACTATATGCCAGACACTGTGCTAAGCACAGTATTACCTCTAATACAGAGGATGACGCATCCATGCAGGCATTCAGCCCATCCTATATGACTCTGGGGGTGTCACTGTATTGGTAATCATGACCAAATGTTCAGTGAATGTATGTGCTATTCCTGAAATGAGCCTTTACTTTTGTTGATTTGGAGTTCTTTCCTTTCCTTGCACCCAGGTGACTTGCTAAGCATGGAACCAATAAATAATTTATGTCTAGGAGCAATGTTTTAATTTCTTAAGAGTGCACACAGAAAAAAACCCGCCATTGAAAAGAGCAACGAAGGCTCATTTTTGCAGCACGTAGACTGAAATTAAATCAACCCACAGAAGACTGACATGATTCCTGGGCAAGAATGCCAGGCACTTTTATGGAACATTCCATATTTTTCTTCGACTTGGTGATGGTATAAAAAAAGAAAAAGAGGAAAATAACATCAGTAAAACATACAAGTCATACACAAGAAAGCAGAAGGAAATTCAAAAGGGGACACAGATAAGCAGGGTAGTTTTGTTACTAAAGTGTTGAATTTAATATAAATTTTATTTTATTTTATTTATTTATTTTCGCTTTTTGGTGAGGCAATTGGGGTTAAGTGACTTGCTCAGGGTCGCACAGCTATCCGGTCTGAGGCAGGATTTGATCTCAGATCCTCCTGACATGAAGGCCAGAGCTGTATCCACTGCAACACCTAGCTGCCCCTCAGTATCATTTTTAGAAGAAAAAAACTGTCTATAAATTCAGTTTCATATCCACTCCTTTTTTCTATTCTATACCCCTTACTCTCTAGACTTCCCCTCCTCCTTCCCAGCAGCCTTCTCACCCTGGAGATGCCTCCAGCCTGTGGCCCTCTCTTTTTATTGTCGAATCCTGGCCCAAACCACCACTTCATGCGCTGCTGAGGCCATGTTCACTTTGTTTCCAGCTCCACTCCTCAGAAGTGTTTTAGTAGGCTGTCTTCTCTCATTAGAACACAAGGTTCTTGAGGATTATGGCCTGTATTTTCTGCTTATGTATGTATTCCCAGTGCTTAGAATAGTGACTGGTACATAGTAAGTAGCTGACAAATATTCACTTGCTTACTCACTTTCTATATCAACATATTTATAATCTATGGCTACATCTATATCTATCTATACCCATACCTATACCCATACTTATATCTGTGCTGGTGGTGGCGTTATTGATCCACGTTCATCTCTTTGTGATTCCATTTGGGGTTTTCTTGGCAAAGAAAGTGGAGTGGTTCTCCATTTCCTTCTCCAGCTCATTTCACAGATGAGGAAACTGAGGCAAATAGGGCTAAGTGACTTGCCCAGAGTCACACAACTAAGTAAGGATCTGAGGCCAGATGTGAACTCAGGTCTTCTTGACTCTAGGCCCAGTGCTTGCCACCTCACTGCCTCACCTGTATCTATACCTATACATATATCTATAGCTATATTTATATATTTTCTTTGTAGATTGAAATGTTCATGTTTATTGATTGTTAAATTCATAATAAAAAACAAAAAAAGAAAATAACAATCAACAACTTAGGATCATTGATAAAGAATTGGAAGGTACCTTAGAGATTAGATTATGGGGTTCAGTGGTAAACTCTTTTATGAATAATATTTTATTTTTTCCCCAATTAGACATAAAAATAATTTTTAACATTTAAAAAAAATTTCAGTTCCAAATTCTCTCTCTCCCTCCCCTTTCTCCTCACTGAGGTGTCAGCAAGTTGATATAGGTTATACATGTGCAATCACACAAAACATATTTCTACATTAGTCATGTTGTGAAAGAAAGCAGACCCCCCCCCAAAAAAAGCCCCAAACCAATACCAAATAATACCACCAGTGGTGTCAAACTTCAGTAGAAACAGGATCCCTGTGGGCCACATATTGATCTAGAAAACCACATACTAATACCGTCTATATTCTATTACATTTTTATTTATTTATTTTGTTAAATATTTTCCAATTATATTTTAATCTGATTCAGGAAGTCCTCAGGAGTGTTACAGCCTAGATGTGGCTGTGCCTGTGTGTTTGACACCTCTGGTCCCATCCTTTCATTTTACAGATTAGAAAACTCAAGCCCAAAGAGGTTGACAGTGACTGGATCCAAGCCACATGGGTAGTGAGTGTCAGAACTGGAATTCAGAACTCTCATTCCCAACCCAGAGCTCTTTCCACTGTTCTCCACCAGTCCTACCTAGGATGCCCAGATGTTCCTCTTCAGGGAGTCTGTCTTTGAGGCGGGTGAAGTCAGCATCTCTGTACTCACGGAAAACCAGCTTTTTATAAATTCCTCCAATTCTGTCAGCTCCTTGTTTGAAAAATACCTCCGAGGAGCTATGCAAATAAATCAACAGTGAACAACCACTTCAATACCAAAGCTGAGTCTCAAGAAGAACCAAGAATTCAAATGGGAAAGATGACTGTTTGGAGGTAAAAACCACCTTGTTGGCCAATGATCATTTTAGTAAAATTTTAGCTCTTTGCTACTTCAAACACAAAGTCTATGAGATCGTATCAAAGGGATTTCTAACTAATGCTTACAGATTGAAAGGCAAGCTGGCCCAAGGGCTGGGTGCTGGACCTGGGTCCTTGACCTGGTTTTAAATTCCATGTACATTCACCAGTTCTGTGACTATCTAATTTCTCTGAGTCTCAGACTCTCTAAGTCTTAGACTCTCTGAGTCTAAACTCTCTAAGTTTCATTTGTTAAGCTAGAATAATGTACCTTACTGGTAGAGGCAGTTCATATACTGTGAAAAGAGATAATTAATGTCTATGATTTATAACTCAGCATCAAATAAAAAAGAACCAAGCATTCAAACACAATAATTTTAAAAAAAAACCCAAGCATTTATATTGAACCTACTATGTGCCAGGCATTGTGTGCTAAGTGCTTTATAAACAGAATCTCATTTGGTCAATCACAACAACCCTGTGAGGTAGATGATAGTATTATCTCTATTTTGCAGTTGAGGAAACTGAGGCAAACAGAAGTTAAATGACTTGCCTAGGGTCACATAACTAATAACTATCTGAACCCAGATTTGAACCCAGTTTTTCCTGACTTCAAGCCCAGCACTTTATCCACTGAGCCATCTAGCTGCCTGTAAGAGCAGGGCCTTTTAAAAAAATTAGTCTTTACTGTAGTGATATTACTAAGGGATCTGAGCAGTAAAGGCTTTTTCCTGAAGGGTTTAACCTGGTATCTGCAATCTTGGTTTTTACAAATATTTTTGTAAATGTATTTCAACATAATTGATTTTCTTCCTACTTCTAGATATTTTGTTTTACGCATTTAAAAACATTATTCCTAGTAGAGGTGCATAGGCTTCACCAGACCGCCACAGAAAAAGGGCTAAGAACTCTTGGTGTAGTGGAATAAACCCTAAAATTGGTGTCAGGGGACCCAGCTTCTCTACCTTTGTGACATAATTTCATTGGCCTCACTTTCCTCAGCAGTAAAACAAGGAGGGTTGAGCTAGGGAATCTCTAAGGATCCTTTCAGTTCTAAACTTGTGATCTCTAAAAGCATAATTTTTTTTACAGGTATTTGGAGGGGTTTGGGGGAGAGCTCAAGCCAGTCACTGCTTTTGCTCCACCTGTAAAAATACAATGAACATCATATATTTTCTGCTTCAGGTACATTCTTAAAGCAAGTAAAAGACTAGACGAGATAAACTTCTGCAACCCTCTCTACCCTTTAGGATCCAGAGCAAATTTAAAAATTCAGTCGTGTGGTACAATTAACACTCATTGCATGCCTCCTTTTTTATGTCTGTGTTGGGTGATATGGGGAATGTAAATATTACTAAGACATATCATCCATCCCCAAAGAGCTTACCAATGGAGATTACAAGGTGCAAAGTGGCGATGCTTTAAGAGATTTACAACAGGGGAGCTCAGAGGAAGGATTATTTCCAGATGATCGTAAGGTGGGGAGGGATCAGGAAGGGATTACCTGTGAGCTGGGACCTAAAGGAAAGGTAAGATTTTAACAAAGGCAGAGGGCATTCTAGGTGAAGTGGGAGGTGTGGGAAAACCCCGTGGTTTTGTTTGAACCCAGCCCTGCATGACTGAGAAACCAGTTTTCTCAAAAAAAGAAACCAATCCCCCCCCCAAACCAACCTTGTTCCTTAGAGACCAGATTCATTTAATGCTTATCTCAGCACCTAGGTTATGCTGACCAGAAATCTAGTCAGATCTGAAGATTAATGCAAGCAATGTAAAGACTTTTCTCCCATTATACATCTCAAGCATCTCACATGTCCTATCTGGAAACTGCCTCCATGCTGGCCAGTCAGCTACTGTTTCCTTGTTCCTTTGTTTGAATCCCATATAATGTATAATTCATAGACACTGAGGGGAGTGAGCTATGCCCTTTTTGGCTCTGTCTTCTGCTGGATGACTTAATAAACTTCCTAAGTTATTTTAGTTTAGGAATCTTTTGTTCTCAGCTAACACATCCTGGGCACAAAGAAGTTCAAGAACCAAAAACATCTTCAGGAAATGATAAACTGGGATCATGGTTTTTTGGGGGGTTTTTTTGATTGTTTTTGGGTTTTTTGAGTCATTTCAGTCATGTCTGACTTTTCATGACCCCTTTTGCAGTTTTCTTGGCAAGGGTACTGACGTGGTTTGTCATTCCCTTCTCTAGCTCATATGAGAAACTGAGTTAAACAGGGTTAAGTGACTTGCTCAGGGTCACACAGCTAGTAAGTGTCTGAGGCCAGATTTAAACTCATGAAGATGAATCTTCCTCATTCCAAGCCTAGTGCTCTATCCACTGTACCATCTAGTTGCCAAAGGAGCATAGTTTTAGAGACTAACTAATACAACTCCCTTATTTTATAGATGAGGAACTGAGCCCAGAGAGGTTAGATGATTTGTCTAATGTCACACAGCTACTAAGTAGTTGAGGTGGGATTTGAATCCAGATCTTCTGGACTCCAGGTTACTATTTTAGCCACTGTTCTAAGATGTCCAGATTGGCAAGAGCATAGAATTTGGGAAGAGAAAAAGTGGGATTTAAGACTAAACGTTTAATAAATATTTGTTTGCTGAATGAGCAAATACAAAATTTCAGTAAAAATTGTTACAAAATTATTAGCCATGGGAAGTTCATTGTCATTATAGTTTTTCTCAGAAAAATAAGTTTCATGATTTAGTTCTTACTTTGTCACATTATTTGTTTACTAAGTATTTCTAGAACTTCTCAACATATGATCAAGTTCTTATACAATTTCTTAAACTTCAGAACTCCAGTAGACCCATGGTGTTATCAACATGGATGTTTCCTCCAATGATACAGATCACAACTAATCTATACCTGCCTGACTAGTAAGGTTCCTGTCCAGGAGTGTGCTGGAGCCAGCAAAAGCCAGCTCAGACCAACTCAGAGCCAATTTAAAATTTCAATGTGAGCAATTATACCTCAGAAATTAGCAAAGCTACAATCAAGTCTTGACTTACTGTTTGTTGATTAGTTAAACTAAAAGAAGTGATGAAAAATGTTAATAATGCAGATTAAACTGAAAAGTGTGTCATGGTATATATTTGGGAAGACAGAGCTGGTTGTTAAACATCTATCAGCATTCCTTTGCCTCTGTTCATATTTTCTCGTAAATTTACTTGAAGAGTTCCACTCAAAGGAAAACAGAAGGCTCTACCTCTATTTCTTTTAACATCTAAGGATCCAAATTCTTATGTTTTGAAAAATGAATTAGGTGTAAGTAAAGGTAAGTGTCACAAATTAAAATAAACTGCTTCATTCTGAACTGATTCTTTAATTTTTTTTATCACAGTTAAAAGCATATTATTGGTATACTTATGATGAATGAACCTTTTAATAGAGATGATATTAACATTAGGGGCGAAGTGGGATAATTTCCATGATATTTGGCATTTATTCTGATTTACCTTCCAGGCGTGTCTAAGTCTTTACCAGAAGGGGCGTAATTCCAAATGATTTCTTCAGCTGCAATGTAGTAATGCCTAATATTTTGCCCATCAACATTATCAGTTGAAGTTTTTTTGCAATCCTGCACCTGGAAAAAGGCCTTCAAACCAGCTGAAAACCAGAAAAGAAGAAAGTTATTCAGGAGACAAAAGAGTATCGCCTTGTTTTATGATCCTCACCTTGGCATCAGAGAACGAGAGGAGTCAACATTTGCAGAAGCTTGAAATTCTGAATTTAACCATAATAGGGGGGAAGATCACCCATGGACAAAACAGTTAATGTTGAGAAGGATGCTCACTGGAAGAGGGCAGGGGGGAGATGGTACTGAAAGGGAAGTATGGCCAGAAAACCTCAGGGTGAGGATGGGGAGTGGGAATCTACATAGGGACACAACTAGGAATTTTAGCTTCTAGGACAATTCAGTTAGGGAGGATGACATTGCCATATGGTAGGAAGGGTGAAGGGAGGCAGAGACCTAAGATACTCCTGCTAAGTAGGCTACCACACAAGAAACTGATTAAAGTGAATAGGTCATGCAGAAGCATACTTATGTTGTCGCTACAATGAGAGAGGAAGCAAAATCTAGTTGCTTTTTCTACTGTAATTATTCTGGAAGAGCTGGTATTAAGCTAAATTGTTTTTCTGCTTCAGAAGGAGTTTGGAATGTTGTGAGTGCATTCAACCAGAAGAGAGGGGTAAACAGATAAACAAACATAAGATAATTTGAGGAGGGAAGGAGAGCTAATAAGTAAGGTGATCAGGATAGGCTTTCAGGAGAATGTCAACGAACTGATTCATGAAGGAAGACAGAACTTTTTTCTTTTCTTTTCTTTTTTTTTTTTAGGTGATTGAGGTTAAGTGACTTGCCCAGGGTCACACAGCTTATAAGTGTCAAGCGTTTGGTCTGAGGCCACATTTGAACTCAGGTCCTCCTGACTTCAGGGCCAGTGCTCTATCCACTGCACCACGAAGATAGAACTTCTAAGAAGTACAGGTGAGGAGGGAGGGTATTCCAGAAATTGAATTGATGATGTTCCAGGAACAGCAAGGCGGTCACTTTTGTTGGGATGTAGAGCACATGAAGGGGAATAATACTAAATAAGTCAGAAAAGTAAGCAGGAACCAGAGGTAAGCTCCATGAGAGTAAGAATCATTTCATTTTTTGTATTCTCAGCACTTTTCAGTTCAGTTGTTTTTCAGTTGTATCTGACCCTATTTGGGGTTTTCTTGACAAAGATACTGGGGTGGTTTTCCATTTCCTTCTCCAGCTCATTTTACAGATGAGGAAACTGAGGCAAACAGGGTGAAGTGACTTGCTCAGGGTCACCCAGCTCATGTCTGGGGTAAGATTTGAACTCAGGAAGGTGAGTCTCCTTAACTCCAGTGCTGGTGCTCTATCCACCGCACCACCTAGCTTTCCCTTCTGGGCACATAGTAAATCTTTTATAAATGCTTGTCGATTTATTGATTTTTGAAGGTCTGTAAGTGCCAAGCTGAAGAGTTTGTGTTTTATTCTAGAGGCAACTGGGAGCCACTTGAAAGGGAGAGTGACATGGTCAGGCCTATGCTTCAGGAAGATTAACTTGTCAACCGGGATTAGAAAAGGCAAGGTAGGGAGAGACTGGGAGCGAGGAGTCCACAGAAGAGGCACCTGCAGCTATTACTTTAATACTGTTACTATTGATAATACCAAAATAAAAGTAAGTAACCTGCTAAGACAATCTTAGATCTCACCACCAATAAAATCTTTGGGATGGTACTGTTACCTAAATTATAACTTCACATAGCTGACAAAGAATATTTTCACATAGAGATCAAGAATTCCTACCTTTCAGATGGTTGAAATTCTGACAGCTCAGCAGCCATTCTCCGGGGTTCTTTGCCACCATTAAGGCGTCAACCAGCGTGGCAGGAAATAGATTGATAGTATCAACTCGATGATTCTGATTAGTCAATACTTGCCCGTGGAAAAAAGCAGCATGCACATCAATTTCATTACCCATGCCAAAAAGGTACCACTTCACCTTGTCTTCTGCACACATGGTGAACCCTGGGAGGCTTCCAAAGGCATAGCCATTTATAGCTGTGGGTTAAGAGAACAGAGCTTCAAGTTCACAGGCATTGAGTGGCGCTAGGTTAATTACTGAACCTGTGACAGGAAAAAAAAAACATGCGTTGATCCCATGGTGCTTTATTCCTTATGAAGATTCTCAGTGTAGGAATGTCACAGGCCATAATCTTTCTTGAAATTTGGGGAAAGTTTAGTCAAGAGTTAAAGAGCATTTCTTCCTTTTTTCCTTTTTTCCTTTCTCTCTCTCTTCCTCCCTTTTTCTTTCTTTCCTTTTTTCTTCCTTCCTTTCCCCTCTCCCCTCCTTTCCTTCCTCCTTTCTTCTTTTCTCCCTCCCTCTTTTTTTCTTCCTCCCTTCCTTTTCCTTCCTTCCTTCCTTCCTTCCTTCCTTCCTTCCTTCCTTCCTTCCTTCCTTCCTTCCTTCCTTCCTTCCTTTTCTTTTCTTTCTTCCTCCCTCCATCCCTTCCTTTTTCTTCCTTCCATCCTCCCTTCCTTTCCTTTTTCTTTCTTTCTCCCTTCATTCATTTCTTTCCTTTATCATAATTTCTATTATCATGATTTAAATGTTTTCTTTCTAGTATCATTATTCAAATGTTTTGTTCTTTCTGATCATTGGAAAAAGTTAGGAATATCTGGGTTTATTTGTTTTAGAGACCAGGATTTTCTAGTTTAGCTAGACATTAATTCATACTTCAGTGCATCTTATTCATGGGGCAGGTTTAGTCATGATGCAGGTTTAAACCGAAGAAAGCAACCCAGCAAGATCATTGAACCAAGGAAACTACAGAAAGCCATGTTGTAATCTTACAGTACATCTGATTGCTTTCTTGGAAATCTTCCTTGTCTTTTTCAACTTCTCTGGAGCAGTAGGTCTTAATGTTCTCCTCTAAATACCAACTCATATTTTCATCCACCACAGAAAACATCGCGACAAACTCTTTATCAATATTTTTTTCCTTCTCATCATCCAATGTATCTGAAACAAAGATAGCAATTTCCTTACATTCTGGCTGATAATGAAACAGACTTGGTACATAGCATGTATTTAATTTCATACCTGTGAAATAATTCATAGTTTTATTTGTTTTTTATTAGTTCTTCCTACTGAGCCCATGAGTTTGGTCTAAATTTTTACCCATTTTGCAGATATGAAAATTGATATTGTTCCTATGCAATGCTTAATGAAATCTCATGTGTTTAAAAATTTTGGTCATTCGATCTCCATGCCACAACTTGGGGATGAGTATTTCTGAGCTTCAACTCCTCATTTAAAGATGTAACAGACTGATGACAAATAGGAAGATTAATCTTGGAGTCGTGTCCATTTCTTCCTTGTACAAAAAAAGCAATCACAGCTTATGACTTGCTAACTTTATCAAGGGTCATATTAATTAATTGGCCACTATGCTGAAACTCAGAACATCTGTGTTCTAAACCTACTGTGCCATTAACTTTCTAAGAGATTTTGGAGAAGTCATTTCCCCCTCCTTCTAGCCCTATTTTCTTCATTTGTGAAAGAAGACAATTGGATTTAATTCAGTTCAAAAATAAGCATTTATTGTATCTGCTATGCATAAGGCATTGACTGCTGATTAGATTGTTAGATCCCTGAAGGCCTGTCATTTGCTTCTATTTCAATATCCCTAGCTTTTCTCATAATTTCCCCCAGTATCCTCTGCTCCTGCTTCCACAGAGTCATCTCATATAGTAAACATCATTTTTTAGAGACAAAAAAAAGGATAGAGGAAAAAAATCGACATAACTGATCAATACATCACTAACTTTTTGGAGACAAAAACAAAAGATAAAGGAAAAAATCAATGGATCGATACATCACTAAGTTTTTAGAGACAAAAAACAAAAGATAGAGGAAAAGAACAAGATAACTGATCAATACATCACTAAAATTTCTATTTTTATGCATATTTCTAACTTCACGTAATTTTATGGTCTTCCATTTACTACAGGTAACAACTTTTTTTTTCAGGCTTTGTTTATCACTGTAGACTAGATATTGCAAAGATATATTTAATCGCTGCCACTTTTACCAGAGCAGTTGTCAACAAAGACCGACTGAATCTCAAAGCTGAGAGGAACCTTGGAGATCTTTTGCCCCAAACCTTTTATTTTCAAGATGAAGCAATGAAGGTCTAGAGAATTGAAGGGACTTGCCCAAAGTCACACAGACAGTAAATGGCTGAGTCAAGACTTGAACCCAGTTCTTCTAGTGTCAAACCCAGTTCTCTGTCTGTAAATCATGCTGTGAATCATTCTGTCACCATTTAAAAACTCATATTTTTAAATGGGAGATTGGTTAGTGCCACAGCCAAGACTACCTTCAGAATTAAGAGCAGCAGAGACCTGGTAGAGCTGCTGCTGTTTTTTTTTCCCCCACAATAGGACCCCATTTTTTTCTTTCCTGAGGCTACCAATGCTGTACTGGGGGTGGGAGAGAGAGAGAGAGAGAGAGAGAGAGAGAGAGAGAGAGAGAGAGAGAGAGAGAGAGAGAGCGTGCAAAATAGGGATTTTTGCTTACTGTATGTCTTTCTTTCCCTTAGGAAAAGACTTAATTTGCAGTTACATTTTGAAACAGGTACTAACACGGCAGAGTGCATTTCTAGTATCAGAGTTCTTTATGGAAAAACTAATAATGAAAAGTGATAGCGTGTTCTATACCCTCTTGCAGGAGCTCAATGCTCTTAGCCATTCAAATAGGCAAAAATTGCTCACTTTCCACACCTATAGTGGAATTTGAAATTCTGTTGTTGTTGTCATTCAGTTGTTTCAGTCACGTCCAACTCTTCACGATCCCACTCGGGATTTTCTTGGCCAAGATACTGGAGTGGTTTTTCCATTTCTTTCTCTAATTCATTTTACAGTTGAGGAAACTGAGGCAAACAAGGTTAAGTGACTTGCCCATGAGCACACAGCTAGTAAGTGCCTGAGGCCAGATTTGAACCCAAGTCCTCCTGACTCCCTGTCTTCTTTTCTTTTTCTCCCCTTCCCTCCCATTCTTGTTCTCTCTTTCTCTGACCTGCTCAAACTCTGAATAAGGGATCTGTGACTTAGAAAAGAGAGAACAAACAAGTAAACCCCGTAGATTAACCTTGGGCTTGGTTACTTCCAGTTGGTCCCATGACTAGCCGACAAAGCTTTTCTTCATTTATTTTGTGTAGGACTAAGAAGGGGCATGGGTAGCAACAGTAAAATAATCTTTACTCTACCTTTTTTGCAGACTATCAAAGGGCCAATGAGTCCAGAGGCGATGTCTCTTGGGGCGTCTATATGTGAGTGGTAAATCCTGGACATACAATTACTGTCCCCAAAACCAGGGGCTTGGTTTTCATCGGCAAGTAATTCATACGTATATTGCCCTCCTGGTTGTATTTTGTCATCGTCCGTGAGCAGGCCCGTGGTATTGTCAGGATAGACAGCACCTAGGAAACAGCAATCATTGAAGTCCCACAGTGGCAGTGCTTGCAACAAAATCACAGAGTAGCTGTCAATATCAAAATAGCTCTCATTTGATCTCGTCTTCCAAACTTGCAGTGGGCTGAGCTGCCGCCTGAGGACAGTGCCACCTCTTATCTCTATGATAGCATTTTCACTATTATGATGGTTAGGAGCAGGGACACTTAGTCCGTAACTCTCAGGCTGTGTGTGTCTATTTCATATGTAGCTTGCAAGTTCTTTCCTTCTCTTTTTTCTTTTTTAGGGTTTTTTGACAATGGAGGTGGGGGAGTGGCGCTGGAAGAGTCAGGGCTCAGTGGCTAGAGATCCTCTTACCTAATGAGTACCCTTAACAGGAAAGTATTCTTTCCCTCTTATTTTTTCCTGTCTCACTTGGCTACGTCCTCACCCATAGCTCTTTTCTCAACCTGGCAGTACAAGCTGGGTAAAGGGAGGACATACAGAAATCCTAGTTGTCTGGGAGACTACCTGAATCAATCTGGTTATTCATTTTCATGCTTGTGAGGTAGGATAATCACATGATTATTACTGTAGTGGGTAGGGAGAGGATGTGGAGAAGGAAGACAGATAATTCCATTAGAGCGAGGAGCTCTTCTGAGGAAACCCCTTGCGTCAGTTCAGATTATCCTCTGTACTTCATCTCATAGCCTTAGTGAATTACCTGGAGGGACTGTATTAGAGGCTGGATAGGGTTCTAGGTTGTCCATACTCCAAGGATGGCCCTCTATCTACTAATCCTTGCAACGTTTTTAATGTCATTATTACTCAGAGGATTTAGAATAAGATACAGATGAAGTTTTTACAGAGTGAAAACCTTTCAAAATCTTCACACTTAGAATTCTACTAAAGAACCAGGAAAATTCCAGGAGAATATTCAGGAAAGACAGAGTGGGACAATCTTACCTTCATGGTCTTTATAGTAGGTCACCCCATGTGCATGGAAAGTGTAGGCTCGGGAAGCAAAGTTTCTTACATGCACGATAATTTTGTCTCCAGTCTCTGCCCGAATAATAGGGCCAACATACCCCAACCAAGATGGTTTTTCAATTGTCCTTGTGAAGAGGTTGTCAGTATACTGAACATAACTGGCTTTCTTATATGTACTTCCTATTCTGTCTGGCCCTCTTTGAAGATAAAATTGGGATTCAGGTTCTCTGCAAAAGATAAATTAGTTATCAAGCATTTAAGTGTTTGCTATGTGCCAGGCATTGTGCTAAGTGCTGGGGATATGAGAAGAGAGAGAGAGAGAGAGAGAGAGAGAGAGAGAGAGAGAGAGAGAGAGAGAGAGAGAGAGAGAAACATGGTCCCTGCACTCAAGTGCTCTCATTCTAAAGGGAGATAACATGTAAACACGTAAACAGTTACATGCATATAAGATATATAAAACGTAAGTGGAAGGAACTCTCAGGGGTAGGCAAAGTTGCCATTTCTCCGATAACATTTGAATTTAAAAGGGCTCAATGACCACATAAACAGGACAAGTTTGTCTTCTGATATAATTGGAGGACACTGAAGAGTTAGATGATTTGCCCATCACCACATAGCCAGTTTGTATCAAAGGCAAGACTTGAACACAATTAAGACTAGCTCTCCACTCACAACTCCATTTTGCTTCTTCTTATAAGGGTTTCATTACCTTTATCTGAAAGATTTCCTCCTGTTGTAAGGGGTCCTACTAGACTTTGAGCTTCTCTGACTCATTTTGTATATGTAGCCTCAGCATCTATCTCATAGCCTGGTACATAAGACACACATTGGTAAGTTTGTGTTGATTGTATGATCTTGGTACACCTTGAAAACGACAGCATTTCTTTAATAGTGATTAAACCTAATTCCCTTCATAATCAGTCAGGCTCACAAGGCTTCAAAAACAAAATACATTTGATTTATACAATAAAGAATACAGAAATGACTCCCACCTAAGCCCATAGAGAGAGTTAGCCCCTTCTGCTTAAATGGAACTATGATTTCACTGATATGGGCATTACCTTTATTGGTATAGGTTGAATTTTCTCCATGCCTGCTCCTATATGATTTATACCGAGGACTTCCTATAAATTCTCTATAGAAATGAACCTAACATACTAAAGGCCTTTGTCTTATTCCCTTGGTAACATGGTTGCTTGACTTGTATATCTAGGCTTTTCCATTATGTTTCATGCCAGTTTCTTCTCCTTTTCTGGACATACATGTCCTTGCTGATACCTTTTATTTTAGTTAGATCACATAAAACAATTCTGGCCAACTTCTTTTGTCTTTTGGTTTATTTTATAGTGGAAATGTGAATATGGATGTCTTTCAATTTCTCTAATAGCATAAAAATTCATCATTGGGTAAAGATTGCATATTAGAAATACTAAGATTGAATTAACATTTGTAATTGGATAAAGAAAGGTATAGCTGGTATACTCTATATCCCTTCCTTTTTTTTTTTTTTGCCACCCCTCTGCCATCATTGGGAAAGTGCGGCATACAACTAAAAGTCATTTTGAAATTTTATCTCTTTCATGGACCATCTCATCAAGGTTTAGAGGTGACCCAAACACAATGCCAGTAAAGCAAAAATTCAGGTGGGTTTTCTCAAGCTGAAAAATCATTGAAAAGAGACCCCTGTGCAGTGCTAATACATAGCTTCTTGAGGACGAACATAGAGGATCACTACCAGAAAATTGGCCATAAGAGTGGTGAATATTTGAATATTTGAAACTCCACAAGACTGTACCTTCAAATAGTGGTCAGACTTGTCTTCCTTAAGCATATGTCATGTCGCTCCTCTACTTGAAAATCTTCAGTGGCTCCTTACCTTAACCTTCTGTTCCCTACCTCAGACTCCTTGGTTTGTCTTTCCAGACTTGCCATGATATTAGAGAACTCTACCTTTCCATCTCTTGATGCCTCTCTCTGTGCAGTCTACACTCTGGTTAACCTGTATTATTCCCTGCTCCTTAAATACATCCTCTGCTTTCCCACCATTCAGCCTTTGCTGAAATTATTCTTCAAGCATGCATGTACTACCTCTACTTTTCATGAGCTGAATTCCTACCATCTTTTAAGTGCTAAATCAAATGCTACCTTCTACATGTTAGCAACAAAAGTTCCATGAAGCTATTGGTGAACCTGAAAAAAACTTTTTATTAACGACCTTACCAGGCTGGGTGTCCCATGTGTGGGCATACCTTATAGAAGGGAGAGGAGAGCTTTTATTCCTAGGCCCGAATCTCAGTTCCCTCCTCTGTTTCCCCATTGGCTGGGTAATGTAGAGTTTACAGCCTATCCGGAGCTCCTAATTTCACCACGTGAGTCTATGCCCCTAATTACCTCTCTCATTCCCCATAGTTCCTTGTCAACAGCCTACAGCTGCCAGCATCCCAGCAGCTACTCATCACCCTGATGAGTGATGCAGAAGCAACATTCCCAACCACATTTCCTAATACATTCAGTCAGTAATGACCTTTCTCCACCTGGACCACAAAGCACATTGTTAGAAACTCTCTAATGCATGTATAATGTATTACTGTGTGTTATGGTTTTCTGCATATTTATACTTTATTCATATTAGATTATAAGTTCCATTAGGTCAAAATCATGACATCTAAGCTTTGGGTTACATCTAGCACAATGTTTGGCAAATGTTATACACTTAATAAGTGCTTTTGAAATAGAATCCAATTGAAGCTAATAAAATAATTATTTAAATGTTCTGAAAATTATTCTAATTAGGAAATACATAAAATATCTGCAATTGTATTGTACCGATTATTACTGTAAACATTGTAGAGCCTGCTGGGTGAGATCCTTCATCATTCAAAAGAGTTTAGCCTGTTTACTTATTCAGTGAAATGCCAATCAAACTACCAAAGAAATACTTTACAGAGCTAGAAAAAAAATAAATTTTTTTATTAATCAAAATCTTCTGGAGGAACAAAAGGTCAAGACTATCAAAGGAATTAATGAAAAAATGTGAAGGACAGGGGCCTAACAGTAACCAGATCCCAAACTACAGTTATAAAATTTTAATCGTTGAGACAATTTGGTACTGGATAGGACATAGTGGCTGATCAATGGACTGGGTTAGGAACCCAATATACGGAAACAAATGAGCGCAGTAGCCTATTGCTTGATAAACCTAAAGATCCTAGCTATTAGAACAAGAACTCACTATTTGACAAAAACTGCTGAGACAATTGGAGAGCAGTTTGACAGAAGCTAAGCACAGACCAGCATCTCACACTGCATACCAAGATAAGCTGTAAATGGGTGCATGATTTAGAAACAAAGAATGGTATCATAAGCACACTAGGGAAGCTTGGAAAAAATTACCTGTCAGACCTATGGCTAGGGGAAGAGTACATGACCAAAGAAGAGACAGAAAGGCTCACGGGAAGTAAAATGGATAATTTTGATTACATAAAATTAAAAATTTTTTGTACAACCAAAACCAACACAGCTAAAAATTAGAAGAAAAGCAAGAAACTTGGGGGGAAAAAACTTGCAGCAAGTTTCTATGATAAAAGCTTCCTTTCTCAAATATGTACAGAACTGAACCAAATTTATGAAAATAGGAGTCATTCCCCAATCGATAAATGGCACACACTGTGTGGACAATGAGCTGGGCCCAGACATGAGTAGAAGAAAGACAGTAGACTATACTGCCTTCAGTAATAATGACACTCTCCACCCCACCACCCCCAGTTTCTCCCTGAAAGAAAGACCTCTTTTTGGGACAATACTCTTTGAATGATTCTGCATAGCTGCAAGTCATGGAATGTCACATGTGCTAGGAGCCTGGGCTGTTGCAATTTTGGGGGCCAGGCCAGTCCTTCTCCCCTCCCCCCCATCTTAGCTAGCTGCCATGATATTTTACAGGCCAGGGAGCTTGAAATAGAAAAGGATCAGCGGGGTGAGGAAGGTCATCTGAAGGCATTTCCTCAGTTCCAAATGCCAGGAAGTGGCTTCTTTAAGTTCTTGATCTGAGAACTGTAAGGGGAGTGTCTTATCTCAATAGCCTTTTTATTTTTGGATTGTGTGCTTTTAATGTTTATTTTTTAGTCATTTAATTGGATTTTATGGTTGACAAGTGCCTGTTGCATTAAAAAAAAAAACACCCAAAAACCTTGAACCAAAATTAAACTGAAATTAAGCTAAATTTAGACTTAGCCTGACTTAGCCTACAATGCTGCAGTTCTTGAAGAATGAAAGCCATATATCCCTAAAAGGCCCTGGATAGGTGTGTGGAAGGTGTGAGTAGGTTGTAACATAATACCCATCAAGAATTGTATAAGAAATGCAATGTAGAGGATATTATTATTATTTTTTTAAATTTTTTAATTTTTTTTTATTTTTTAGGCAATTGGGGTTAAGTGACTTGCCCAGGGTCACACAGCTAATAAGTGTCAAGTGTTTGGTCTGAGGTCGGATTTGAACTCAGGTACTTCTGACTTCAGAGCCAATGCTCTATCCACTGTGCCACCTAGCTGCCCCAGGATATTATTATTATTAAAGAGATGATGAGTAGGAAAAACAGATGGGTTGGCCATGTGATGAAAGCAAGGATAAATGATGGGCAACTCATGTGTTCTATTGGTATCCACATAACAGAATAAGAATTGCCTGTAGAGAAGGGACTCTGCCCCCTCCCAGTGATTGTAGGGATCCTTTATGGAGGATTTTCAGGATAACACGGTCAAGAGTAGCAAGAGGATGAGAGGACATGGAAAAATTGCTATTTGAGTTGTTAGAAGAATGTGCAGGCAGAATTTATTATACAATTCAAGCCCTGGAATTTGTTCCATAGTCTTTTCTGTTTCATGAGCCACCATAGGCAAAGAATTAATTAGTTGGTGATCAATATACAGGTCAAAATAATTGTTTGATATCATCAAGGTCTTTCATTGAGTCATTGGGAGCTTTCCAGAGCTTGTGCTCTCTGTTTCTGGGGACATGGGACTCCATGCCAAAATGAGGCATTGAGGTAGGACTCTTGTGTAGTTGTAAGAATATGGTTTTTTTTCTCTTTTTTAATGTAAATTGTCTTTTAATTGTAACTTTAAGGAATACCAACAAATGTGAATATTAAATGAGAATTGTGTGTGAAACTAAAATTTTCTCTGTACATTTTTGTTAAGTCCTATTATTTTTTGGACTTTCCAACATTCAGAGATTTTCTTAGTTTTACTCTGACCTGTAATCAGATTCTTCTATCTTCCCATAATATTGTGAAACCCAATTTGGTCTGAACAAAAATTTGTATCACGCAATTCTCTACAGAAGGCATATTTGCTTACACTCTTTAACAAGACCAAAAGGTCACAGCTTTGCGACAAAGGGCCAGTTACAGGAAGAATGCAAGGAGTTTTGCCAACCAGTTATCAAACCAGAAGAATCAATTATAGTTGTTCAGTCAACCAAATAAATAACATTCCACTATAATTCTTTCAGTGGGCAGCTGAACACATTAGATAATGTCTCCACGATTCCAAAGCTCCAGCTTGGGGTTCCTGGAAGTGAATTCTTATGAGAAGTGAAATAAAAAATACACAACATCATTACAGTTTGTCAGGGAGTTACTTAGACAAAGGAATAATATCATCTATGGGTAAGTCTTTCAGGCAAAATCCACTTTTAACTATTATACACTTGGTGTTCTCAGTTTAGTACTTCCCAGTAAAATGGGTTCTTATACACACACATGTAACATATGCCTATATTTAAAATACAACATACATGTACTCACAGGTGTGTTTTATGTATAATATTACATCATATTCTATTGTGTTGTTGCATCATCCATGTCCTATCATCTATTATATATCACATCATATCACATCACATCACATGACATCATATCATATATGATACCACCAGGACCAGTGATTTCACACACTATAAATATATTCTACATGTGTGCTTATACCTAAGGTATCTACGTCTTTAGCTGCACCTCTGTTTCCATGTTTCTATCTATTATGCCTGCCTCAATTTTACTTCTAAGCTGATTTTTCCAGTCTGTGAACTAGAACTACCAAGACTCCACTGTTTTGGATGCAGAAGGGATTGTGCATTGGAGAGATATTTTCTGTATGTGTGGATGGTTTGTAGCTACAGCTGTATGGGCAAAGTGAGGCTTTTATTTTCATAGCTATCAGAAGAGCACTGGGCAGAGTCAGAAGGACTGGGTTCAAATCCCATCTCTCCTGCTTACAAACTGGGTCACTTTGGGCAAATCACCCCAGCTCTCTGGACCTCTGTTTTATTACCTACAAAATGAAGAGGTTGGGTTATATGGCCTCTGAGGTCCCTTCCAGCTTTTATTAACCAAGTCAGACAGTCAACATGCATTTATTAAATGCCTATTATGTGCCGGGCACGGTACTGAGAGCTGGGGATATGAAGGAAGGCCAAGTGAATGAGGAAAAGTGTGTTAAAAACCAGTAAGTGCCTGAATGAATCATGATTCTGACCTGAGCTCAAAAACTCTGAGACAGTGATGACACTCCAAGCTTCTTTTAATTGCCAGAAATACAGCATGTATAAACGGGATATTATTACAGTGCTGTTATATATAATGCTGTTTTATGCATAATATATATGCTTATACCTTATTATTGTTATGAAAGATTTACTTTTTTGTGTGCATGAGTACTATTGTATTCCCAACTAGATTGGAAGCTCCTTGAGGCTAGGGAAGAACTTCAGTTACTTTTCTGTTACTGCTTATTAATGAGGATAGCGCTAGGTGCCTATTTGCTTTGTTCTGTTTTTAGGGGGAGTGGACTGGCCTGTGATTTCATTTGGCACAGACAACTCCTGGCACAAGGAAATGCCCTCTACCAATGCCTATCAGCAAATGGTTTACAACTCAGTCTTTAGAAGTTGCCTGGGACACTGGTTAAGTACTTGCCTGGGCCCAAAGTGGGGTTTGAACAAAGAGTTCTCCCTACCTCTAAGACAGACCTCTTTCCACTTCATCATCATCATCATCAGCAGCAGCAGCAAAACAATAATTCTTATAACAACCATTAACCTTTACGTAGTGCTTTAAGGTTTACGAAGCACTTTACGAAGATTATTTCATTTGGTTACAATGCCTGATGACATTGTGTCATCTGGTGACTTGAGATGAGTGAGCTGAAAGGCTCTTTCTAACTCTAAATACATGATACTGTGATCCTGTGATCTGGGATCTGATTGTGGATTGTAGTCGGCCTAAGATTTGTACAGTGCCTGGCACATGGCCGATGGTTATTGACTGTAGAAATTTTTAGAAAACTTAATCAGCTAGCACACATGAGATAATAGGTCAGTTGGGCCTAGCAATCTGTTGAATTCACTGTTGTGTAAATTGATTGATATCAAGAATCATCTTAATGGGGTTAGATGATTTAGTAATTATTATTGAAGCTGAATGTAATGATTTATGTAATTGAGTTATATTCAACTGTTAAGTTGTCTTCAGGGTTACATCCATCACACAACCCGCTCAATGTGGATTTCTGATCATGTGTCTCAACCGAATACTTTGGACATCCCTAATTATTTGGTTAATTATTGGCTGCAAATGGAAAAAGTTGGTATGGACAAGTTGGGGTAAGCAAGAAAATGTCTTAATACATAAAAATACCATAGTATTGGACCCATATTTACTCTTCACACACAGAAGTAAAAACACAGATATTCTGAGTCATCTTCATGCCATCAACTGCATAATTAGAATACCGCATGCAGAGTCACAAGAGAGTCACTGCCAGGGTAGTGAGGGAGACGTTTGAGCCAGGACCCATCCCTAGTAAGCATAGAGGTTATCTCCATTATACTAAAAGTGATTGCAGCTGTCCTTAGCAACAACCAAACTCAGGAACTTCATGGTCACTTTATTCTCTCTACACAGTAGACAAATTCTAAGAATAATCTTATATAGTGAATATGTGACTATAGCAAAGAAGAAGATGGGATTTTTGGAGGGAGGAATTGCCAGGAACAGCAAAAGTAGATGCTGCCTTCTCTAAGGTCTCCAACTCCACTCACAACCCTGGATTTGTCTTTATTGGTATTGAGAATTTTGCTTCAATTGGGATAGGGATTGACCTTTTTTTGAAAAGGAGATGCCTGCCAAAACAGACACAGTAACTATATGAACATGAACATTAAACACTTTTTATACAAATAAACTCAGATCTAAATAATTGAAGTAATATTTATTATTCACTAGTAGGCAAAGCCAATAAAGCCAGTAATTTTTAAAATGACTATTTAACCTAGTTAATTCATTCAATGTCATCCCAATTAAATTACTAAAAAATTTTTTACTGAGTTAGAAAAAGGACAATAAATTTCATTTGGAAGAGCAAAGGGCCAAGAACTTCAAAGAAACCAGGAAAAAACATGTAAAGAATGTAGATTCAGCACTATCAGACCTTAAACTATATAATAAGGGAAAGCATTGTTAAAGTATAAAAAGGATAATTTTGATTACTTTAAATCAAAATTTTCTTGTATAAATGTAACCTATACAACCAAGAATAGAAGGAATGCAGAAAACCAGGAAAAAATTTTCACAGACAATCTCTCAGATAGGATGTGGTGTAGGAAATGATAAGCTGGTTAATTTAGAAAAACATGGAAAGACAGACCTGTGAAGGAAGATGCTATCTACCTTCAGAGAAACAGATGATAGGTGGAAATAAGCATAGTATGGTCTTACATATAGGTGTATGAATATATATGTGCATAAATATATATATATGTACACATGCTTAATTGTAGCCTTCTTTAGGGTGAGGGGGGTAGGGAGGGAAAAATAATGTAAAAAGTGCATAGCAGAGAATAAAAGAAAACCAACAAGGAAGCAAAGAAAAGCTGGGCTGCTTTGAAAATAATGTGCAGTATTTGTTACATAGGTTTTATTGAAATGGAAATTTATTGTTTCATATTGAATCCTCTTTTATCATATGTTGTGTGCATAGCAATGTTTTTTTTCCTTTTCTCATTTTGTATTTAAGTTTAAAATAAAAATAATTACCAAAAAACCCTAGTAGAAATAGATGTGCATTGAACAGATATAGACTTTTTTCTTTCATCTTTTTGTTGTTGTTGAATTTTTTTCTAGTGGGATGTGACCTATATTTGTAGATTAAAAAATAATTTAAAAGTGTATTAATAATGAATCCAAAATGAAACAAAAGCTAAAATTAAATCCCAAAGGATTTGATATTGTTCCTAATAGGGGTTTGTAGCCCTGCTACTTAAAGGGAACATAATACTAAGAAGAGGTAACATTCAAGAGAGGGGAAAGAAAGGGAGGACGAGAATTCCAGGCAGAGAAGAGCCATACACTCTTAGAAATTAGTTAATATGAGATGAACATTTTAAAATACAAATTGCTGATGATTCACACAAAGATGTATATATACATATATACACACACACACACACACACACACACACACACACACACACACACACATATACACACATATGAAGGGTATGTATGCATTCACAAGCCAATAGAAAACATTAACTTACAAGTCTTCAAAATTCGATTTCTTCTCATCACTGATGGGAGCATAGTTCCAAGCTATTTCAACAATCCCAATATAGTAGTGCCTCTCTCTTGCCCAGACTTGGGGACTGCAGAAAAACAGAAAGCTGACTAGTAACAAAAGCTGCATTTTCCAGGCTTGGAACCTAAGAGAGAGTGAAATGCAACTGAAGCAAGCCATTTTTATGTCAGGGTTTTTTCCTTTATTTGCCTGATTGACACAGCTTAATATTGCACAACCGTCAATTGCAGCTTCAATAAAGCAAATACCAATTTTCTTCTTTTTCTTTTGGCCCAATTCTCAGAAACAAACTGAGGGAAAAAACCAAACCCAAACTGACCCTAACAAAAAAAAATAGGTCATTCTTTGTCAATCCATTCTCGTTACTAACAAAATCAACCGTTATTGTTTTAGGAATTAGAGCCTGCTTAACTCTATCCTTTCTTTCATTTACATTGGCAGACCTCTTCTGTGTTTTAGCTGTAATTCCCACAGTGCTGTGAACACACTAAATAAACAGAGAGGATGATGAAAAATGAACCCAAACATGGAACTCTTAGTCATCACCAGGAAACCGATGGAAAGAGCAACTTGCTTACTTGAAGATATGCAACACCCAGACTAATTGAATTAACTGAAAAGGAAAGTTTCAACACATAAAGCAGCCCTCATTTTTGTGATCTCCTGGACAAGTAGCCATTAAAAAAGCAATGGCTTGGCTTACTTTCCCAGTTGGTGCTTTATGCAAATGTCTAGACTCATTTTATCCTATTTTCATAGTTCCCTTTTGCTACTGGGCATTTTTTTTGTTGGTTAGTCAATTAGCCACGTCTGACTCTTTGAGGGCCCCATGTGGGGTTTTCTTTTTTTCTTTTTCCTAAGGCAATTGGGGTCAAGTGACTTGCTCAGGGTCACACAGCTAGTAAGTGTCTAAGGCCAAATTTGAACTCAGGTCCTCCTGACTCCAGACTCAACAGTCTATCCAATGATCCACCCAGCTAGACACTTTAGGCAATACTTAATAAGCTTGAACTCATTAATAAACTCTTATCTATTGACTATCTTCTCCCAAAGGCAAAGATCCCCTCTCCCCCCTCACCCCCAATCACATTCAAGTGGAACCTACCTTAAGGTAGGTTCTGTTTTATTTGGATCTTTGCGTTCACCTAGTCTGAACTCAAAATCTTTTTGAATTGAATTGTGAGTAAATAAAAGGAGCTTTGTAAGTCCATAAATCTAGACCTTTTTGGTTTTGGTCTACCTTATAAACACATTTCAGTAAGAAGTAATTTTAGTAATAGCAGAAAGTGTATAGTTTGATGATTTTTCTAGTTGTAGGAGAGGCCGAATTAGACCATAGGGCCATTTCATGGACCATGATCAGAGTTCCCCTCCCTGTTTCTGGCTGACATGTAGGTGCTTTAAAACCTGCTTCTTGGCATGTGGTGGTACCCCAAGATCTGGGAGCTCCCTTGGTCCCCTTCCCACTCAGGACTGTGGCAGGAAGATGGAGTGCTATCAGGTAAAAGAAGAGGCAGCCTCCTCTTCGCCTCCTGGTCACGGTGCTCTCATGTGACAAGTAATACGCTCTGTCTCTAGATTCCCTTTGGTGGGGTCTGAAGGATCGAGCTACTACCTTTCTTCCATCCTGATGCCACTCTGACATATAATCTCAAACAGAAAAGCTAGTTCCTGGGCCCTTGGCTGTTTTTTGCTCTTTGCTTCATTTCCTGAATGAATGACTGATCATGAACATCAAAGTGGATGTGACCAAGCTTGGAGGCAGGTCCCACCATTGTAGCTTACTGGTGGCAAGGAAAGCTTTGGCATCAGAGAATATGGCCACTGAGGGGAAGATTGGCCTGAGACTGACCGTTTTACTTACTGAGCATTATTTAGACAGCACAGAGCTGAGGTGAAATGTAAAGTGTCCAAATAGCAGGACTTTAAACTACTTTATCTTTTGATAAGGTTGAAGTATTAGCCTCCCAAAAGCCTGAAATATTATTAATATACTGAATCCAGCTGTTTTTTGTTTTGTTTTGTTTTTTGCTTTTTGGTGAGGCAATCGGGGTTAAGTGACTTGCTCAGGGTCACACAGCTAGTAAGTGTTAACTGTCTGAGGCTGGATTTGAAGTCAGGTTCTCCTAGATGTTTGTTTTTGTTAATGTACCTTATGAGTCTTATATGTTTAGTATTTCATATGTGTGTAGAAATAAATTCCCTGTCCCCTACATAATTCATATTACATTCTGACAATGTCTTTCTTCTCTTACTTTTGAGGAAACCTTTCCTACAAACCATAACCTAAACTATAAACAAAATCTTCCCCAGGATGTTGGGGTAGATGTTTAATGAGCCAATGAGTGTGGAAAAAGGGAGCCCCCTTTTGTTAGAGGCTAAGGTCCCTAGGACTGAACCGGACTTAGACTGCATTCCTGGATACGTAATAGGGAACGGGCATAGTACCCCAGCCATAGTATCCCGGTGAGCAAAGAAGCTATTCTTCTAGTTTAGATATTGTTCCAAATTTTTTTCCCCAGAAATCTGTTAAATTCTCAAATCTGACAAGTATAATAATGTATTAGAATGCCTGCCTTCCCACAGCACCACAACAGTAACTATTTCTATCTTTCATCATCTTTGACCATGGCCTTCTTCACTGATAATGGATAGAACATATTTTGTTCTAATGTAGCACTTTGCATTGGTATCTCTTGAAACATTAGTGATTGGTGTATCTATTGGTTTTGCTGAATTGCTTCCTGCCCCCCTTTTTCTTAATCTTTATTACAAGGAATAGCTTGCTGGGGAGGGGAAGGAGGAGGGAAACGTTTGGAAATGAAGATGATGTAAAAATAAAACATATCAATAAAAAAAATTTAGAAGACAATAAAGAAAGAATCCTTCCATCCCTTTCCTTCCACCCCCGATGAAAAATCGTGTGGATACTTTTGTGTGTATGTTCACAGTAGATATCTTGTAGCATCCTCATCTTCATTTGTAGTACAGAGACGGAGTCAGGGCCAGAGCTCTATCTGCTAAGGAGAAAGTAGAGTATTAAAATATTTAAGGATACTAGCTATAAATTGGCTGGGATTAGAATATGAAACCTGTAGACATTTAGGGATAGCCAAGTGGAGCACTGGTTAGAGTGCCAGACTTGGAGTGAGGAAAACTCATCTTCCTGAGTTCAAATCTGGCCTCAGACAATTACTACCTGTGTGATCCTGGGCAAGTCACTTTACCCTGTTTGCCCCAGTTTCCTCATCTGTAAAATGAGCTGGAGAAGGAAATAGCAAACCATTCTAATATCTTTGCCAAGAAAATCCAAGATGTGGTCAGGTGGAATCAGAAACAACTGAACAACAACATAGACTTTTTGACCTTCTAGGTTGATACTGTCTCTGTTAGTCATTCCGTCATTTTAACCACTCCATTTTTCCTCTCAAGTTAATTCCCAACCAGACTTCGAAGTGCAGAGCTCAAAAGATGAGGGACTAGAGTTGGGGTCCTTACCTTGTTTTACGTCTTGGACCTTTTGGTAGTCTGGTGAAATATACGGACCTCTTCTCAGAATAATGGTTTTAAACACTAGAATAAAATTCATAAAATTACAAAGGAAGAGAATTTTGTTGAAATACAGCTATTGAAATAGAAAAAAAAAAGAATTCATGGACTCCAGGTTAAGAACTCCTAGAAACCAGTTTTGAGGAAGGGAAATAAAACATGACTATATGTGGTTCCCACTATATGAGCACCCACCGTATGAACTATATGAGCACCCACTATGTTCAGGGACTTAAATATGCCTCTGAAGTGTGTCAGGATATATGAAAACCCAAACTCTAGCTCTGAAGTCCCTTAGGCAAGCTAGGAGGCACAGTGCATGGAGTGCTGGGCCTGGAGTCAGGAAGATCTGAATTTAAATCCTGCCTCAGACACTTACTAGCTGCAAGACCCTGGGCAAATCACTTAACTTTTGTTTGCCTCAGTTTCCTCCACTGTAAAATGGGGATGATCATGGCCCCTACCTCCCAGGTTGTTGTGACGATCAAATGAAATATCCACGTACACAAAAATATTTACAGCAGCTCTTCTTGTGGTGGCCAAGAACTGGAAATGCAGGGCATGCCCATCAATTGGGGAATGGCTGAAAAAGTTGTGGTATATGAATGTAATGGAATACAATTGTGCTATAAGAAATGATGAGCAGTCAGACTTCAGAAAAACCTGTAAAGACTTATATGGTCTGATGCTGAGTGAAGTGAGCAGAACCAGGAGAACATTGTACACAACAACAGCCATGTTGTGTAATGACTAACTCTGATAGACTTACCTTCTCTCAGCAGTGCAAGGATCTAAGACATCTCCAAAAGACTCATGATGAAAAATGCTGTCCACATCCAGACAAGGAACTATGGAGTCTGAGTGCAGCTTGAAGCACATTCTTTGCTCTCTCTCTATCTTTTTTGGTTCTGTTTTGTTTCTTTTTTCTCGTGGTTCCTCCCCTTGGTTCTAATTTTTCTTTACAACATGACTCATGTGAAAATATGTTTAATAGGAATGTATATCTAGAGTCTACATCAGATTGCATGCCAACTTTGGGAAGGGTGGAGGAAGTGATGGGGGAGAAAATTTAGAACTCAAAATTTTTTGGAAGTGAATGTTGAAAACCAAGAAGAAATAAATTAATTTAAAAAGAAGATCAAATGATAGAATTTGTAAAGTGCTTAGCACAGTGCCTGTCATATAGTGGGTGCTACATAAATGCTTGTTCTTTTACCTTTCCCCAACTTTGATGCAGTGGAAGGAGTACTAGATTTGTAATCAAAGCAACCAGGTTTGAATCCTGATTCTTTTATTTGCTACCTGTGCATCCTTGGGGAAATCTCTTGACTTCTCTGGGCCTGAGTTTCCTTGTTTGTAAAAATAAGAGTTTTGGACTAGATGACCTTTAGTTCCTTTTATCTCTCCATCTTTGACATTATGATAGGAGTCATATTTACTTTTATAGGCCTCAGTTTCCTCTTCTGTAAAATGAGGGTCATGACATCTAAAGTCCTTTCTGGTTCCAACTTTTACCTCAATTCTTAGAAGGCTTCCCGAGGGCTCCCTCCTCACTAGGATCACTCCTACAGCCTGCCTGATGAGCTTCTGGGCTAAATCAGTGGTGGCCAGTACATTATCTCAGTAATTGGATGAAATAGTTTTTAGGGCCACAAATTCTCCGCTTCACTTTTACAACCAGTTTAGTACTTTCAGTTATACTCCCAAACACAGAGTTTAGGCCAGCTTTGATCCCGAGTTCAAGTTCTGATATATGACCCTACATAAAGTCATTCAATCTCTCAGTGTCTGAAGAAATTCTCTAAGAATGTAAATTACAGATCAGTTGGTGGTCACCAATATGCTGCTTGAGGGTAGGGGCAAATTCTTTCTTTGTCTTTGAATCCCCATTAGCTAGCACAGTGCCTGGCAAACAGCAAAGCCTTAATAAATGGGGGATGAATGGTGAATGGATAAAGCTGCATCCATGGAAGGAATTTCCACACTGATGAAAGCACAGGTCCAGATTGGGAAAAAAAATGATCACAAGGAGATGTACTCTTTAAGAAAGTTTCAATCAAGAGTGTAAGTAGGGCAGGGTGAATGAGTATAGCAGCTGCTTTGTAGTTCATCCTAGAAATGGATGCATGGAAGAAACAGGACAGAGGTCAGAGTAGTAGAGTTAGGTATTCGTGACCACACCCTCTACTGTTACATGCAACTGTCCACTTCTCCTGTAGCATAGGAATCAGCGAATCAGCAAGAACTGATTGTTGAATGAATGAATGAATTTATATGAATGAACCTATAGCTTAAATAATACAACGTGCACTCTTTTATGTGCTGAAAGACAATGCTTGCATGCTGACCAGAATGTTAAATAAGAGACAGCAATTTTATTGGTGGCATTTATGAAGAATAAAGACAGGCATGTGGGATATGAGTGAAGTCTGATGTATGCAAGGTACTGAGTCTGAGATCAGCAGATTTAAAGAACACTTTATTGGAAAGATGCACGTTTCACTTTATGTGTCTTTTATTTATTTAGTTCTTTCGTTCCCATTTGAAACAGCTGAGGGTATTGGACTTATTAAAAATTCACATTAACTAGACAGAATATTTTTAGTTCATTCCTTCAATGAATTCCTATGGTGAGGTCAAAGCAGGTAGAATTCTTCAATAACAAATTGAAAAAGGTGGCCTTCAATTTGTAGTAATCATAGAGTTTTTATGTAAAACAGCCTGCCAATAGGCAGTTTCTCCAAATTGTTTTCTTTTTATAGGAAATTGTGTAAAGAATTGTGTAACTCTGGAATTTTGTTTTAGTGTCCTGTCACGTACAGAACTTTGGCAATTTAAAGGTAAGGTGAAAGCTTATTGACTAGTAGCCTTTTGGGAGGAATCTAGATGATATATTTTAATATGACTTGGTACAGGATTGACATAACTACTTTTCCTCCTTTTTTTTTTTGTTCTATTCAAGCCAGTTCTTGATTATTCAATGATTGATGTGACCTAGTTTGTGAACTAAATTGTTCCTGTGTTTTTCCTCTCTGTGACTACTTATACCTGTGTGACCCTGGGTAAGCCATTGCACTTCTTCGTACCTAAATTTCCTTATTTATGACGAATGAAAAGATTAGCCTGAGGTCTCTTGAAGATCTAAATTCATTATTTTTTTAAGCATCCCTCCAGCATTCCACTGAATTTTTATACCCTGGAATGTAACAATTCTACAGGCAGGGGAAAGGAGAGATCAAAAACGATTTAGCCCATTTTCCTACTCATTTGTAAAAGATTTGATGTGGTGGAAGATTGAACCCACTAGCTAAAATAGATTCTTTAAAATTATGTGAAGATTGCAATTATTCATGCCACTTTTTTCATTCATTCAACAAATATTCATTATGTACCCACTACATGCTTGCAATGTGAAAAAAGAAAATTACTGCCTTCAAAAAGCTTATATTCTATTTGGTAGAAATAACATTTACCCGGAGACATAAATACAAATTATACATAATTTTTTTTGAGGGGGGGGAGGAAGGGCTAACAATTGGAAGATCAGAGAGTACTTTTTATTTTTTTTATTTTTATTTTTTGAGGCAATTGGGGTTAAGTGACTTGCCCAGGGTCACACAGCTAGTAAGTGTTAAGTGTTTGGTCTGAGGCTGCATTTGAACTCAGGTCCTCCTGACTTCAGAGCCAGTGCTCTATCCACTGCGCCACCTAGCAGCCCCAGGAGAGGACCTTTTATAGGAAGAGGCACACACTTGAACTGAATTTTGAGGAGGCTGGGGATTCCAACAGGTGAAGGTGAGAAAAGAGAACTTTCCAGGCATGGGAGAGGGTTTGTGCAAAGGCACAGGAGTGGGACACAAAATATTGTGAGTTGGATCTTTTTGCTGGAATGTAGAACACATGAAGAGGATTAATAGGGCATGAGTCCAGAAGAGATAGTTGAAGCCAGATTATAAAAGATTTTAAGTGACAAAGAGAAGAATTTATATTTTATACAAGTCTTTAGAAGTTTTTATTTTATATATTTATTTATTTATAGACTTTAGAAGACTAAAGAACTTATATACTGAAGAAATTTTTTTTCAGCAAGGGAATGAAATGGTCAGATTTGAGGTTTAGGCATATCATTTTGGCAGCTGCATGTCATACATATATTGGCATATACATATATATATTTGGCAGCTGCATATTAATATATATATATATATATATATATATATATTTGTGTGTATCTATAAATATATGCATATCTATCTATCTACCTATTTATCTATCTATGACATAATCACATCATAGAAGTTGAAAATGTACCTCTTTCTGATTCTGAGATAGCCTCTGGATTCAATCCTCCCCTTCCTGGGGGAAGAGGTCCCTATGTGTCTGGAGAAGTGTCTCATCTGAGCTCCTTGACCCTCCAGAGGGTGCTAATATGAAATTTCTTCTTTATTTGAATCCTTCTCTGGATCCTCTCTATATAGGCATCTAACTCGAACAGTCCACCTGCAGATGGTGGATGGGCTCTTCTTGGAACCTGCTTGGTCCTCTCTTCATTACTCTTTTCCCCTTGGATTCTATGGAATCCAACCAACTTCCTAGTGGGCTAGGGACAGAGGCATGTGATGTATTGTCTTTGTAGGACCCTGACTGTCCTCTGGGATTTATCTTTGTGGGTGTTATTTTGTATTATGTTTCAGGTATCCTTACAAGATTATAAGTTTCATGTGGGAAGGCACCACTGGACCATAGATCTAGAGTAAGAAGGAACTTTAGAGGCTCTCTACTCTAACCTCCACATTTTGTAGACCAGAACATTGATAACTACTTACACAAGGTCCCAGCATTAGTGAGGGTCAGAAGTAGGATACAAACCCAAGACTCACTAGAGTTCATGCCCCCTCACCCAATGGATCTTGTCCCATCTTTAGGTGTTGTCCTGGTACTGAGAGAATGGTAAAAATAAAAAAAAAATCAGGAAAAGGGCTCGAGTGAGACTGACCAGACCTCTATAGAATATTCAATAGAAGACTTTGACAAGATAGAGAGGACAAAAAGGTGTAGATGAGTTGGGAGCCCTTCCACTGCAGGGAGTATCCTGATAGATAGGATTCGAAATCCATTGATATATTTTCCCTCCCCAGTGGCCTAGTAGAGTGCTCTGCTTACAATGAAGTGCTTGTGAAATGCTGATTGAATGGGAAGTATTCAAATATTTGTGCCCTTCAAAGTGTGTGGGAATGAAACGGAAATGAGATGGAGAAAGGGGTCAAGGCTCTATCCAATATCATCAAGACTATTCTGAAGAGACAGATAATATCCATATTTTTTTCCTCACTGTATTAGAATTTTTATTATCTCCAGTACAATGACTGTGATTGCCATCTGTGCAAGTCTTTCCTACCATAGTTGTTATTGTAGCTAAGTGGAATAGTAGGTAGACTGCAGGGTCTAGAATCAGGAAGACCCGAGTTCAAATGTGATTATAGACACATACTAGCTGTATGACCTTGGGCAAGTCAGTTAATCCTATTTGCCTGAATTTCCTCATTTTTAAAATGAGCTGGAGGGGCAGCCAGGTGGCACAGTGGACAGAGCACCAGCCTTAGATTCAGGAGGACCTGAGTTAAAATCTGGTCTCAGATACTTACTAGCTGTGTGACCCTGGGCAAGTCACTTAACCCCATTGCCTAACCAAAAAAAAAGAAAAAAATTTATATATATATAGATAGATAGATAGATAGATAGATAGATATAGATATAGATATAGATATAGATATAGATATAGATATAGACATAGATATAGATATAGATATAGATATAGATATAGATATAGATATAGATATAGATATAGATATAGATATAGATATAGATATAGATATAGATATAGATATAAAATGAGCTAGAGAAAAAAATGGCAAACCACTCCAGTATCTTTGCTAAGAAAACACCAAATGGGGTCACAAAGAGTCAGACATGACTGAAATAACTTAACAACAACAATCACTAATAGTGTCACACTCCCATAATGTAATCCTACTGAAATCTCTAGCAGCTTATACTCAAAGATTAACAAGAAAGTTTTAATTTTTGTTATTTTTAAAAACACTCCATTACTAATGATTACATTCACAATTTACTTTAACTCCTCCAATGTTCCTTTGCAGACTTGAGTTTTCAGTTTTCTTCTATGCTAGTAACATTGATGTAGGCTCATCAAAATCTCTTCATGAAGTCTTTTGTTCTGTAGGACAGAGAGATTTAAAGAAAAACTCCATGTTAAAAAGTACCCAGCAACCTAGTTTACACACTAGAATCTGGAATTATGAAATAGTTGCATGGCATGTCTAACTTCTACGTAATTTCTGTAGTAGTTTTTCTGTTTAAAGTGGTGCTCCTTGGGGGCAGCTTGGTGGCACAGTGGGTAGGGCACTGGCCCTTAAGTCAGGAGGACCTGAGTTCAAATATGGCTTCAGATACTTACTAGCTGTGTGACTTTGGGTAAGTCACTTAACTCTGATTATCTCCCCCCAAAAGTAACAATTAAATCTTGCTCCTTAAACTGATAAATACTTTGGTGTTTGCTAGTAATCAACTGGTGTTGCACTTCCTCCCGTAATGTGGTATCTGTGCATCTGTAGACATTCTCTAATGTTCAGGCTGTGTTCTGAAAGTTGTTTGTTTGGAACTGGGAAGAATTTTCTCATGGAAACCTTTTACGGCAGGCCATAAAGGCCTGCTTAATCACGATCTATCATTTAATCCGTGACACACATTTTTCATGAGGCTATACCTTTGATTGTAGTATGATGAAATCTGAGAGGTCATCCAGATACAACATCATATGGGGTTCCATTAGTACCTATACTACCACTGATATCAAATTACTAGTGAGTCTACATTTTATTTGTATTGTGGGTGAAATTGGCTTCTGTGGGAGAATGTCTCTGTCTAAGCAGAGAAAAGGGATCTCAGTGGCCTAAGAGCAGGTCATCACATTCAGTAAGATATGAGGTCATGGAACCTCAGGAAGAGCAGAAGAAGGTGGGTTCTTTGTTGTTCTCTATGGTTCCCAGTTGAGGCCACCCCATCTCATATATATATATATACATATATATGTATATATATGTATATATATGTATATATATGTATGTATGTACGTGTGTATATATGTATATATGTGTGTATGTGTGTATATATATACACATACATATATGTATGTATGTGTATATATATGTATATGTATGTATGCATGTATGTATGTATGTATGTATATATGTGTGTGTATTTGGTGAGGCAATGGGGGTTAAGTGACTTGCCTAGGGTCACACAGCCAGTCAGTATCATGTGTCTGAGGCTGCCACCCCCAACTCTTAATAAAGTATGACTACATGTGGCCCACATGATTCTAAGTAGAGAATGCTCATAAATAGAGCATTCATAAATTAGTAGAAATGTGCATCATTGTTAATCACTTTATTGAGTAGAATTTAAGTTCCTTGATAGTAGAGACTTCTTATTTGACTTTCTATCTGCAATGACTAGAACAGAACCTGGCACATGGTAGTCATTTGTTGATTTGAATTAAATTCCATTCTCTAGGTCACTGAATATTAGAGTTTAATTTCTTAGTCCTGCTATTGAAGGAAGCTCTTTGTGAGTTGTCAAGGGAGGTTCCTGGTAGATAGTGAAGACCTGGAGTTGAAGCCACTTGAGGAAGTGGAGGCCCTGACACATCCTCTCAGGGTCACACAGTAGTGTATGTGACATCCCTGGTCATTCTCCTTTCTCATTCACACAAGGCTTAGGGATACTCAGAGGCTGCTGTCAGGGTGAAAGCCATTTTCCCCTGGGGCTGAAGAGAGACACATTCTAATAAAAACATGAGTATGAGATGGAGCTGTGCTTCCCTCTGCTATGAGGTACTCCTAGCATTGAGCTGACCGAAGGAAGTACTGAGACTTTAAGTCATTTGCCCCATTGGTTAAATGTCAGAGCTGAGAATTGGGTTTAGGTCTTCCCTACTCCAAGCTTAACTCTTCACATACTGTGGTATTACTCTCTCTAATACTACACCTAAAGCCAATAACAATAATAACTACTGATGATTAAATAATGCTTTGAAGGTCTGCAAAGCACTTTGTATATGTTAGCTAAGAAGAGAGTTCATAGAAGAGGGGAGAGAGATAGTTTTCCATTCTGCAATGTAAATCTCTTTGGATCATAGACAAAGATTTAGAGCTAAAAGAGACCTTACAAGTCACAAAGAGGAAAACTGGTCTCATTGACCTGTAAAAAAGAAGAAATATATCAGAGGCTTTTAAAAAAGTCTATTTTTGAATTCTAGATCAATAAAGGTCTTCTTTGTTCTTGTTTGTGTCATCTTTTCGTAAATTTCCAAGTAGATGCTCCTATGGCTAATATGTCCAATTAAAACAAATGAGGCATGCACCATTGAGAGTTTGTTTATGTGAATACCTCTCTGTCCTCAGCAAAAGAGGTGGTGAGCACAGCAGGCACAGTGGAATGTGTTGAGCAGTTGTTTGTTATATTGTAAATCCTGGCACTTATTCTATAATCACATTTTGCTGTTGTTGTTGAAACCTGTGATTTCATCATTCTAGGGGATGTCCAGTGTGGAAAGTTCTTTCATCTATGCAAAAGAACAAATCCTCCATAATTGGTAGTCGGAGAATTGTCTGGGCATGGAGAAGGTTAAATGATTTGCCAAGGGTCAAATAGCTGGCAAATGTCAAACATGGAATTTGACCCCTGTTCTTCCCAATTTTGAAGCGGACTCTTGATCCATTACACAGTGAAGTTCTATATATCTGTCTTGGATTATTTGAGGCTGTATTCAGAAGATTCTAGATCTAGAGTTGGAAGGGACATTGAATCCAACTCTTTCATTTTTACTCATAAGGGAACAGAGGCCCAAGGAATGTGGAAGAATAGTAGGAAACTTTTTAGTTTCTTCTTTTTGGTTTCTCTAGAATATTAAGAAACAACATTTCTTTGTCCAAAAGACAGGATAAAGGTTAGGATAGATCAGGAACAAAAAGGCCTTTTTATAAAGAAATGGAATAAGGGTGGAAATCAACCTTTTAAAAAAGGGTGACTCTGGTTGTGTTAAGAGTATTATCTTCCAAGGGTGGATCCAAGATGGCAGAGAAAGGGCAAGGACTTGCCTGAGCTCTCCTAAGTTCTCCTCCAAACAACTTTAAATAATTCCTCAAAACAAATTCTAGAGGAGAAGAACCCATAAAAGGATGGGGTGAAAAAAAAGTTTCCAGCACACAATAATTTAGGTCAGTAGGAAGGGTCTATCACACTGGGATGATAGTGGAGCACAGGCTGTGTTATCTCTCAATGGGTCCCAGAAAACTAGTAGCAGGCCTTGGGAATAATGGAATCAACAGTGCCAGCACCTACTTTTCAAGCTGTCAGCCCACAAACAGTAAGAAGGTTAGACAACTGGTCAGAAGGAGATTACAAGTGTCTCTTTGTTAGCACTGAAGCAGGACTCTGTTGCTTTGCCTATACTCAGATTTGGGTTACAGTCTTGGGTCAAAATCCCAGGGCAAGGAGGAATGCTAGCACAGCAGAGCTTGTGGCCTTAGAGGAGCAGGGACCCTGGTCATTGTTCCAGGGCAGAAAAGAGTACTTGAGGTTACTCACAGACCAGAGCACATGCCAGGAGAGTAGTAATACACTTCACCTTAGAGGTGGAAGAATTGAAAGCTTACAGACTCCCAGAACTAGCTTCACAAAAACCCTGAAGTTTGGGACAGTGCCCCAACTCCAGGAGTAGGAGCAGAATCCAAGTTTAATATACAGTTAAAAGTCAAGAAATCAGCTAGGAAAATGAGCAAATAGTAACAACAACAAAAGATCCTGACCATAGAAAGTTACCATGGTGACAGGGAAGATCAAAATGCAAACTCAGAAGACAACAAAGTCAAAACTGCTACATTCAAAGCCTTAAAGAAAAATTTGAATTGGTCTTGGGCCCAAAAAGAATTCCTTGAAGAGCTTGAAAGGGATTTTAGAAATCAAATAGAGAGGTAGAGGAAAAATTGAGAAAAGAAATGACAGTGATGCAAGAAAATCATGAAAAAAGAGTTGATAGCTTAGTAATGGAAGCACAAAAAAAAAACTAGAGAAAATAACACCTTAAATGGCCAAATGGTAAAAGAGGCAAAACAAACAAACAAACAAACCCAACAATAAAGAGAAGAAAGCCTTAAAAAACAGAACTGACCACATAGAAAAAGATGTACAAAAATTCACTGAAGAAAAGAACTCCTTAAAAAGTAGAATTAGACAAATGGAAAAAAAAAAGGTACAAAAACTCACTGAAAAAAAATAATTCCTTAAAAATCGGAATTGGACAAATGGAATCTAATGATTTCATGAGACGTCAAGAAGCAATAAAACATAATCAAAGGGAAAAAATAGAAGGAAACGTGAAATATCTCATTGGGAAAACAACTGGCATGGAAAATAGAACCAGCAGAGATAATGTAAGAATTATTAGGCAACCTGAAAGCCATAATCAAAAAAGAAGCCTAGACATCCTCTCTCAAAGAAATTATCAAGGAAAACTATGCTGATATTCTAGAACTGGAGGGTAAAATAGAAATTGAAAGAACCCACTAATCACCTCCTGAAAGAGATCACAAAATGAAAACTCCCAGGAATATTGTAGTCAAATTTCAGACCTCCAAGGTGAAGGAGTAAATATTGCAAGCAGCCAGAAAGAAACAATTTAAGTACTATGGAGTCACAGTCAGGATAACATAAAATTTAGCAGCTTCTACATTAAAAGATCAAAGGGCTTGGAATATGATATTCAGGAGACAAAAAGGCTAGAATAACAACCAAGAATTACCCACCCAGCAAAACTGAATATAATCCTTAATGTGGATAAATGGATATTTGATGAAATAGAGGACTTCTGAGCATTCCTGATGAAGAGATCAGAGCTGAATTGAAAAACTTACTTTCAAATACAAGACTCAAGAGAAGCATAAAAAGGTAAGCAGAAAAGAGAAATCATGAGAGAAAAGGAGATGTAGAATGAGGTAAATTATTTCTCATAAATGAGGTGCAATGAAGGAAAAGGTGGAAAAGGGGGGCGCATATGACCCTTACTCTCATTGAAATTGGCTCAAAAAGTCAGTGACATAAACATTCAGTTGGGTATAGAAATTTATCTTACCCCACAGAAAAGTAGGAGAGGAAAGGGATAAGAAAAGTGTGGGGGGGTGCTGATAGAAGGGAAGGCAGATTGGGGGAGGTGATAGCAAAAAACAAAACACTTTAAAAAATGAACAGGGTGAAAAGAGAGAGAGTAGGTAAATTGAGAAAACAGGATGGAGGGAAAAACAGTAATCAACTGTGAATAAAATTTTACAACAAGTTTCTTTGATAAAAGCCTCATTTCTCAAATATATAAAGAACTGCATCAATTACATAAAAATAAGAGCCATTCCCCAACTAATAAATGGTCAAAGGATATGAACAAGCAGTTTTCAGACAAAGTAATCAAAGGTATCTATAGTCATATAAAAATGCTCTAAATCACTATTGATTAGAAAAAATGCAAATTAAAAAAACTCTGAGGTACCACCCCACACCTATAAGATTGGTTGATATGACAGAAAAGTAAAATGACAAATGTTGGAGGGGATGTGGGAAAATTGAGACACTGATGCACTGTTGGTGAAGTTGTATATTGATTCTATCATTCTGGAGAGCAATTTGGAGCTATGCCCAAAGGACTATAAAATCATGCATACCTTTTGATCCAGCAACACCACTGCTAGGTCTGTATCCCAAAAATATATTTTTTTTAAAAAAGGAAAAGAGCCTATATATACAAAAATGTTTATAGCAACTCTTCTTGTGGAAGCAAAGAATTAAAAATGGAAGGGATTTCCATGAGGGATGGCTCAATAAACTGTGGTATATGATTGTGATGGAATACTATTGTACTATAAGAAATGATCAGCAAGATGCTCTTAGAAAAACCTGGAAAGACTTACATGAACTGATGCAAAATGAAATGAGCAGAACCAGGAAAACATTGCCCACAGTAACAGCAATACTATAAGATTATCAAATGTGAATAACTTAGCTCTTCTCAGCAATACAATGATCCAAGACAACTCTGAAGGACTTATGATGAAAAAGCTATCTATCTTCAGAAAAAGAATTGATGGAGTCTGAATGCAGTTTGAAGCATATTTTTAAACTTTCTTTATTTTTACTTGGTTGTTTTCTTTGGTCTGTGTCTTCTTTCATAACATGACTAAGATGGCAATATGATTTACATGACTACACATGTATAGCCTATATTAAAATGCCTGACTTTTCAATGAGGGGGGGTAGGAGGGAGAGGGAGAATTTGGAGCTCAAAATTTTTAAAATGAATGTTAAAAGTTTCTTTTGTATGTAGTTGGGGGAAAAATAAAAATATTAAGTAATATAAAAGAGTATTATCTTCCCCAACTCTAGACTGATTGGATTATTGATCCATGTATTGACAGTGTCCTAGACTTACCTACCTGTCCTCTATTCCATTCAAGGGGAAACCCCTCTTCTATTGTTCAGATGTCATCCTATGATACCTATCTTACCTGCTCCCACTCAAAAAAATCAAAACTAATCTGTTGCCAAGACCTATCAATTTTAGCTTGCAACATCACTTCTCAACCCTTCTTAATTCTAGTGCCTTGTCTCTATTGATTATTTCCTATTTATCCTGTATATAGATTGTTTGTACATATTTGTTTACTTGTCTCCCCTAATAAATTGTGAGTTCCTTGAGAGCAGGGACTGTCTTGTACCTCCTTTTATATCCCCAACACCGAACACTGCATCTGGAACATAGTAAGTGCATAATCAATGTTTATTGACTGACTGACAGAAGAGATTCACCCTCATATTCAATATTTATTTCTGGGAGGAGTCCCACTGATTCCTTGACAAATGGGATGGTGAATGTTAGTCAATTATTTTGGCATGTTAACCCCAAACTGTACATATATGTGTGTGTATGTGTACATATATATACATATATATATATACATATATATACATATATATATATTCTTCAAGATTGTTATATTATTGTGATTTTTTTGGGCTAGAGAGTCATGTTGGAGTGAAGGGAGCAACTATGCTAGTTTGGACATCCTCTCTCTCTCTCTCTCTCTCTCTCTCCCCTTCCCTCCCTCTTCCTCCTCTTTCTGAATCTGTCTCTCTGTTTCTTTCTATCTCTCTGGACTCTGACAGAAATTGCTTGGATACTAGATTATTGTTAAATTAAATATTTTTTCCCTAGAAGCTATCCCCAAAATGAAGAGGACGTTACTAATAGCTTTTCTTTGATAAGAATTTAACTGACGCCACACAGAGTAAGTATCAAAGGAGTGATTGGAGTCCAGGACCTCTGTGTCATTGTTTCTTCCTCTGCTTCCCATTTTCTGTAATGGGCTAGGTGAAGAAATTCCACTCCATCTCAATGGTGGCATTATCCATCAAGGATAGGCCAGCTTTCAGTGGGTATGAATTCTGGACTTGAAATGTGGAGCCCTGGTTTCCCATCTCAGCTCTGGCATTCACTACTTGTATGGCCCCAGGCATTCAGTTAAATTCTATGGACTTGTTTCCTCTTCTTCCAAACAGTAATAGAAATAGTTGCACTCTACCCACTTTGCAGGCTTGTGAGGAAAGCATTTCACAAACCTAAAATGATGGATTCTCCTCCTCATAATGAATATTAATATTATATGGGCTGGGAAATGGAATCTGGGTGGAGTCTTCGCACCATACATAGCTCCTTTCTTTTAGCCATCCTACTCCTATCATCTCTTGAGAAGACCTCCGTCATCCATCCCAAAGTGAGCAGTCTGATTCCAGTTCCCCAATTGTCTTCCATCCAGAAAATTACTTTGCAAAGCTGGGTGTCGTGCCAAACCTGATTCCCCATGAATAGGTGATGCAGACAGTTTCTATACTGCCTGCCTGACTTCAGATAAGACCAATCTAGAAATAAATATAGTACCCACTTGAACCCTCTTATATAAACAGGGACTATAAAAGAAACAGATTCCAAAAGTCAAAACAATAAATATTAGTCATGGGTTTATGGTTATGGTGTCTCAGTGATGTATTATACACTTTAAAAAATAACTAGCAGGAGGTAGATTCAGGTACCAGATTCAGAGTTAGAGCACCTGGGTTCAAATCTGCTTCTGTTTATTTACCTCTGTTACCCTGGGCAATTCACTTCTGCTTTTCCACATTTGTAAAATAAGGGTGTTGGACTATATGCCCTTTAACACATCCCTTCCAGTTCTATACCTGTTTGAACAATGGCTAACACTACAGTTCCTGATATTAGGTAAAGAATGACTACTTTAGATTTCATCAAAGAAAAAAAAAGCTTATCTATCTTTACAAGACAGTCACTTGGGAGGATCTCTCAACAAGATGTTCCTTCTTACCTTCTATAGATACATTAAGCTGCCACGGTCATAAGAACTTTCATCAAGCCCCTTAATAACCCTTACCTTCTCTCGGTAAAACAGTGTAGGTGCTTTCCATTCCAGCACCAATGTGTTCACTAAGATGACAGTGAAATAACCAAGTCCCGACATTTTTTGGATACATTTGAACAGTTTTGAATGTTCCAGGAACAAGGTCGTAAACATCTGAGCGAAAAAATCCAGCATCCTGAATGAGAAAGGTGAAATAATATCAGTGTATTTACTTGAGGTAATTCAGGTAGTTGCATAATTTATAACCTGACAACTTGTAATTATCAATCAGAGCTGCTCAAATACAGGTTTAATTAAGGTCCATGTGGCCCTGGGTACTTGAATTTTTATAGGCACTTTGGAAGATACATTTTTAAAAGAGTGTCAGATTTTGTGAGGAAAGAAAATCTTGAAAAGTTCATTCCTTTCATTTTATGGGAAAACAAAGATTGACATTAACATGACTATCTCTTTGGGTATATACTGTGCTTAATTTTCAAGGTCCTGATTAATCTGAACCTACCTTATGACCCCTCCTACTCCTCAACACAAATGCTAATTCCATCAGACCATTCATTTCACTTTCCTTGGAATGTGGTATATCCTGGGGTTCCCTTTTCCATCTCTTTGCTCATTTTCCATTGAACTGGGGTTTCCTTGTCCCTCTTTCTGTCTTCTTACCCTCATTCAAATTCTATCCATTTTTCAAAGTCCAGCTCACCTCCCTTCCTCTCAGAGAACTACTCCAACTCTCATTAATCTCTCTTTCCTCTGAACTCCTATCATATACATACTGTCTACTACACAATTCAGAACTTAATTTTGTCCCATCTACTATTGTCTGGTAATTTTCTTGTGCGTAATGAATCTTGTCTCTTCAACTAGATTGTTAGCATCTCATGACATCTCATGTCTTTTCATTGCTCCAGCGTTCTTCTCTTTAATTTGATTTTGACTTATTTAATTTTATATAGCAGCTAGCATAGTGCTTAGCGAATAGTAGGTACTCTATAAATATTTAATTGCTGATTAACTGATTAAGGAGGACTTGGTTCAAATCCTACAATTGAAACTTACTACCCAGATGATGGTGGGCAAATCAATGAAGCTCCTTGAACCCCAGTTTCCTCATCTATAAAATGAGTGGGTCTGGGCATGATGGCATATGACTGTAATCCCTGATACTGGGGAGGTTGAGAAGATCAGTGGATTGCTTAAGCTTTGGAACTCTGTGTGCAGTAAGACTAGCATCAATACAGTGAATGCCCTGGAACCAGAGGACGCCAGGCTGCCTAAGGAAGAGTGAATCAGGCCAGTTAGAAACGAAGCAAAGTTTCCATGATGATCATGGTTCAGGGGCCTGTGAATGGTCACTACTCGTCCAGCCTTGGATAGCTAGGACAACTCAGTGTCTAATAAATAAATTAAATAATTTTAAAAAATTAAATGACTGATTGAATAAGTAAATAAAATGAGAGAAACTGGACTAGATGTCTTTTGAGGTCCCTTCTAGTTTTAGAGCCATGATCTTATGTATCATTTTACAATTCCCCACAAGTCCATCCATGAATTCACAAAGCACCAGAAAAAAAAATTAATCTGTGGCAGACTAAGTGTGTACCTTATATCTGAAGCTGTGGCCATGGAAGTGAGCTGTGTGGACATCTATATTACTCCCCAAGCCAATCAAATACCAGTTCACTGTATCTCCAACATGCATAATCAGACCTTGGTTGTTTCCATAAAGTCTTCCATTAATTGCTGAGAGACAAAAAGCATCATCAGATATTTTAAAAAAAAGGATTTGAAATGATAGGACATTTTCTAAATATAGTCAATAACTAAGAAGCAGTAAAGATTCTAAAGAAGGATAACTAGTCCTTCTAAAGTAATCGATCCATTTGTTCATTTAAAAAAAAAGCTTCTACTACTAGAGTTTTCATTACTAAAGAAAGCAAAACAAAAGCTGTTTTAGCATTGCCTTTTTAACTTTGATTTCTTATGAAAAAGAACCTTCGCTTATATTCTCTGTTCATTAGGAAGGATGCTAAGATAAGGATATGTAAGATTTCAGCAGCTAAGTAACTCCTGGAGCGGGAATTATCTCCAGTAATACAGATCACAATCTGGCTAAGGTTAGGGAGTGTGGGTGTATGTATATCTACAAATGTATACACACATACACATATGACATACATGTATATACATATAGAAACATGTATATTTGTATAGATACACATGCGTGTCTATGCATCAATAACTAGTTGGTGCAGGGAAATAGTTAGTAAAGGAACAACTATAGGGATTGAGGAAGGCCTTAACTGTCGAAGGTGGCATTGTCGCTAAGCTCTGAGGGGAGTGAGGGATTTTTTTGACTTGTCCAAGGTCACGTAGCTAGTAAGTGTCAAGTGTTTGGTCTGAGGCCGCATTTGAACTCAGGGCCTCCTGACTCTGGGGCCGGTGCTCTATCCACTGCGCCACCTAGCTGCCCCAAGGGGGAGTAAGGGATTCTAAGACACAGCAGTGAGGGCAGAGAGCATTCTCAGCATGGAAGTGAGTTAGTGCAAAGGCACAGTGGTGGGACAGGGGATGTTATAGGAGGGGAAAAGCAAGCAGGACAGTTTGGTACTATCGTAGAGTCTGTGAGTAAGAATTACGTGAAATCAGGCAGGGGAAATAGGCTAAAGCTGGATTATGAAGGATTTAAAATACTAAACAAAGGAGATTGTAGTTTATTCTATCTACCTATCTATCTGTCTGTCTGTCTATCTATCCATCCATTCATCTAGCTATCCATCCATCTATCTATCTATCTATCTATCTATCTATCTATCTATCTATCTATTTATCTATCTACCTGTCTGTCTGTCTGTCTGTCTATCCATCCATTCCTCTAGCTATCCATCCATCCATCCATCTATCTATCTATCTATCTATCTATCTATCTATCTATCTATCTATCTATCTATCTATCCATCTGTCTGTTTGCCTATCTATCCATCCATTCATCTAGCTATCCATCCATCCATCTCTCTATCTATCTATCCATCCATTCATCTATTTATCTATCTATCCATCTATCTATCTGTCTATCTATCTATCTATCTATCTATCTATCTGTCTGTCTGTCTGTCTGTCTGTCTATCTATCTATCCATCCATCTATCTATCTGCTTATCTATTGTCTATTTTTCTCTCTATCTACCTATTTTTCTATATCTATCTATCTATCTATCTATCTATCTATCTATCTATCTACCTACCTACTTACCTATCTATTTTTCTGTATCTATTTCTATCTACCTACCTATCTATCTGTCTGCCTGTCTGCCTATCTACTGTCTATCTCAGTCTATTTTCTATCGCTATCTAACTACCTGTTTATTTCTCTCTTTCTCTCTACCTACCCCTCTATTTCTGTCTGTCTGTCTTTCTGCTTATCTATTCCTTGTATATCTCTGTCTATTTTTCTATCTCTATCTACCTACCTATTTTTCTATATCTATAAGTCTATTTCTATCTACCTATCTGCCTGTCTACCTACCTACTGCCTATGTTTTTATCTGTATATTTTCTATCTCTATCTACCTATTTGTCTATCTCTGTCTATTTTCATCGATCTATCTATCTATCTATCTATCTATCTATCTATCTACCTATCTCTCTATTTTTCTGTATCCATTTCTTTCTATCTGTCTATCTGCCATCTTTCTCTCTTTGTCTATTTTCTATCTTTCTCTCTCTTTCTATCTACCTACCTACTTCTCTATTTCTATATTTCTGCTTATCTACTATTTATCTATTTCTGTCTATTTTTCTATCTTTATCTATCTATCTACCTATTTTTCTATATCTATATGTCTATATCTATCTATCTATCTATCTATCTATCTATCTATCTATCTATCTATCTATATATCTTCTATCTATCTATCTGCCTGTCTGCCTATCTACTGTCTATCTATCTGTCCATTTTCTATCTACCTACCTGTCTATCTTCATCTATCTATCTATCTATCTATCTATCTATCTATCTATCTACCTACCTCCCTCTATTTTTTTCTCTCTTTCTCTCTGTCTCTCTACCTACCTTTCTATCTATCTCTCTTTCTATCTCTATCTACCTATCTTCCTTTTTACCTACCTATCTACCTACCTACCTGTCAATTTGTCTGTCTGTCTCTCTAAGATACAAGGTGATCTGGGAGATATAGTTCTGACCTTGGGGTCAGGAAGGCCCTTGGTACAAGGCTTGTCTCTGATCTACACTGGCAATGTGACCATGGGCCTCTCAGTGCTTCCAAGCCACACTCTGAGAAGATAAATTCTAGAAGAGTTGCCAAATTCTAGAAGAGCTTCCTTCACTGGGAGTCCTCTATACTAACTAAAAATCCCGGTCTGTGTGCATTTAAACATTTCTGTTTATACATGTATTGACATACTCAATAAGTAATCAAGGATAATTTTCAATTTCCATTTATATTGTTGACCTGTAATGTCAGCATTCATTATCATGTAGCACTCAGTTTCTGCTATTTAAAATTGGAAACCTATTGGTCTATATCTCTGAGATAAGGTATTTTGTATACATGACTGAATTTCTCCATGTGTGCATCTATACGCATATTTAATTTTCTACCTATATATACATAATATATGTATACACATGTATATGCATATACAAATATAAAATCTTTCAGCAGTTTCAAAACAGTATTAGAATGTAATTCCAACTAATATGAAATGGAAACAGAATGTATGTTTAGTTCAATTTTAAATGTATAATCTTAACTTTTAAAATAGAAGCTCAAAGTTGTAACTGGTTAATGCTTCCTCATTCCTATTTGGATGATTCCATTTGGGATCCTGGCATATTCCCCTCTGAAAGGAGTCGGGCCTCCTATTAAGTTGGATGATCATATGAGGGAGGAAATATGATTCTGCATTTGCAGTTATATTTCTATAGAAAGACCTTCCAATTTTCTGTGGTTCTAGATCCTCAGTTTCCCTTTATAAAGCAAACTGAGAGTTGGCTATTGTTGACCACATCGGCTCTGAGACACAGTATTACCATGCATTTGGTTGCTTAAAATAAATTCCGGATCTTCTTTTTTTACTTCCTCTGGATGTGGAGAATACTTTTTGATGTTTTCATCAAAGTACCAGGATTCATTCTCATTAAAAATAATAAAAGAAAGAACTAGGTTAAGAACATGGCTAGCAGCAGAGTTCTTGGTGGCGTTTTGGCGACATACTATCAAAGTTCCAATTAATCCACTGTAGAAATCCTGAAAACACAAATCAGATCAAGACACTGAATTATAGACTATGATAGCAACTAACTCTAATGGTAAGAATTTCCTAACATCAAGAAGGCAGTTAGATGGTTCAATGGAAAAAGGGTTCTCAAAAGGTTGTCAAAGACCTGAGTTCAACCCTCTTTCTTCCTCACCCCATCCAATTCCCTCCCCGCAACCCTTAGAACTATTTGTATGACTTTGGGTAAGTTGTTTAACCTCTACCTGCTTCAGTTTCCTTTTTTTGTAAAGTGGGGATACTAATAGCATCTCCCTCACAGGGTTGTTGTGAGGATGAAATGAAAATAACATTTGTAAAGCACTTAGCGCAATGGTATGCATTTAATAAATGTTTGCTCCCTTCCTTCCAAGGGCATCAAAGGAAATCTAACTAGATCTAGCTGAGCAACAAGGCCTATGTATTTAGCATTTGAAATTCTGTAGCTGAAGCAGAGTAACACAATGTGAAGACATTTTAGATTGCACAATTGAAAAGAGAATTAAACATTTCTCATTAGGCATATTTTTTAATGGAATCAACTCTAATTCTGAGATTTTGAATTCATTCATTCCCCAGTCAATCAACAAACATATATTAAGAGCCTACTATGTGGGATAAAAAAGATGAAATAGTCCCCGATCCCAGGGGACAATTTATGGGTTCTTGGGAATCATAGTATGATTATTGCATTCTATCTTTGAAAAACACAAGCCTTTTTTGGTGCTATTCAAAAGAGGAGATGAGAGTGGTTTGTTAGCACAGGAAATTTACATAGAATTGGGCTTTTCTTTTTGGTCTTTTTGAGATTGGCTCTCCTTGTCCCAATCAGGCTGACTGTTCAGTGGTGATTCATGGACCTGGTCCTATTGTTGATCAGTATGGAAGCCTTGACCAGCTCCATTACCAACTGGGCTGGTATGGTCCTCCTTCTGGAGGCTCCTGGTTCTGAGAGAGCTTACATACTAGTACCAGGTATAATGTGCATGCCTGAAGGACCCTACTGCATCTCAGAACTCCTGAACTCAGGCAATCCACCAGCCTCAGCCTGCTCACTAGCTGAGATTACAGGCATGGGCCAGCACATCTGGCTTTGACTAGATTTTTTTTTTTAAGAACCACCACACTTTCCTTGTATCACAAGTCTGCTATATTAAAAAATATCATGAAAACAGTCACGTGATGGACAGCTTACCTTAACTGGATTCACAGTTGAGTAGTAAACCCAGGGTATGCAAACAGAGCCATTTTTGGTAGGCCCAGATCTTTCAGGGATTTTCCACCTATATGTTCTTATTTCCCCTGTTGAGGAAAATATATTCTACTTAATTTGTTTCAATTCAACAGCTATTTATTGAGTACCTGCAATATATTTAATTGCCTGGGATGTTTTCCCTCTTCCCCTCTACCTTATACAATTCTTCTTTTCCTTCAAACCACAGCTCAATCACCACCTTCTACGTGAATCCTTTCCAATCCTTCCACCTGGTAGTACTCTTCCTCTGAAACTACCTTGTAGTTAATTACTTAGTTTTTATCTTCTTCCTCACCTACCACTCACTGGCTTATATTGATAGAGAAATCTGTTTGCAAATCTAATTATAAGTAGATGCAAATTTGCAAAGCATTTGAAAAAAATACCATCCACACATAATTTCTGACATTTACTCCTCTCAAATTCTCTGGACAAGGTATCTTCCTTGAGAATGTTTTACATTACCAGAAGTGTTGGTTTGTGAGGTTTTTTTTTAATTTCTTAACCTGCAGTTAAGAACACTTGAAACTAATCTTGTCTCAGATACTTTCTAGCTGTGTGACCCTGGGTAAGTCACTTAACCTCTGTCTGCCTCAGTTTTCTTTTCTGTAAAATGGGATAATAATAGCATCTGATTCCCAGGGTTGTTATGAGGATGAAATAAACATTATATAAATGCTAGCTATTATTATTAATGTTCATCTGACCTTCATATTATAAGATTTTTGTGGGGTATAATACTCTTCATAAATCATCCTTGCCTCAAGTAAGGTTCTATTTCACATCACATCCGAGGTGACCCTGGGTTCTCAAAGAATTGTAAGGTAAATACAAACTCTGGCAGATCCTCACAGACTGGAAAGGTTCAAGAATGGGCCTATTGATGAGCCAGACTGGCTGAATTGGAGAGGTCCATTAACAGGGGAACCAAAGCCCCTTAGAGACTCTCAGAGACCATTTAATAAATCAGAACAAGTTTATGATTTCTTTTTGCTAGAAAGCAGTCCTTGCACAGAAGAAATCACAGCCCCATTAAGCATTCAAGAAAGACTCCTTATCCTAGATGATTTCTCTCCCCAAGTAATTACCTGGTTTTGTTGGAGTAACAGTAGAATAATCTGTTTTCACTCCATGAGCATGTATGGAATAAGACCTGTTGGCTGTGTTTTTAAAGACAATTGTAACTGTATCCCTAATGTTTACCTGAATTAGTGGGCCTAGTAGGAGTAAACAAAAAGATACATTAGTATTATTTCACTTAAAATATAAATATTAAGTCATCTACCCTCCCAAACATAAGCATAGTGATTTTCATCAGTTATCTTTTTATTTAACTACAGCACCTTTGGATACCACAAGCCTTCCCCTTCTCCTCACAAAGTGAGTTCTCAAAAAAGTCTAGTCCAGGATTGTAAGCAAATGTCTTATTGCTACATTTCTTAATTTTGTTAAATATCTTTGCTATGAACTAATTATATACTCTGGCTGATAAGTAAAAGCAAGAACATTGGTGGGGGCTCATGAACAGTGTTTTCTTTTGTGCTAGTACAGAACCACAGAGTACCCTGACCTGGCATAGCCTTGTCAAAGGCACCTACTCTATGAAGGGGTTTTTTTTTGGGGGGGGTAGTGGTTTTAGGTCCCTCATAAAATATTAAAAAAGTTTTTTGCAAAGTGGTAAGGTTTGGGTTGAGAGGTTTGGGGAGTTTGGGTGGGAACTGTAAGCCTACCAAACTGACGCAGCAAATAAAAAGTTCATGGTTGGTTTATAAAGCATGGCTTTCAGCTGCTTTCATGACTTTGGTGACCTAGATTCCAGAACATCATCTTTAGAACAATGGCCTCTGTAAGAACCATTTGATACATCAGATTATGGCATTCCTGGGAGTTTAAAATTTGAGCCAGTTCCTTTTTCTTTTCTTTCCTAATGAACCAAATGAAAATCTCATGACAAGGGGCCAAGGGATAGGAGGAAAGAGGAATATTTTTTCTTCATCTTTCTGTCCTATCAAAAATGTGATAGCCCGCAACAATTGCTGATGAACAGAATTCCCATCATAGCACTGAAGAGACAAGATGGTTTAGTAGGACAAATTGAAGAATTCGAAGTCAGGGACCCTAGCTCTGAGTCTTGGCCCTGATATTTAGGATTATAGATTGAGAGGTAGAAGGAATGTTAGCCATCACGTAGTCCAACCTGCTGCTTTTACAGATGAGGAACCTGGCCTATGGAGGTGACGTGACTTATCCTACATCACAGATAATAAGTACCAGCACCCATGGCCTCTGATTCTCAAACAAATATTCTTGCAAGCTGTGTGACCATGGGGAAATCAATGAATCTCTCTGAGTTGCACTTTCTCTATTTGTTTCTTAAGATTGTTGTAGGGGAAATATTTTTGTTTTGGCAACATGGCATAGTACTGGACTTGTGAGAGGGAGACACACAAAGACACTTTTCAAATCTAACCTCTTAAACTTACTAGCCATAAGTCTTAGTTTCCTCCTCTGTAAAATGGGTACAACTTGTAATACCTCCATAAGAAGATTGTGATGAGACTTGAATGAAGCAATGTCTCTTCCATGCATTGCAAATTTTAATGCACTATACAAGGCAATTGTTATTAGATGTTTATTTTATGTTCTCCTTGCTTACCAGGAGCTCTATGGTTAAAGCCTGCTAATGAATATGGTTCTGGGTAATACTGAGCTAGATTTGGTGCATCTGGCTAGGAATACTGACAAAATGGTTTCAGAGGAGACTGGACACTAAATAAGACCTTTCCCTACATTAGCACAGGATTTAGACTCTAGAAGCAGGAGTTCTCTGTATGGTGTCTCTAAGCAGGCCTTCTACTTCTTGACACAATGCACAGAATGCTGGTCTTGGAGTTAAGAAAACACAAGTTGGAATCCTGGCTCCAGACACTGACTAGATACATGACCATAGACAATTCATTTGACCTCTGTCTACCTCAGTTTCCTCACCTGTAAAATGGGAATGATGATGATATCACCTACCTCCCAGGGTTTCTTGCAAGGATCAAATGAGATAAAATATATAAAGTGTTTCGCAACATTAAAATTCTATAGAAATATTAGCTATTGTTATTATCATTTTCTGATTTCCCCAACTGCTAATTTCTTTTTTTCTAAAGTGCCATATAATTTAACTATCTGCATATATTTGTACTTATTTACTTTATATTTATAACATATATATTTCCACATATACTCATCACCCTTATTTGAATGCAAACTCTTTGCTAACGGGGATTTTTTCGTTCTTTGTACTTATGTCTCTAGTACTCCTAAGAGACACTTGCTGACTGACCAATCGATTAGTACTTTTAAATTTCAATCAAATAAAATTTCCTTGACATTTTTTTCTGTTCCTTTCCATCAGCAGACTACCCTGCTATGCATGCTAAGCATCTTCTTGTCTTTGCAGCATAAAGTAATGTAACAATCTCAAAGAATTGTAAAGTCTAGAAGTATATTGGGTTATCTATAATGTTAGTCTTGGTCCAAACTATTATAACGATTAACAAATATTGTAATCTTTAAGACCAAGTAAAATCCTACAGAATAGCCAGAGATAAACATCTAGGTGCTCCTCACTAAGAATGCTCAGGTCCTCCTGATTTTAGGACAGGTACTGTACCCACTGGATGCCCCCTCCCCCCAGATGTCCCTGTTGAGTTAGATTTGAATGAACCGTAGGGAGATACTGCCTATAAACAAGTCCTTCTCCCTCTCCCAGTTCCAATTTCTCAACTTGTAAAATTAAGGGCTTGGACTAGGAGGTGATGCTGAAGTTCTAGATTCTGCAACTCCTATGATGTTAATGTTTTGAGATAAGCCTTAGCAGCTTGATGTGAAGAGGGCAATGATGGGCTGGCTTGGAATCACATAAAAAATAAAGCTACATGGTTCTAGGCAGCATTTTGTCTTTGGAAGCTTGAGATACATTGGAACTGAATTTTAAAGCTGTCTTCGGGGTCCACTCTCTGGGGTTGCTGTATTTTGTCAACGTGTGTAGTAAGGCTCTAATCCTCTGGACAATGCTCATTCTCATCTGTCTAAATCAGTGTGGGACCCTTCTGAAGTGGAACCACTTGTGGTATTAAAGAAAAGAAAGAAAAACCTAACCCAGGTCATATAGCGCAAACAGCCAAATCACACAGCTCAGTACCTAGGATATCCAGATGTTTATTTTCTTCTGTTCTTGGTTTTGGAGTCTTGAAGGAGCTATCAGTGAACTGAACGTAAATAACTTTCTTGTATTTGGAACCAAGATACCAACCATAGAGTTTATCCAAATACATATCTGTCACACTGAAACACATAGACACACACAAACTTAACGTTTAGTTCATTTAAACATTTAAGATGGGCAAAGTGCTCAAATTAAAACTTCCATGAAAATAACATTATTCAAAGAATAAAGATACTGTCTTGAAGAGTGATTATTTTTATTATTAAAGGTGATCGTTTCCACCCATATAGTCCTATACTTAATTTGGAAAAAGAATATTGGACTTTCATATCTTTTATTCTGAAATGTATTTTCAGGAACAATCCAACTAGTCTACCAGCTTTCCCTGTACGTGGGGTCCATCTTTCATTACTCTCCTTGTCTTTGCCTTTCAGAATCCCCAACTCCATTCAAAGCACTCAGCTCTTGGGCTACCTCCTTCCTAGTTACTAGTACTTTCTTCTTCTTGAAATTATGCGTATTACTTTACACATACTTTGTATTTCCTTATCTGCATATATAGGATGTTCCCTCAGTGGAAAGTAAGCTACCTGAGGGCAGGGACTAGCCTATGCTTGTCTTTTTGTTTTTAGCCTTAGGACGCACCCAGCACATAATGGGTACTTAGTAGGTGGTTGTAGAGCAGAACTGAAGTAAGAGTTTTTAAGAAGGAAGTGAATGAAAGACATCAAATGATGTGAGGAAGAAAGTTAATATTGTCAAATAAGAATCAAACAGTGAGGCAGAAGTGAAGGCCCTTATACCAAGTTTATATACTCATTAAACAGTGTGAAAGAGTGAGGAGAAAGGTGGAGAGAAAGAGACAGTTAGAGAGAGGAAAAGAAAGGAGGGAGAGAGAGACACAGAGAGACAGAGAGAGAGAGAGAAACAGAGAGAGAAGAGAGAGGAGAGAGAGGAGAGAGAGAGGAGAAGAGAGAGAGAGGAGAGGAGAGAGACACAGAGAGAGAGAGAGAGACAGAGAGAGAGAGAGAGAGACAGAGAGAGAGAGAGGAGAGGAGAGAGACACAGAGAGAGAGAGAAAGAGACAGAGAGAGAGAGAGAGACAGAGAGAGAGAGAGAGAGAGAGAGGGAGAGGGAGGGAGAGAGACAGAGAGGGAGAAACAAGGATACAGAGAGAGGAGAGAGAGAGGAGAGAGAGAGAGAGAGAGAGAGAGAGAGAGAGAGAGAGAGAGAGAGAGAGAGAGAGACAGACAGACAGACAGACAGACAGACAGACAGACAGGGAAGGAGAGAGATTTCCATAATCAAACCTTGTGGAGATTTTAAATCAGAGGCAGCTCAAACTGAATCAAATTGAACGCAGCTTCCTACAGAATGTAAACTGCTAGTTTTAGTTTTGTCTGTATACTCCCCTGTGCCTAGCACAGTGTTTCACAAATGTTTGTTGGATTCAATAGGAACTCATAATATACACATAACTGAGAGAAGTATAGGATGGAGCGCATTTGCTCACAGTTAGAGATGGCTTTGCCACCTTCCTCCCCCCCCTTACTTTTCTCCTTGTGACTGACGCAGCTCCCTTTCCCACTGCCTACTGGGAGCATAATCCCATTCAACTTCCACAGCTGCAATGTAGTAAACCTTGTTCTTCTCATAGTTCGTGTTGTCTTTAAAAGGCTGGTTGCATTGTTTTACTCGGTATTTATTTTTCATGCCTGCTGTATAGTGGTCCGTTGTGACACACACGACATCAAATTCCCCTAGGAAGGTAAAGAAGAGCGACGTCATTTTGAAGGTTTTATGATCAGTGAATTTATCAGACTCCCCTTCCCTATATGAACCCATTCAAAAGGCATGAATAGAATGTAAGTGCCAATAAAATAGAGACTCCTGGAAGGCAGAGCTCTTTGGTTTTTCCTTCATATCTCTAGCACCTTGTCCTGTGCCTTATTCATAGTAGGCACTTACTGGGTACTCAGCGAATTGAACACACACACACACACACACACACACACACACACACACACACACACACACACATATATATACATAATAAGACAAGTCCTTTACATTAAACAAACCAACTAACCAAATCCTTCCTAAAACTCTATGCCACACAACAGTAAATCCCACTAAAAGACAAGACATCTTTGTCCTTTTATCTAATTTTTTTCCCTTGTTTAGGCTAAGGGGTATATATACATTATGTATTGACACCACTTTTCAGTTTGAACCTTGTGTTCTCTTGATTCAACGAATGTTTTAGTTTTGATAGAAAGTGAAAGGATTTAGAGAAGTTAAAAGAGAGGGTTAGAAAGGAAATTTACATAGAATAGACTTTAGGAAAGAGAATAGAGAAAAGGGACAGAGCTAGGCTTTGGTGGGTCAAGAAAGAGTGGAGGAAGTCTAGCCAGAAGCAGGGATTTTTACAGCCAGAAGTTTATGGAGACAAAAAAAATGAATTTAAATTTAGAGAGTGTGGTCAGTTTATTTAAAAGGAAGCAAAGGAAGGAAGACATTGATATCAGAGATGCACAATCATTTTTAGGAGGCTCCAGTGGTGCAAAAAAACCAAAACAAAACAAAATCATAGATTTTAAATTGGAAGGGATTTAGTTGTCCCCTTGTCATTTTACAACTGAGGAACTTCTTCATTTTACAGCTGAGGAAAGTGAGGCCCTAAAAAGTTCAATGACTTGCTCAAAGTCACACACTCATGTAGAGTAATTCCCTGGTGTTTTCCACTATGCCACACTGCCTTCCTAGATAAAGGTTTCTTCCTTTTCTAGACCCCCACAATTTTACATAATTTTGGGCTATATCCACATGAGACCACATGATTGTCATAAAGGAAAAAATAAAACAATCAGTAGAACTATTTGGCACCATGTGTGAACCCAGCTTTACATATATTTGCTGTTCAACTGAATATAGTTATTGTTGTTATCTGTTGTTATATCAGCTTTATTTTTGACTGTATTCCTCTTCTCTCCTCCACCTCCACTCACTAGAGAACCATCCCTTGTGAGAAATAATAAAAAAGAGAGAAGGAAGCAGTTAGGCAAAGCTAATACATAAACCAAGTGTGACAATATATGTTCCATATACATCACCTGCTATTTTTTTTTCTTTTACAGAATTTAGACAAATGGCTAATTTGTGCAAATCTACCTACAATGCCCTGCTACTGCCCATTCCCTAGTAGAGATTAACTTGGACCTCAGACCACAGTTCTACTCCTAAGAGGTCAGGGAATAGGCAGTGCCATGTGTTTACAAGTAGGAAAGCGTTTTATAAAGGTGTAATGATGAGGAAAACGACACCAGGAGGAAGGAGAATTGAAGCTCTAGTTACTTGGCATTGTATTAGAAAGGCAAGATTTGACAAGTGGGCACAAACAACAACTTTGAGGTTTGGAGCATGCAGGAGGTCTTTACTGACCCCAATTCATTGCCAAGGTGTGATGGGAAGGTGAAGGAACATAAGTGGGGAATAAGGGTTGGAAAGCAGAGGAAAACAATGGCTAGGGAATGAGGCAAAACCAGAAGGAACATAGAGGGAAGTAAAGAAATGATCATTTTGAATGTTTCAAAACTGTTTAATTTCAGAAAGCATGGGAGGACATGGATGAAAACAGAGCGGAATGGGCAGGGTGTAGATCAGTTGTGATTGACACTATTGAAAGCAGTGTCTTCGTTGGATAAGGTTCTAGATCTAGGTCTGGAAAAGGTTTCAGAGGAAATCAAGTCTGATTCATTCATTTGAAGAAACTGAGGTGCTGGGATAAAGTACTTTCCCCACAGTTATATAGATAATGAGGTAGGATTTGAACCCAGACCCTCAGACTCCAAATTCAGTGCTCTTTTGAGTATATGAACACGGAGACCACAAGAAGGAGGAGGAGTAGAAGAACCATAGCAGCCCCAGAAAATTGTGCCAGCCTATGCAAAGCATTACACCAATTACCCCAGAGAGGCAGAATATCAGAACAACAGGATAATCTTCCATAACACTGTCTGTGTCTTTGGTTGCTGTTCACTGTAAAAACATCCCTTCTTGGTCACTACCTGTGTGACTTTGAGCAGGCCACTGAGTCTTTCAGGGTCCTACTTTCCTCCTCGGTAAAAGGAGGGAGCTAGATGGCAAGAGGGCTGCTAAAGTTTCTTCCAACTCGAAATCTATGACCTTGCTCTTTTTTCTTCTTCTTCTTTTTGGCACTACTGCAGCCTCCTGAAAATAACTGGGCATCTTGGATATTCATCTGATATGTCTCCCCTCCCTTGCTCACTATTTGCTCTACTGCACAGCCTGCACCATCCAAATTAAAATTTCTTTCTTTTGTCTCCGTAACCTTCTGGCTGTAAGAACTTTTGGCCCTGTACAGAATACCTCCTACTGATTACCCAAGAAGAATTACAGAGTGAAAATTAAATATTCACCTGAGGAATCTGCTGTCATGAAGAGAGTCCAGGAAGTTTGTGGAATCACACTTATAGTGTCTTTCCTCCCTCCTAAAGAGACAAAAGTGCTTCCTGAAAAATATATCCCATGCATATCTTCTTCTGACCCCACACTGAGGACATGCCATGATATCTTGTCACCTAGGCACATATCAAGTCCTGGTAGATTTCCGAACATGTATCCATTTATGGCTGGAAGAGTTATGGGAAAGGAAAGCGTGTTGATTATTATTATTTTCATGAATACTTCAAAATATCAAAGGACCATGATTTCCTTGGGATGAGTCCTCTCTCCACAAACACATATCACATCCCCCCTACAACTCAGTAGCAATCTTATGACAGTCACCATGGCCGAAAATTTTATCCTGTTATCTTGGGGTTCTTGTGTGTGTTGCAAGTAAACGAACTTGATTCTGCTTCATAGATTTAGAACCTAAAGAGATCTTACAGACTTTCTAGTCCAATTCATTTGTTTACCTATGAGGAAGATATTAAGTGAAAGATGTGGGATTTCAATCCAGGTTTTCTGGCTGCAGAGCTAGCACTTTTTTCTTGTAGTATCAGGTCTTCAGGTGACAAATACTTTATCACTGGGCCTGTATTGTCAACCCATTTTGGTATCCTTTGAACCCCTCAAGTTCATCTCCATGAAGAGACCAAAGTAATCTTGTCAAGAGATTATCACTCCTAAGTATTTTCACTTGCAAATCTTGAATAATGAAAAACCATACTCTTCTTATTATCATGCCTTTCCCTTGAGGACCTATAATGGCATGACACTTTTATATAACCTGTTGGGCCTTAATCAGTTTAGTTTCTCCCTCCCTTTGGCAGCAGGCAAAGTTATAACAAGTTCCTCAGAAATTGAATTGCTCATCTTTAATAAAACAAACAAAGTGGTATTTGTCAGGGATCAGAGTTGGGAAAATCCCAGACCAGAATTATCTGCCATGAAATTTTGCCCCACAAGTCACTAGAAAAATTAAAAACCAGCCAAGGCTTCTGACTTTTTCTTCAGTTTTAACCACCAATCTCTACTTCCTTTCTCCAGTTTCCATTATTTTAAAAATTTTTTAAAAATTTAAAATTTTACATTTTTTAATTGAATTGAATTCAAATCACACTGAATTTAAATGGAAACTTTTAAAATTTTAAAATAAATTTTAAATTATTGAAAATAATAGCCTAGTTAGTAGTAAATAACCCAAAATTCAAGTCTCTGACTTGAACTTTCATTACTTCAATGTATCCAAACTTTCTAAAGTCTCAGAACTATAGGCGGTTGAAAGGAATCTCAAGACATCTGGTCCAGTCTTCCTCCTTCATGCAGATGAATGTATACCCCAGACGTGGTCATTTGTTCCCTTAATAAATTCCCCTGATAAATGATTCACACACCTTTTTTATTCTTATGCTCAGAAACTCTGTTCGTGAGTCAGTGATTTCTTTTTTTTTTGAGCCAACTATTTTTTCAAGAAGTCTAGTCAATTGTATTTTAAATCTTCTTTCCTCTCCTAATTGAAAAGATGAAAAAAGGTGTACCACAATGTCCCCAACATGACTCAAGTCAATATTACTATTGGGAAAATTATATTCAAATAAAGTAGGGTGGATTGAGGGAAATCATCATTCTCTTGCTTGAGAAACTTCAGTGGCATTCTATTATTCCTATAATATTTCTCAAACATCTGTTTGGCATTCAAAGTCCTAAGCAATCTAACTGAAGCCTGTCTTTCCAGGTTTATTACATGTTGCCACACAGTATTATATGAGCTGGAGAAGGGGAGTAGATCCTCTTTACCTACTGTATATTCCAGCCCAATTGCCCTTCTTAATCTTCTCTAAACCTGGAACTCCAACTCTTTGCCCTATCCCTTTTCCTCTGCTGTCCCCCAATGCCTAACCTGCATTTACCTCTCATCTCTGCTTCTTAGAATTCCCAGTTTTTTTCAAGGCTCAGATTATGTGCCATCTCCCAAGACAAGTCTTTTCCCAACCCACTTTGTTGTTGATGTTTTCTTCATCTCCCTGTAATTATCATTCTTGTTTATATGTTGTATACCCCAGGCAGAACATTAGTTCCTTTTGTACAGGAACCATTTCATCTTCGTTTGGCTACCCCCAGGGAGATGGTATGGCATAGGGTACAGAGCTGAAAAGCCATCTCTAGGCAAGTGGCTCAGCCTCCCAATGCCTCAGACAGCTATATAGAGAAAATACTGACTCTCCTTGGTGGAGAGAGTGTCCCCACTTTGAATTTCTCCATACCATTGAAACCCCAGGTCCATCTCTAACCCCAGTGCCCGGCTCATTCCATGGTAGGTGCCCATAAAAGGTCACTGGATTAAACTGGATTGTTAAAGTGTCTCTAACCCAGTCCCTGAAGACCTTGAAATGTAGACTGCAGAGAGAATGACATTCACTATTTTATTCAATTATCTGATAAAATAAAACTTTCCCTTACAGGACATTCTGTTAGATTCTTGGAAGCCTGGATCATCCTTATTCACTTGGCGGGGGTTTCCTGCAAATTTTCTAATATTTTCATCCAAGTACAGGCTTAGGTTCTCATCATATGTTGTAGGTAGCAGGTAGAATTCCTTGTCTACACCTTTCTGTAGATGAAATAAAAAAAGTTAACATGAGACAAGAAGGATCTTTCCCATGCACCCTTTGGGTCTTCATGTGGACAAATCAAAGGGTGGAGTGATCTTGAAAAAGGGACTTTAAGATTCATGATAAATTTGACTGCCTAAATTCTCACTGTTATAGGTATTGAATGAAAAAATGAACATAGAAGATCTTAGAATTAAAATTTGAAAGAGGATTTATTATAGAATTAAGGTTGGAAGGGTATCTCCTTGAAGGAGGTGATCCTTGATTTCTAAAGGCAAAGATTCTACTGGCTCCCTGGATTTAGTCACAATGAATGAGCCTCATGGAGTCTCTACTTCTATTTAAATTGGTTGACTTCATTGGGAATTTATTTTTTTCTTACTATGAACATTGATGGAAAGGGAGCTCAAATGGAGTGGAAATGGAGTGGAGTAGGGAATTCCTGGGGTCTGAACACCTTCCAATAATGCAAATAGCAACTCTTCTATGACTTAATAGACAAATTTTAGGGGGTTGCCTGAAGGATATGGAGGTTAATAATATCTAAAGAAGATAATCTCCAAATTGCTATTTGTATTACATAATGAGAAAAAAATCCTGTGAAGTTTCATTAATCCAAAATGCAAGATGTCTAGAAAACAACAAAGCTTCCACAGATTTCTGAGTGATGGTGCTCTGTCTGCTCAACTTGCTTTCCACGGTACTTCTCATGGCACCACCCACAAATGGGACAAAAATATAAGTTTTTGATGATGATAGCCATGGTTCTTATGAGAAAGATGCTCTTCATCAAGAGGTAATGTGACCTAATGGGTAGAATTCTGAGTTTAGAGTCAGAAAGACCTGGATTCAAATTCAGCTTCTTACACTTACTAGCTGTGTGTGACCTTGGGCAAGTCACTTAGCCTTTTCTTGCCTCAGTTTCCTCAACTGTAAAATGAGAATAATAACACCTGTCTCCTGGGGTTATTGTAGGATCAAATGAGATAATATTTGCAAAATGCTTAGCACAATATAAATTATTTCTTCAATACTTCAAAACAATTTCTTCAATTTCTAAAATAATTTTGTAATATTTAAATCCTCTTTGTAAATTCCGTAATATTTTTAAAGTGCTTAGCACAATGCCTAGCACACAGTAGGCATTATATATACATACACACACACACACACTATATATATATATATATATATATATATATATATATATATATATATATGTTAGCTATTATTTTTAAAAAGTGCTCGGACCATCTGTGCTCACTGCTGTCTTGGCTACACTTCTGAATCTCCAGATAGATCAATAGACAGACAGACAGACAGACAAAGAGGTAGAGAGAGACAGACAGACAGGAAGAAGAAAGAGAGAGAGAGAGAGAGAGACAGACAGACAGACAGACAGACCAGGGTCACACTGACATTTTGTATGAAAATTCTTCCTGATTCTCAGACCACCTCTCCATCCATTATGCCACACTGCTCTTCTTTCTCAAACACTAATCTTTTAAAATATTTTACATCTTAACACTTTAAACTTTAAATAAAATAATTTCACCTTGAAATACTGTATGTGCTATGTAAAATGAGAATTTAAACACGCTCACATTTCAAGTAGTCCAAGAGCTCTGTGGCACTTGACCAAGCTTCTTTCGTCAGACCCTAAATCAGACAGGCTGAACACACAGGCCTTTCCATTTTCCTGTCCTTGTTACCTTACCAGGCTACCATCTGCACGAAGACTGCCCTTCCTACACACTAGAAGTGGCCCAGTCAGCCCACTGGTGACTTCTTTAACCAGGTCGAAGGCAGAGTAGTACAGGCAGGTCAAGCAGACTGGATCGGCAGAGGTTGGAGCCACGGTTTCTGGAACAGTCCATTCATAGGTAAATTTTCCCCCAGGCTGTATACTTGAAGAAGGTGGAGGTGCACCTAAGGAAGAAACAAATAACTTAGGAGGCCAGGAGCTATGTCAGTAGGAGCGGCCAGGGATTCTTGAAGCATTGAATTTAACATTTTAGGCAAAGGTTCATTTTCTTGCTCTAATTGTATTGGAATAGTATACAGAAGGACCACAGGATCATTAAGGCAGAACTGGAAGAGAAGGTCCTGGAAGTCATCCTATTCAAATTGATCATTATGTAGGCAAGGGAAGCAAGGTCCAGAAAGGGTGACTTACCCAAGGGCATAGAGAGATTAAGTGGCAGAGCCAGGAATCAGCCCAAGGTCTTCTCTCTCTCTCTCTCTCCTGGTGCAGTGTTCTTTCCACTTTACTATCCTGCCTGATCTCCTGAACTACTCAATTCAATTCAACAGACCTTTGTCAAGTGGCGGCTATGTGTGTCACGGCTTACTCACTTCCATTGAATGTCATGTAGCGTGATCCTTCATTGCTCTTGGAGAACCTCACGCAGTGAGGCTCAATGCTGAGGGGATAGCTAGCTCTGTTGAGGAAAGTGACCAAGATGGTGTCTCCCACTTCTGTTTTAATGACAGGGCCTAGAGACAAAGAGAAAATGAGTTCTTAATATACAATTCTTTTAAAATGTGAATGGAGAGGTTACGTTGCCTGATGATGACTGGTTTTGTGGGGATAATCAATCAACAAACATTCATTAAGAAGCTTCCACGTGTCTGGCGCTGGAGATACAAATTATGGTTGTTCAGCTGTTTCACTCATGTCTCACTCTTTGTGACACCATTTGGGGTTTTCCTGGCAGGGATACTGGAGTGGCTTGCCATTTCCTTCTCTAGCTCATTATACAGGTGAGGAAACTGAGTCACACAGGATTAGGTGACTTGCCATGGGTCACACAGCTTGTCAGATGTCTGAGACAGGAATTGAACTTGGGTCTTCCCAACTCCAGGCCTGGAGCTTTGTCCACTGCACCATCTAACTATCTTGGGTCTACAAGTACAAAGAATGAAACAATTCTTACTCACTGACATTTCAGTGGGGGAGACAAGGATAATAGCACTCTGATCCTGAAATGTGCTCAGGTATGAATGAATGAATGAATGAATGAATGAATGAATGAGCACTTGCTAAGTGCCAAGCACTGAAATAAGTGCTAAGGGATAAGATATACAGAGACAATCCCTGCCTTTAAGGAGCTCACAGTTTAGTAAGGAAAGACAAGGGTAGTCATGGTCAAGGAAGAGAGTTTTGGGCCATGGAGTTACAGAAATGGTGAGTTGATGTATGTGATGTTCCCTTTCCAGAAGTCCTAGCATGGCTGATTCGATTACTATGCCCAGAGCAAGAAATGGAAAACAGGTGATTGGAGAGGACGAGAGAACCTCACAATCCCAGGACATTCCATTAGTCTCTTCAGAGGCTATCAGAATCACACATAGAACTGGAGATCAAGATCTCAAAGGCACCTTAGAGTTCATCTAGTTTAATGCTCTCCATTTACAGATAAGGAAACTGAGGCCCAGGGAAATGAAGTGACTAGCCCAAGGTCACAAAGCAAGTAAATGGAAGAAGCACGCTGTAGCGTGCTGTTTCTTTATGTATCTTAAAATGATTCTCGAAATTTTTAAAAATTTTCATTATTGGCTGACACAGAGCTTCTTGTTATTAATCTTGATATGTGAATTGGCTATGTCATTGTCACTACGTAGGATTTATATACATATATGTGTATATCCATATTGATGTGTGTATGTGTGTGTGTATGTGTATATATATATATGTCTGTTTATCTATATCAACATAAATCTTGTATGTATGTAGGAGTGTGCTGAAACCAGTTCAAACCAGCTCCTGAGGACCAATTGCCAAGTTTTCAGTTTGAGCATTTATGACCTGGAAATTAGCAATCGCTACCAATCAAGGCTTGACTTACTATTTTGTTGACTGTAGGCTTAAGAAAGTGATGGAGCACGCGTTCATATGGCAGATTAAACTGAAAGCGTGTCATGCACATTTCAATGTTTTTTAATTTTGGGAAGCAGTATTGCCTGGTGGATAGAGAGCTGGCCTCAGAGTTAGAAATACGTGAGCTCAAGATTTGCCTCTGACAGATTCTGGCTGTGTCACCCTGGGCGAGTCCCTTGACCACTCAGTGTCATTGCCGAAAAGTTACCAATTTTTTTTTGACAGAGCTTTTCCTCAATAGAATAGAATAGAAATTCCTGATATCAATGAAATTACAAGTTTGTACCAACCCCCCAAACCCTCAAAATCCCCCAATTTTACCCAAAATTCCAAGATGTCTTTCTTCAGGACATCTCACTTTCTTTGTTAGGAAGGAATCATCTGTATATGCTTGGTATTGCAACTTCATATAAGTTCCTCCAATTCTGTTTGGACCTTGAATGAAATAAGGTGCTGATTCACTGTGTGAAGATAGTGGAAAATGACAATTTTAAACTGCAGAATCAGAAGAAGATTCAAGAAATGCAGATCTGTCCCAATTCATTTCTATAAATTTAGCCTTAGTATGCAAACTATCTCAGATTTTAAAAGATGCCAAGCCTGTTTTTCCCAGATAATTAGCCAACTTTTATTTTTAATTTACTGCGTGCAGAGATGTTAACTGTATGAGTTTTAAAAGATTTTCAATCTCCTCATCTGTAAAATGAGGGAAATGCATTAGGTTATCTCTAAGGGCTCTAAAAGCTGTACCATTATCTGATTTTATACTCCAGTGGACTTTCATAATCTGAAAATGAATGAATTAATGATGAATAAATGCAAATCCATTTATTAAGCATTCATTATGCACCAGGTATTGTGATAAGTGCTGGGAATATGAATAGAAAAGTTGATACAGACCCTTCCTCTCTCAGGGAGCTCACATTCTAAGTAAGAGAGAGAAAATGGTAGATAGAAAGGCTCAGATGTCTTAAGCATGCCATAGCAGGGTGACTGGCAAGTCCCAAGAGTCCTTAGGTTACATCAATATGGAGCCTGGGATTTGGAGGTCATAGAAACAAAGAGGGATGGGAAGGCTTGGTGGTCCTCTGTCTCATCAGATGTAATCAAGTTGGTCACTTTCATCTCATCCAAGCTCTGTAGGTAATTGAGTAACCCAGTTGGGGTCTAGACTGTCCAAGGCTGGGGTGGTGAGGGATGTCAGGAGAAGGCTGCCCTCACTGGTGGAAGGCCATCCAAAAATCATCAAAACCCAGAGCTACATGAGAGAAGATTTTTATCAACTAGAATACCTCTGGGTTGACAATGTGATAGGATCTTAGGATCCTGAGAAGGGCAACTAGAAGGTACATCAGAGAGTATCTAGAGTAATCCTATCATTGTACGGATGAGGAAAATGATTCTCAGAGAGCTGGAGTGATTAAGTCAGGGTCACAAAAGTAGTGTGGAATAAGTGTCAAGGTTACTTTTATCCTGTGCAATTTTGACTTCTGGATGTGGAGTCAAGATGGCAGAGTAGGGAAGCACTCAGCTGAGCTCTCTCAACATTTCCCTCCAACCAACTTTAAAACAGTGCCTCAAATCGAATTCTGGAATGGCAGAGCCAAGAAAATTCAGAGTGAAATATTCTTCCAGCCCAAGACAATGTAAGCGGTCAGAAAGAGAGATCTGTGACACAGAAGAGGAGACTGGTCCAGAGCTTCTATGGATGAAACACCAGTGGTGAGACTGGGTGGTGGTGACAGAAGCAGCAGCAGCTTTGGGAGCTCTCAAGCCAGAGATGGTAAGAGGACTTGGCAACTGGTCACAAAGCTGCCATTTGGCAGTTCTATTGCCCATACCCACTTCTGGGTCAAGTTCAAGGGCAGAGAGAATTACTTTTGGTTGAAGGAAATCCAGAAAGGCAGTAACACTTCCAGCCCCAAGGGATCAGAGACCCTTGTTTCCTGTCCCAAGTGAGAAGCGGGCCTGAGGAGCAGTATTGATTGCAATCCCAAGAGACTGGGGCCCTTCCTGGGTAAGGACCAGAGTACAGACCAATACCCCTCCCCAGATCACACCACCTTGGAAACACCAAAAATTCCAAACCCCTCCTCCACCCAACTGAAAACAACAGCGCAGAAAAAGTCTGAAACTTTGGGACAGACCCTTCCTCCCAACCCCGTCCCCCTCCCACCTCCAGGAACTGATATCAACATTAACATAAAGTTTTAAATCAAGAAATAAGGTGGAAAAATGAGCAAACAACAACAAAAAGGACTTGACCATAAAAATCTGCTATGGTGACAGGGAAAGTCAAGACACAAACTCAAAAGAAGAAAATGAACTCAAAACATCTATAAGCAAAGCTTCCAAGAGAAATGTGAATTGGACACAACCCCAACAAGAATTCCTAAAAGAGCTAAAAAATGATTTTCAAAATCAAATTGAGTGGTAGAGAAAAAAAAAGGTAAAGAAATCAAAGCAAAGGAAAATAATTTTGAAAAGACAATTAACTATTTGATAAAAGATGCACAAAAATACTGAATAATATAACAAACACCTATCCCATGAAATTTTAAATTCAGAAGAATTAAGAATAACAGATGCTTGTCTTAACCAATAAGAATTATAAGAAAAATCCACCAAAATGTATAATTTCAGTAATGTGCATTTTATAATAATATTATAGGAGGGGGAGGGGAAAGAAGCTGAATCTCTCATTTGTATTATTATACTTGACCATATTTCATAATTATATGTGATCATATCTTCTCCTCTACTAAATTGAGACCTCTTGTTGAGGTCTCACATCTAAAAGCTCACATCTAAAAGCAGATCTGTGACATATTTATCTTTGTATCTCCCAATTCCCTTGCATGTGGCTTTATATGAAGTGGGTACTTAATAAATGTTAGTTGAATTAAATAAATTGTTCATATTTTAATATTCTTAGCTCTTGAGTTTTGAGCCCAAGAACAAGAAATAATTGACATATTTAGTTGAGATATTGAAATTGCATTGATATTGAAATAATTTATAGATTTAATGCTCTTTACTAAAGATAGGCTCAATATTCTTTACTAAATACTTAAACATTTTTAGTGTAAAGGAAAGACAATTTGATTCCATCCTTCCAGCTCAGTTGATACAGTCACAAGATATAGCCATATATGAGGAGGTAATGAAGCATTAACTTTCATGAAGTACAAACGCCTTTCTGATTGAGCCAGGGAAAAGAACAATGTGATTGATTGAGTCTAAGTCAGGAATCAGTAGTAGTGAAGTGTAACTTCTACAAAGAGTTGGAGAGAAGAGGGAATATCTCTCTCTCTCTCTCTCTCTCTCTCTCTCTCTCTCTCTCTCTCTCTCTCTCTTTCTCTCTCTCTCTCTCTCTCTCTCTCTCTCTCTCTCTCTCTCTCTTCTCTCTCTCTCTCTCTCCCTGTTTCTGTCTCTGTCTCTCTCTTTTTTCCACCCCCCTGCCACTTCTACCATTGGCGTGTTGAATATAGCAATGACCTACCTAAAAAAGACAACCCTTGAAGCAGTTTGAGAATTCCTTCAGTTTGAGAAAGTTTGAGACATAATAGAGAGAACAAAGAAACACACTCCAGACAGATATGGGTACAGAATGGCAGTCACTCAAAAGAGGAAGCAGCTTAGGAGAAGGGAACTCCTGGTAGTAGAAAAGAGGACCAAAAGCTGTTAGGAGCAGACCATGGGAAATTAACCAAACAATTTGCTTAGCAGAGATCCCACACCCAAGGCAAACTGCATGAGACTTCTGTAAAGACAGCAAGGACTTCTAGGGCTTGATATTTAAGTGGTTGTGAATTACCTATTCCACAAACACATATTGCCTCACTCCTGTTATACTCTGTTCCCACTTCTCCTGCATACACTGTATTTTGGGGAGAGCACACTCTAGGTTTATGTTGGTAACATTTTGTAGATAAAGTCTTTACTGGGCCAGTTCTGTGTGCTGAACAGAGTGCCAGGCTTGGAGTTAGGAAGACTCATCTTTGTGAGCTCAAACCTGGCCTCAGAGAGTTGCTAGCTGTGTGACCCTGGAGAAGTCATATAATCCTGTTTGCCTCAGTTCCTTATCTGCAAAATGAGCTGGAGAAGGAAATGGCAAACCACTCCATATCTTTGCCAAGAAAACTCAAAAGGGGTCACAAAGAGTGGAATATGACTGAAATGACTGAGTAGCAACAGCATCTTTGCTATGTTACCTTTGTAAATGTTTTTGATAAGAGCTAATTTTGGCTACTGGCTGATTGTTAGTAGGAAATACGCTGGTGGGGGCTTATCCATGAGAATTACCCCAAGAACCTATGAATGCAGTAGCCTCCCTCTGGGGATTCAACCCTGTGAGTCTAAGTACAAGTTGAGGAGGTAGTCCGGAGGGCATGGTACATTAGAATGCTGACTTTTCCTAAGAATGTTATCCACTGAGGCAGCAGACAGAGTCTAAATTACTGTCATCTTGAAATTAATATGAGTACTTATAAAGCCAACTTAAACTTTCAGAACTTTGAAGCCACTAAATATCATCTTACTCCAGGTTGAGTTCAGAAACTAATTCAGCTTTACACACTTATTACTTGTGTGATCAAGGACAAGCCATTTCATCTTCTTCAGACTCAGCTTCCTTATCTGCAAAATGGGGGTAATAATAGCACTTGCTTCCCAGGGTTGTTATGAGGATGAAATGAGATATTTGTAAAATGCTTTGTGAATCATAAAGTACTATGTAAATTCTAGATGATGGCGATGATGATTATAACAGAGAATCTCAAAGTTGAAAAGGAGTTCAGAGGCCATTTAGGACAACCCCTACTTGTTCAGGAACGCTTTCTATACCCACAATTGGTCATTCAGAGGTTTTGTTTCAAGGTCTTTAGAGAGGAGACCCACCTCTCTTCTGTGGCAGCATGCTCTACTCTTGAATTACTTTAAATTGATAAGAAGCTTTTCCTTACATTGAGCCAAAATCTGCCTCTCTACCATTTCCACCTATAGCTCTCAATTCTGACCAAAATTGACAAGACTGGTTTCTGCTCCATATGGCAGCCCTTCGAATACACAAATATAGATTGCAATGATGTATACGTTAAGCTTACTGCCTTTTTACTCTAGAACTTGGAGTACTTACTTTTAGCTCTCGGGGCCTCATCACCCTGGAACATCTCTCTGCCATGTTGGCCCTACCAGTGAGCTCCTGACAGGGCCTCCATTTTGGAAATGGATCCAGGCCAGCCATATTAATATCCCTCCCAATTGGGCTTCTGCTTCTCTGACCTTTGCTACCATGTTCCTGTGTGGGTATCTATTGCTTTTCATCTCCCTTTTCTGTCTTGTCTTCTCCCACTAGAGTGTAAACTCCTTGGGAACAGGGGCTGTCTTTTTGTTTGTTTTTGTTTTGTTTTTGTTGTTTTTTGGCTTGTATTGATGTCCTCAGTATTTAGTACAGTGCTTGGCATGCATGCAGTAAAAGCTTAATAAATGCTTACTGCCTGCCTTCTTGTCTGCCTCCTCTGCTAAACATCCCCATTTTCTTAAACCAAGTCTTATATGGCATGTTCTCTGGGCCCCTGACCATTCTGATCATCCCCATTTGTCCATAGTATGGTTTATTGATGGCCTTTCTCAAACATGGCACCCCAATTCAGCAGAATACTACAGACATAACTTGGCAAGGGCAGAGTACAACAGAAAAATCATCTCTCTAACTTGGACGTGAGCATTCTTTGGGCAATCTAGATAGGATTAGTTTCTTTTTGACTGCTATGTTACACTCACTCTGAGCTGACAATCTTCTAAAAGCCCCAGCTTTGACTCACAAAAACTAGTGTTTATGCCTCCCCGTCTTATACTTAGAAAATAGCCATATTTTAGGATCATTAAATGTCATCACTTCATTCATGTTTACAATTTTATGTAAGTATTTTGAACAGAGTCCTTACCTCCCAGGAGCTGTTAAGTTTTTCCCTGTATAATAGTTAATGCCAGATGGTGCATAATTCCAAAACACTTCCTCAGCAGCAATGTAGTAGTGCTTAACACTTGTCCCATTAACATTATCATTTGAGCGCTTTTCACAATCACTTATCTTGAAATAGGCTTTCATGCCAGCTGAAAAACAGAAAATTCTGATGGTTCATTTCATTAAGACAACAAAAGCATATTTTCAAAGATTTCTCATTTTTTGCTCCTCTTTGCTTTTGAGAAATTTTGGGAACCAGTGTTTTGTTTTGTTTTGTTTTTGTTTTTTTTGGCTGCTACATGTAAATATATCGAAAACAACTGATATTAAACTTTTTTTTCTCTCAACTTTTGCCTCAATGATTCCACTACTGGGCATCTATAGTTTCCAAGAAGGTCAATGACAGAAACAAAAGTTTCATGTATAGGAAAATATTTACAGCAGTATTTTTGTAGTAGCAAAGAACTGGAAATTAGATTAATTTCTTTAGTTAATCAACTTTATCTAAGTTGTAATTTTCAGTTAGATTATTTTTAAAAAGATGCATAATATTGCACCCAGAAGGTAGTTGGAATGGGGGATGGGAGTCAAAGTTTTAGTCTGGATTCCACCACTTATTACATGCCTTGGAGCAGGTCCCTTAACCTTATTGAGCTTTGGTTTTCTCATTTGCAAAAGATTAGCCTATCTATGAGGTCCTTTACCTGCCTCTTCTGTTAAGCATCTCTGTATTCTTAAATCAATCCTAATATGGCACATTCTGAAGTTCTGTGATTTTACTGAATATAAAAGAACCACTTAAAGTTCTAAGAAGATATTGGAGAGGTCATAAGGTAACTTATCTTTTCAATCTCCCTATCAAAGTCAGAAATAGAAATACCAAAAAGGAAGAAAAACTACCAGAAATCCTTAAATTAAGAATTTAAAAAAAAACCCTCAAAGAAATGAGCAAACAAAAGAGTTTCCAAAATGAAAAATAAAAATGTGTACCCTGAGTTAAGAACTCCCAACTTACACAGTGTGATTTGAGGTTCCATTTATACAGAAGTGCCTCTGTCATGAGATAGAAATTCCTATTCATGGTCATTAATGGTTAGACAACAAAGGTAATGGAAAAATATAATGGGTTAAAAAAAGCTGGGGCAAACATTCCAGAAGAAAAAAAAAAGAAACACCAGCAAAAGTAGAATTTTCCTAATATGTAGCAAAATAGATCATAAGTACAACAATGGAATCAAATTAAGAAATTAAACATTTAAATTAGATAAAATTATCTGCTAGCAGATTAAACACAAGACATAGAAGGTATTAATTAGAATAGTTCCTAGGATCAATTTCAGGAGTTTAGTACAAGCTGACTACCCTCTATGTGAAGAGGCGAGGACTTCCTGGTAAACTCGTCAAATTGATAAGGGAATTCCCTAATCAACTGCTTTTACAAAAAGAAAAATACACCAGCAGGATAGATTATATTCTAGAGAATTAGAAAAAAGGCATAAGATAGACTATATTTTCATAACACCAAGATTTTTAAAAATTAGAGAAAAGATTTCTTATTCAATACCAATTATTAAGAATATTGAATAGCAACAAGATACACAGCTCACCCATTTTACAATGAATTTAAAAAGAATCAGTAATCTAAGTACAAAACTCATTAAAATTTTGAAGAAAAGAGATGCTATACCTGTTGCAATTGCAGAGATGACAAAAATTGATATGTACTTAAAGGATAAAAGAGAAGGATTTGAGTATATGAAAACAGAGATCCTCCCCACCTTGCTTGAGCACGTGCTCTCTCTAGCCTGCGCACACACACACACACACACAGACACACACACACACACACACACACTATAATTTAGAACAATGCATACAGAATAAAAATTTTAAAAACAAATTGCGGAGAAAAATTTATAAATATTTTTGTTAGAAATCTGTTCTAATAGGGTATATATATGTATATGTATAGCCACATATTATCTTACATAACTGATTCAGATTTATGAAAAGAAGATTCATTCTTCGGTAGCTAGCTGATCAAAAGATATGAACAGATTGTTCCCTAAGGAAGGGACACGATCAATAATCATTTGCAAAATGCTCAAACTCTTTAATGAGATAATCTCAGATTAAAACAACTCTTGAGACCATACCTTTTACCTATTGAATTATTATGGTGGCTAAAATAATAAAATTCAATATCTTCCTGAAGGTAGAAAAATAAACCACTATGTACATTGACAATGGAGATACAAGTCGGAGTGATCTTTTTGGAAGACAATATGGCATCACACAATGAGCCACAAAACTATTTTACAATGTTCCCTGATGATCCTGCTACCATTATCCCCTCTGGCTGATATTAACAGAGGAAAAAGAAATTATCTGTACAACAGGATAACAGCACAGCATCATTTATAATAATAAAAAAATTGATATAATCCACATGTCCAGTAATTAGAGAATGGCTGAAAAATGAGGCATATAGAAGGAATGGAATATTATTGCTTAAGAAGAAATGATGAAAAGGAATATTATGAAGATGATTTATGAGAAAGAATAGACTTAAGATCCTTTCTGGATCATTGTCTTGTTCTGGTGGAGGGGCTTTCATAGTTCAGTGAAACTATGAGCTGTGCCATGCAAGGTTACCCAAGATGGACAGGTGATAGTGGAGAGTTCTGACAAAAGGTGATCCACTGGGGAAGGAAATGGCAAACCACTTGGGTATCTTTGCCAAGAAAACCTCATGGACAGTATTAAAATGATAAAAGAGATGACATAGGAAGATATGCCCCTGAGATCGGAAGATGCCCAATATGCTACTGGGGAAAAGCAGAGGACAGCAACAAGTAGGTCTAATACTAATAAAGCATCTGGGCCAAAGCCAAAAGGAAATTCAGCTGTAGATGTGTTTGGTGACGAAAAGAAAGTCGGAGGCAATAAAGATCAGTATTACGTAGAGACTTGGAATGTAAGAGCTATAAACCAAAGTAAGCTGAATGTAGTCAAGCTGGAGATGGAAAGATTAAATATCGACATCATGGGTGTCAGTGAATGTCAATGGATGTAAATGGGTGAATGTAATTCAGTTGATAATTAGATATACCACTGTGGGCAAGAATCCCTCAGAAGAAATGGGATAGCCCACATAGTTGATAAAAGAGTGAAAAAAGGCAGTCCTGGGGTATAATCTCAAAAAGGATTGAATGATATTTGTTCGAATCCAAGACAAACCATTCAACATTACGGTAATATGAATCTATGCTCCAACCACTAAGGCTGAAGAGGCCAAAGTTGATCAGTTCTATGAAGACCTACCACATCTTCTAGAAATAACACCAAAAAATGTCATTTATCATAAGGGATTGGAATGCTAAAGTAGGAAATCAAAAGATTACTGGAATAACAGACAACTTTGACTTTGGAGTACAAAATAAAGAAGGGTAGAGACTAATAGAGTTTTGTCAAGATCACTAGCTAGTCATAGCAAATACTCTTTCAACAACCCAAAAGGCAGCTCGGACTTGGCCAGATAGTCAATATCAAAATCAGTTTGATTATATACTTTGCAGCCAAAGATGGAGAAACTCTTATACAGCCAGTTAAAACAAGACCTGGAGTTGACTGTGGCTCAGATTATGAGCTTCTCTTTGCAAAATTCAGACTTAAATTGAAGAAAGTAGGGAAAACCATCAGACCATATAGGTATGACCTGAATAATATCCTTTATGAATATGAAGTGGAAGCAATGAACAGATTTAAGGGATTAGACATGGTAGCTACAGTCCCTGAAGAGCTATGGACAGAGGTTTACAATATTGTACAGGAGGCAGCAACAAAAACATCTCAAAGAAAAAGAAGAGCAAGGCTCAGATTCTGAAAATCTAGCCAATCGCTCACTAATGTTCAGATTCCTTAAGAGTCTGGCCAGTATGGTGGATGTTTTAATAAACCTTGTCTTTAGCAGAAAGAAGGCCTGGGTTGAATTCTTTCAGACAGGACCCATGTGTTGTGATTTTGGGGTCTCAGCACCCCTAAATCCCTAAACCTCACCATTTTGTTGGCCCGTATGGGGAAACTGCCTAACCCCAAGTTTTCCTACAGCCAAGACCGAAAGGTATGTAAGCCTCCGCTCCTTCTTTCTTGCCCTGCAGTTGGGGTCCCTCTCCGAGCACCTAGGAAGGCTTGGAGGTGCTTTTTGGGCAGACAGTCATGAGGCTTTCTTACGTTCAGCCTGCTACTCTCAGGCTCTCAGTCCACTGGTTCAGTTCAAGGACATGGACCTGGGTACACCTTCTGCAGCGTAGAGGATACCCTGTCTGGAAGTGTATGCCCAATTCTGTCAATTCTCTCAGTGCTAGGAAACTGGGAAAACTGCAGGTGCTTTTTTGTTCTCTGAGGCTTACTTACTCCCTTCCCTCTAAAGTCCTGGATCCTCCTTCATGTAAGTCACAGGGAAAAGTTAGAGCAGCTAAAAACTTCTTGGCAGATTCTGGAGGTTATTAAGGAGTTTTGAAACACCTCCTTACAACCCTGGCCACTCCTTTCCCTTGAGCCAAGAGAGTATCTCTGTTAACCCCTTTTGTAGGAGAAGAGAGTTTCACCCTTCCCCCTCTACCTTCCAATTAGCCCTCTCCCACCTGGGGAAAGGAAAGAGGGGGGAGGGGCAGCAGCTACAGTGTGGGCCCCCCTGGCAATGGCCTAGGGCCCTAGGGCAACTTTTGCCTGGAAACATTACCCAGGATCAGCACATCCTGCTCCAGGTAAAGAAGCTGGCCTCTGAACTTGGGGAAGCATGTTCTTTTAAAGTTTCAGTTTCAACTGTTAATGATGAGATGTTGATTCTTTGTGTAAAGTAATTTAGAAATATGTTTAACAAAATTGAAGTCACCTGATTGGTAATGGGTTCTTTTCAAGTTGGTGAACTTTTTGTGTCAGTCATGTCAAGCAACTTTTCATAATTTGGTTACCGCTAAAATAATTTGGCTATTGTTGGTTATTGTTTTAAAGTGCAAACTTGCCAAAAAGCTTGTTTGGGTTTTGCCTTGCTGAGAATTTTCGAGTATATAGAAATAATCTCTAACAATTATCTTTTTAGACCAGGACAAATTTAAATTTGAGATGTAAATCCTGGAAAAGTTTCTCCTAAGTTGTGATTAGTGAAACTTGCTGTTGAGGTAAAAGCTCATAGGATTTTATTTTGAGTTGTCTGATGGATCATAATAATCCATCAATAATCAATAATCCACCATCTGAGAGAAATGCCACAAGCTACTCAGAGAGAATGTGATACTGCTGGAAAGTCAGCACTGGGAAAAGCTCAGAGGACAATTTTAGCCTCAGTCTAAGATGGGATCCTCCTGGCTCAGTTTCCCTATTATGTTCCTTTGAAAAGGAATGTTACCCACCTGGCTATTCCTGAGTCTGGCTATAAGGTGGATTTGATACTGTGTGGTTGGAAAACTGAATTATCTGAATCTGAAAGGAGCTAAGGATGTTTTATCCTGTATCTGAGCCCTCCACTCTTTTCTGTCAGATTTGTGTCTTCCAAACTACAGGCCATTCACCTACAATTGATAGCAAACGGCGGGTACCAGACAATGTCGCCCATCGTTCCCTGGATGCAGCCTGTGCTCAGTCACAGTCAACCTCCTCTTTGGGATCCCCTCAAGGCAAGGACAGCTCTATCCCCCTTGCCAACACAAAGCAGTTTCAGAAGCCAAGACCTTCGCCCCATACCCCAAAAGAATTTGGGTCCCATTTGTTTGAGGGGGGGGGGGGAATGATGGAGTTTGGATCTGGACCCCAGAAAGGGGACATAGGGTCATGAAGAGTCAGACATGACTGAACAAAAATAAAAGCAATTATCTAAAGAACATTCAAGATAAAAGAATAATGGTGGGGTGGCAACTTAACTTGTCCCTGGACACATTCTATCTGAACTTCATGAAACGGTGAGAAGAATGAGATAATTAGAGGAAACAAATCCAGAGAAATCCTCAGAAAAAAAATGATGGGACACATAGAAACAGACAGGGTATTTTTGAAGTCATACAGCTATGTCCCGATCAGTACAGAGAACAAATCCCAAGAAGTGGTCAATTTTAAAAATTCCTGTAGCATTTTTCCATTGACTGGCATAAAGACCTTATTTTATATAATTGTAACTTTGAATTGTGCAAATTAGAAGATGTGTGACCACTTCACAGAATTCATTATTCCCAATAATCGGGACTTAGTTGTATGTATGTGTATATGTGTGTGCACACATGCGCGTGTGCGCATGCACACACACACACACACACACACACACATACACATATCCACAACAATAGAAGTTTACAGTTTCCTATGCAATTTTTTTAAACCTTTATGTGAAACTCTGAGTGTTTGCTTTGGTTGATATATGTTGTATTATAATTTTTGAAAAAGTGATAACTTCTTACCATCCACATGCTTGTTAACTTGACAGCTGAGTAACCATTCCCCAACACTTTTTGCCACCATGCGAGCATCAAGCATTGAAGCGGCAAAAACTCTGAAAGTATCCACTCTGTGACGCAGATAGAGCAGGGTCTGTCCATGAACAAAGATGGAATGTCTATCATCCAGACCACCTATTCCAAAAAAATGCCAGTGCACTTTGTCTTCCACACACATGGTGATGATTGGCATGTTTCCATACATGAACCCATTCATTGCTAGTGGGGAAAAATAAACATTCACACATATCATTATGGTAAATATCACAGGAGCCATGACAGAGAGAGAGAGAGGTGGAGGATGGGAGGGACAGAGGGATGATGGAATATCAAGGGGATGGAATGAGGGCTACACAAAGCAAAACGTACTTAGCTTTCATGTGCCTAGGTCTCTAGTTTCTGCTCTTCCCAAATTAGGGTTCCAAGAAAAAGTGAGGCCCACAGACATTGAGAAAAAAACCAAGAAGATGGAAGAGGAGAAGGGAAAAGATATAAAGGGGATTAAGAGGACAAAAACGCATTGAGAGGTGAGTGAAAAAAATATGAAGGGATGGGTTGGGGAGAAGAAAGCAAGAAAGGAAAGAAAGAGAAGGGGAAAAAAAGGGGAAAGAGAAACAGGAATTGGAAGGTTCTTAAGAGAGAGGTGATTAAGATGTTCAGAGAAAAAACTCTCCAGGAAGATATTTGTGGGAGGCTTAATTTTGGTGAAATGTTTCGGTCGCATTAGAATACACTGCATTTTTCCTCATATGTTTTGATAACTCGAAGTCATAGGATTTTAGAATTTGATCTTGGAAGTGATCTTAGAGCAAGGACATGCTAGTGAATTTTTAACAATTGTCTCTCCAGAAAAAAAAATGTACCCACAACACACTAAGTTTAATCTGATTATTAACATCTTCTCCATCACTTTCTTAAATCTTTTGTTGTTGTTCAGTCATGTCTGATTCTTTGTGACCCCATTTGGGGTTTTCTTGGCAAAGATTCCAGAGTGGTTTGACATTGCCTTCTCCAGCTCATTTTGCAGATGAGGAAGCTGAGACCAACAGGGTGAAGTGACTTGTCCAAGGTCACACAGCTAGAAAAGTGTCTGAGGCTGGATTTGAACTCAAGAAGATGAGTCTTCCTGACTCCAGGCCCTATGCTCTATGCACTATGGCGCCATCTAGCTGCCCTTCTTCACTTCCCAATTTGTAGCGTCTGCTGATTTCTAAAGTATCAATGCCCACAACAAAAATTTTACAATCTGCCTGGGAGCTGGTACAAGCTGGCTTGGGCACTTCCTTGACATAGAGGTCAACTAGTCTGAACTCCCATTTTACAGATGAGGAAACAGCAGTCTAGGGAAGCCTGAGTAATTTGCTTTAAGTCACACAGGGGACTGGAATTTGAACTCCCTGGCTGAGCTTTTGCTTGACTTCTTGAGCCAGGTCCTCCTGACTCCCGGATCAGTGCTCTATCCACTATGCCACCTAGCTGCCCCTTAATAGCTGTTTTTTTTTTTATTGAATTATGCAGCCAAAGGGAAGTTGGTAATTGAAGTTACCAAACCAACAAACAATGAAAAATCCTTCCTTCTCTCACACTTTACCTGTGGGATCCTTTCTAATTCATTTAAGTTCTTGGGGACCTGGTTTCCTCATCTATAAAATGGATTGGATGAGATAACCTCTGAGGTCCCTCCTAGTTCTAAATCTATGATTCTATGAAAACTTTGCTTCTTTCTTATGTAACCCAAACCCCAAAGTCTATTGACATTGGACTCTCTCCACATTGGCAGAGATCATTGGCATTGGGGAGAACAGGAGAGAAGAGGGGAGAAGTCTCTTGGGTTCTTCTGGCTTCCGGATTTGAGAGAGTAGATGGGTGATGCCAACGTCACTTCACTTACAATACATTTTGTTGCTCTCTGTGAAGTCTGGATCAGTTTTATTAACCTTGTCAGGTTCATAACAATAGGTGTTGATATTTTCATCCAGATACCAGCTCTTATTTTCATCTACTACGTTAAACAGTACAACAAATGAGCGATCAGTATTTTTTTCAGTCTCCCCAATCAGGCTCCCTGCAATAAAAAATAACAAATTATTTAGTTTTCATGTGGGATGTTTAGCATTAATATAATGTAGTTCCTTATTTTTTTAATTAAAAATAATTTTTAATTGCAGTTGTGGCAAATTGAAAAGTGCAGTGTGAAGCTTGGGAATTATATGTCTTTATACAGATACACCCCACTTAAGAAAATCACTCTTTCAGGTAGTCTACTTGTATTTGCCCAAACCCTCTCCAAATCAGCTGCTATTTGAGAGCCCTTGTTAGCTCATATATATAACATATATATTTACATGTGTGTATTTGTATAACATATATTTATACATTTATATGTATTATATGTATGTATATGCATGTATGCATGTGTATGTATATGTGTATATGTGTATATGTGTGTATATATATAAAATTTGTGGAATAAAGCAAGCATTTCCATTCTTTCACAACCATTACACCTGTTTCTCTTTATCTTCTCTGTACCATTGGATGTCCCAATGGATGTCCCCATTACATGCTTTTACTACAGCTGACACCCTGCCTCATCTGTACTCTATGGTCTGTACCATCAGTTCTGCTCTTATCAATGCCCTCAAAACGCTTGCCCCTTATCTTTCTGTCCTATCTGCTTTGATGGGTCACCTCCACCATTTGTTTTCTACAGACCTACAACTAGACCCTAGAAATCAAGGAAAAAGGCAAAAGACACAAAGTCACAGAGATCCCAATGTAAACCATGGTTTCCTCACTCTAGACAAATTACTGTACTTCCTAATTTAAGAAGAAATTCCAAGCCATCCATAAAGAGCTGCCCATTTTTCCTTTTCTCCACTTCAAAATATCTCTGGATTTGTACTCATCTCATGCTTCCCTTCTATTACAGTGAAAGAGGTGTCCATCCTCATTTAATGGCTACCATCTTAACTAATGTTTTCAATCACACCCTTTCCTGCTTCTTCTTGAACTATCAGCATCCCCATTGCACGCTAACACGCTAAATTTTCAATTTGCCATATTCTCCTTTCTCTAGATTTTCAAACCTCTTCAAATCTCTCCTGATGCTATAGAGTAGCTACATTTCTGTTTTTCTCATATTACTCACTTCCAAATGTATCTTACCTAAGTGTGATTTGTACCCACTGCCCCCATTTTCTTACTACTCATATACTACTTAATCTTCTTCAGTCACACCTCCATTCTCCCAAAGCTCACCAATGGATCAATGACCAAATCTACTGTTCTTTTCTAAGTCCTCAGTCCTTAGTTTCTAGGTAGTGTTTGATACTACTGATCACACCTTTCTCAAAACTCTTTGCCCCATTCACCTCCGTTTTGCTGTGCTTTCCCCTGTATCTTCAATGGGGGCTCTTACTTACCAAAAGGCATTCCTCAAAGCTCATTCCTTACCATTCTCTTCTTTCTTTATGTGGTCTCCCTCAAAGAACTCATTTACTTTTGTAGCTTCTATTTTCATCTTTATACAAATACTTCTCATAGTCATGTCCATACCCATGTAACAATAATAACAATGATGATAACAATTATCCACTTTCTTCTCACATTCTTCTTAACCCATTACAATTTGGCTTCCAACTTTATCATTCTGCTGAAATTGCTCCCTCCAAAGTTACTAATCATCTCATAGTTGCCAATTCCAGTGGCCTTTTCTCAGTCCTCATTCTCTTTGACCTCTCTGCAGCCTTTGACACTATTGATCACTCTCTCTTCCTTGGTATTCTTTTCTCTGTTGGTTTCTGGGGCACTACTCTCTTCTAGTTCTCCTCCTGCTTATCTGACCACTCCTTCTCTTTCTTTTTTGCTGGATCCTTCCCCAGAGTGTAGGTTTGCCTCCGGGTTCTGTTCTTCTCCTTCTATATCACTTCACTTGGTGATGTCATCAGCTCCTATAGATTTAATTACCATCTCTATGCTAACAATTCTTAAATCTACCTGTCCTGTCCCAAACTTTCTGCTGGCCTCCAATTTTTCATCTCTAACTGCTTTTATGACATCTTGAATGTCCAGTAGACATCTCAAATGCAATACATCCAAAATGGAACTCATTATCTTTCCCCTTAAACTCTCTCCCAACCCCTGCCCCTTGCCAAACCTTCCCTGTTACTGTAGAGAGCAATGCCATTCTCCTAGTCCCTCAAGCTAGCAACCTGGGAATCATCCTGGACTCCTCACTATCTCTGATCCCCCCAAATAAATGTGTTGCCAAGGCCTGTCAATATCACCTTTGCAACATCTCTTATATAAGCCCCCTTCTGTCCTCTGATATTGCCACCTTGAGTGCAGGCCCTTATCACCTCGTGTCTAAATTACTGTAATAGCCTGCTGGTAGGTCTGCCTGCCTCAAATCTCTCTCCACTCCAATCCAGCTTCCTTTCAACAAAGTATAGGTTCAGTCATGTCACACACACACACACACACACACACACACACACACACACACCCCACCCCACAACTGCCACTGAATAAACTCCAGTGGCTTCCTATTGCCTCTATTAGCAAATAAAAAATTCTTTGTTTGGCACTCAAAGCCCTTCACAACCTAGGCTCCTCCTACCTTTCCAGTCTCCTCTTACGTTACTTCCTGACATGGTCCACTGGCACTGGCCTCCTGGCTATTCCATGAACAAGATACTTCATCTCTTAGCTCTACCCAGCTCCATCTCTGGCTATCTCCCATGCCTGGAATGTTCTCCTTCCCCCGCTCTAACTACTGACCTCCTGGGCTTCTTTTAAGTCCCATCTAAAATCCTACCTTCTACAGGAAGCCTTCCCTAACCACTGTTAATTCCACTGCCTTCCCCTTCTTGATCAAGATGCCTATTGATCATTTTCATTTCACTGCTCTCAATTAATTTGCTCTCAGTTAGTGCCCTCAGTAATCAGCCAGCCTTTATTAAGCATATATTGTGGGCCAGGCACTGCACTAGGCATTGGGATACAAAAAAGAGACTGGTAGGAGCGGAAGGCCTTTTCTACAACTACACCAAACCTTATTTGCCTATCCTTCTCCCTTCGCTGGTCCTCATTCAATCCATCAAGTTTGAGCTGAGCACATGTAGGCAGCATGATTTTAAGTAGAGGGAAGGAGCTGAGGAAGTCTGGATGGCCTGAGGGGTGTTTGGGAAACAGAAAGATATCCAGTGTGGTTAAAGCTTAGGGTAGGTGAAAGAGAGCTCTGAGAAGCCTGGACCTTATCTAGGGAGTCTCAAAGTGTGATCCACGTGCCCCTAGGAGACCCCAAGATCCATTCAGGGGTCTGCAACGTCAAAACTATTTTCATAATAACTCCAAGATATTTTAATTTCTAATATGGTAAATATTGGCATGTATCACTCACATTAACAAAAACTCTTGGGGTCCTCAAAATTTTTTAAGTGTAAAGGAGTCCTGAGACTAAAATTTTGAGAACCACTGAACCTTGAGTGCCAGGAATATATCGTAAAAATGATATTAAATGGACAGCTTTTATGATATTATAGATTATTCTTCTTTTTAAAGCAGCCTACATGTCATCGGATTGTATTTTTATCGTTTGAGATTTTAAGAGAATGTTTTACCTTTCCTACATGTTATCAGGGGTCCCACAAGCCCAGAGGCTACATCCTTCATGGTATCGAAGTGTGAGTGGTAAATTCTGGTCACACAATTATGGTCTCCGTCCGCAGGCCCTTGCTCTGGTGTTATGGACCACCTGTAAGTATAGTTCTGTCCAGGTGGCACTCCATCGTCTTTCTTCTGTGCCCCAGAGGTATTGTCAGGATACAGAGCACCTAGGAGGCATCCAAGACACGGCATTGATTGAAAGCCCTCATTTGAAGGAGAGTCAAACTTTCTCTATTGAGCCTTGGTATATGGAGACTTAGACTTATTAAGGAAAAGTAACTTTTATGATTTACTTTCTTTCCAAGATTGCTCTGAAGCACTCTGAGCTGGAAGGCTATTTAGTTCAGCTTTCTTATTTTATAAAGGAAGAAAGTGAGGCTGAGAGAGGTGGCGCCACAGCGTGGCAAAGGTCACTCAATTAATGAACAGGCATTTATAAAGTTCCTACTGTGTGGAGCATGGTGCTAGGTGCTGGGATTACAAAACCAAAGCTTTAACAGTTTTCACCTTCAAAAAGCTTCATTCTCCTAGGGGAAACAACATATACATTTATTTAAGTAAGCACAAAATATACCCCAAGTAAATACAAAATACCATATTTTTGTGTGGGTAGAGACACTAGGTGGTATGGTAGCAGTGTTGGTAGAGATAAGGAATGGCCTCATGCAGGAGGTGATGGTTGAACTGAGGTGGGCATTCTAAGAGAAGGTAATATGACTCATACATTTCACTGCACTATCTCCACCTTCACTTTGGTCTTAGATGAAGTAGTAGCACTTCTCCTCACCAAGGCATATCCATAGATCCTTGGTCCAAACCCTTCTCTACTTCTTCAGCAAAATGACCCTACCATCATCCTCTCTCTCCCTCCCTTTCTCTCTTTCTCTCTCTGTCTCTCACAAGAAGTCTTTTCAATATGGCTTCCAGCCTCATTATCCAATTGAAATCATCTTCTCCAAAGTTACCAATAACCTCTTAACTGCCAATTCTAATGACCTTTTCTCAATTCTGTTTCTCTTTGACCACACTGCAGCATCAGATATTATTGACCATCTTTCTTTTCTGCAGACTTTCTTCTCTAAGTTTTTAACACGGTGCTTTCTCTTCGTCCTCCTTCTATCTGCCCAACTGCCCCTTCTCAATTTCCTTTGCTGGTTCATTAATCATATAGAAAACTATTACCTGAAGGCATCCCCAAAGTCTCTGTCCTGGATCCCTTTCTTTTTTTCTCTCTATACTATCTCACTTGGTGACCTCATCAGTTTCTATATATTTAATTATCATCTTTATGCAAGTGAGACAAATAAGGCAGCCAGGTGACACAGTAGATAGTGCACCCATCCTGAAGTCAGGAAGATTTGAGTTCAAATTTGCCCTCAGACACTTGTTAGCTGTGTGATCCTAGACAAGTTACTTAACCTCTATTTGCCTCAGTTCCTCATCTGCAAAGTGGGGGCACACTGGAGTAGAAAATGGCAAGCCACTCCAGTATCTTTGCCATGAAAACTTCATGGACTTTGTCCACGGGGTCATGTAGAGTCAGACACAACCAAATGACTGAAAACAACAACAGAGCAAATGATTCCCAACCCTAACCTCTTTCCTGAGCTCCAGGCTTGCATCTCTCACTTCCCCTTGGACCTCTCAAACTGGACGCCCCATAGACAACTCAAACACAACACGTCCAAAAAAGAACTCACCATCATTCTTCCCAAACCCTTCCACATTCTAAGCTTCCCTATCATTGGTTAGGGCACGACCATTTTCCATTAGAACTTCAGTGTCATCCTAGATTCCTCCATCTCACTCCCTTCACATACCCAATCCATTACCAACTCCTGTTTGAACCTTCACAATATCTCTCATCTAGGCTCCATCTTTGAACCACACAGCTACAGCCCTAGTTCAGGTCCTTATCCCCTGTTTCCTGGACTGCTGCCTTAAGCTTCTCCCTAATCCAATCCTCTACTCAGGTGCCAACCTGATTTTTAAACATTTTAAACCATGTTCACTATGCTTATTGTTCAGCGGCTCCTTCTTCTCTCCAGGACAGACACAAACTCCTCTGCTTGTCATTTGGGCTCCAGCCTGCCTCTCCAAATTATAACACTTTTATTCAGTCTATGTTCTGCGTAACTTACTTTTCTTCACACACAGCATTCCACTTTCCACCTTACTCTACAGGTTGTCCACTTGCTTGGAATGTACTTCAGTTTGTCAATAAGTCAGTTGGCCCCCAAGCATTTATTAAGCACTTACTGTGTACTAGTCACTGTGCTAAGCACAGTTATGAAGAAAGGGAAAAAAATAAAAATAAATTTAAAAAAATTTAAAAAAAAGAAAAGGAAAGGGAAAAAAAACCACAACCTAACAATCCCCACCCTCAAAGACCTCATTAGACATTAGATATGTGAGATTGTGTAAACAACCACGTATGTACAACATCTAGAGAGAGCAGATGGAACACAATCTGAAAGGGGAAGGCATTAGCAAGGAAGGCTTCATGCAGAAGGTGAGATTTGAACTAATTTTTGAGCAGAGCTAGGAAAACTAAAGTGTAGAGTTGAGGGGGAAGAGCATTCCAGGCTCGAGGGTCAGCATGTGCAAAGGCATGATGATGGGGCATGGGGGTGGTTGTATTTGAAGAACTGCAAACAGGCCAGTGTAGCTGCATCCTGGGGTTGGGGAGAGGGGTCCAAAGTATAAGGAGCCCTCTCCCCCATGGTTCCAACTGTACCGCTTGCTAGCCACTGACCATGGATAAGCCACTTAACTTTTTGGTGCCTCGGGAGAATTCCCAAGTGTTATCTGCAGAATCAAGGAGGGGCTGGTGAAGGGAGTTCCCATGGCTGGCATCTTCTAGAACTACATCAACATAATAAGAGCTGACACTTGTGTTATAAATATAATTGTAAGTAATATCAATAAAACTGACAGCTAAGACCTGCAAAGCTCTTTTTATTTACTTATTTATTTATTTATTTATTTGTTTGTTTGTTTGTTTATTTATTTATTCTTTTTATGCATTCTCGTTTCATCCTCACAACAATCATATGAGGTAGCTAGTTCAAGTAGCAGTATCCCCATCTTACAGGTAAGGAAACTGAGCCTCAGAGAAGGTCAGTGACTTATCCAAAATCACACAGCTGAGAAGCAGTGAAGCCAAAGTACAGACTTCAGTCTCCTGACTCCTAGCCCAGTACTGTCCCAATATATCACAGTACCTCTCATGCTACCCTTGTTTTTTAGGCAGATGTTTCCAAAGAACATCAATCATATCATCTTTCCTTCACAACTCAAAGAGTCCTGGATTTCAAGGCAGAGGACCTCAGTTAAAATTCTGTTTCTGCCACTTAAAACCCAGGTGCAGCAAATCTATCCATTCTCAAACCTTTCCTCTATGTTGCTGCTCAGATTATATGCCTCCAGTCCATACCTGACCACCCCACTTCCTTGCTCAAATAGCTCCTATCACTCCCTCTTATCTTTTTTTCCCTCCACTTTTCTTCCCTTGCTGCACAAAGACTTATTTGTTTGCTTTGCCTCCCTCTTCTTTCATTCGGGTCTGGTCTGCCAAGTCCAGCCATAAAAGTCTAAAGAAGGGACAAACCGGGAAAATGTTGCTGGCTTTTGCATTCTCTTAGGATATCTTTTTAAGAAGAACAGATCAATCTTAGTAAGACTAAGACTGTTTGTGGCTGAGACCTCACAGATGCCTCCCTTCTCCTCTTAGGCCGTGGTACTTCCCTACAAGTGTTAATAATCTCACATTTGTCATTACATGTAAGATCAGAAATTGAAATCGAAGGATCTGGAAGGTAAACATCAAAGGTCTCCAAAGAAAAGGTGGATTCCTAATTATGGCTAATCTATAGCCACCTTTCCTCAGTATTATGTTTAGTACTGTCTATAAACACTGAATACAATTTGATTGAAACTTATTAATTTTTGCTAAACTTACTAAATCACATCATAAATTTGTAGAATACTATCATTCCTTAGTCATTCTATGGCCAAACATATGCTCTCCTTTAAAATAAGATAGTGGTTGGAAAGGGAACTATTTTCACAGCTTTTAGTATACTGAAACAATTGTAATTTTTTTCTAATTATATTCAGTTTTGGAAGGGAATTGATTGTACCTTCATTTTCCTTAGTGTAAGTTGCTCCATGAGGATGCATAGTGTAGGGTCTTGAGGCAAAGTTTTTCATATGCACAACAATTACATCTCCAACCTCTCCCTTCAGAATAGGACCCACAAACCCCAGCCAGGATGGCTTTTCCACATGCCTTTGATAACTTTCATCCGTATATTGAACATACATGGCTTTCTTATATATTCGACCTATCCGCGTAGGGCCTCTTTCTAGATAGACATATGAATGAAGTTCGCTGTGGAGACAAAAAAACAACTCTATAACAGATTTTGACTGGAAAGAAAATGTTCAAATTGGTTGGAATAGGAAGTCAGGAGATTTGTAGCTTAAATGAGACCTAAATGGCCAAAGGAAGGAGATTTATGGTTTCAATGGCAAAATGCCAAACCTGGAAAGAATAAGATGAAATAAGATGGGAGAAAAGAAGATAGGAAGTAGGAATCCCAGACAGCTTTTTTGTTATGAGGCATGACGTAATTAATTCATGAAGCATCTTAGTTGTAAAGCCCTCCCCTGAGCTTTGTACTAAACCATGTCATCAAATTGCAAAAGCACTTTAAGAATTCTTTAGCCATTTGATGAATTATTATAAGGGTCATAGATTTAGAGCTGGAAGGGACCCAATAGGCTGTGGAAGGGACCCAAACAGGATTTGATCTCCTATCTTTCCGACTCCACGTTCAGTGCCTCCTCATGTTAGACATTAGCCCACGTCTATACAAGCAAATGGAATTAATTAATTAGTGAATTTGGGCCATCTAGACCCATAATTTGAATACATTGGAGCCCTTCTCCAAATATCTCCTCATTCTCTTGCTGAATCATCTGGAAAGATGAAAGAGAATAACATAAGTCTTATTATTCAGATTTTCCCATGTATATGAAAAAAAGAATTGCTTTTCAAACATTGCACGCCACTATGTGTCAAAGCACAGAATTACACAGAATTTCTGTTTGGAGGGCTTACAACTTAAGCATATGGGTAGATATAACTGGTACCATACGAAGCAGGGCTTCTTAACCTTTTCTGTAACATGGACCCCTTTGGCAGTCTGATAAAGGTGATAGATCCCTCCTCAAAATAATATGGAAGTCAGAGTTCAGTTTTAGGCTTTTAAAAAGCTTAAAGCTTTTAGCTTTAAGGAGAAATTGAGGTCCAGTGAGGGAAAGTGATTTGTCCATAGTCATACAGGTAACAAGTTGTCCTAGGCAGGATTTGAATCCAGGTTCTCTGAACCTAGAGCCAGTGTTCTTTCCACTACACTAGGATACCTGAGGAAATGAAGTTGGAGGGGCAGCTAGGTGGCACAGTGCATAGAGCACCGGCCCTGGAGTCAGGAGAACCTGCGTTCAAATCCATCCTCAGACACTTGACACTTGACTGGCTGTGTGACTTTGGGCAAGTCCCTTAACTCCATTGCCTAGCCAAAAGAAAAAAGAAATGAAATCAGAAAGGCTCTTGCATGTTAAATGTGCCTATGTATACATATGCATGCATATATAACATATACATGTCCATTCCTGACAATGAATTTGTTCTTAAAGAGTTATTCCAACAAAAGTCATCATCAGCATATGATCCGTAATAATTAACTACCAGCCCATTCTGTGGACGCTAACATTTTCAAGGAAAGTTGAACATTACTTACTTATCTTCTGAAATTAATTTTCCGTTGATTATGTTTTTACCAGTTGGAGCATAGTTCCAGGTCCCTTCCCTAATGCCAATGTAATAATGTCTTTCTCTTGCCCAGCCTGGAGAATTGGCAAAAATCAGAAAAAAGGTAAACAGCAAAACTCCTGTCATTTTTCAGCCTGGAGCCTTGAGAAACAAAATTGATGTAGGCCTGATCGCCTTCCTTTTATAGGTCAGAACTTCTTTGCTTTCCTGGGGTCCATTTACATGAAGTCAAGTTACATAAGAGCAGCTCTCCCTTCTTCACCTGCACAGATGCAAATCCCATTCAGTTGTATTTAGTACTTGTTGGCCAAATGCGACGTTGAGTAACCCAACTGAACATTGCACAATTATCCACTCGAGATTGCCAGTTCATAATCCAACCATTCTGGAGAGCAATTTGGAACTATGCCAAAAGAGCAAACCAACTGTATATACTCTTTGATATAGCAATACCACTGCTAGGTCTATATCCCAAAGACATCCCAAAAAAGGGAGGGGGGAAGGACCTATTTGTACTAAAATATTAATAGCAAGGGTAGCTAGGTGGTGTAGTGGCTAGACCACTGGCCCTGGAGTCAGGAGGACTTGAGTTCAAATCTGGTCTCAGACCAACCACTTGATACTTACTAGCTGTGTGACCCTGGGCAAGTCACTTCACCTCGATTGCCTTGACAAAAAAAAAAAAGGCTCACACTCTAATTGAAGCAAACAGCACATTCTTAGGTGGCATCTGCAGGTCAATGGAAGATGTACTAGTAGCAACAGGGAAGCTGGTGTAGTGTGGTGGAGGACCTTATGATGCACTAACAGGGTGGATGGCAAGGCCTGGTGGTCCTCCATCTTGTTAGAAGGGTACAACTGACTCCTTGTTCATCCTACTGGTATGAGCAGCCATATTGCTCTTCCTATGTGACTACGCTGATGGGATTTGGGTGGTCCAGACTGGAGGAGGAGGGAAAGGGAAGAAGGAGAAGCTGGTGACTATTCCTACCCGGGTTCCCCACAGGGAAAATGGTTAAAGGAGAAAGGAAAAGGAAAGAGAAATGTGGCTTTTCCTACCTGGACGCCTTGAAGGAGGTTTTTCAGCCTTATAATCTCATTACTCTCTTATACTACAAACTCCTTCACTGTCAAAGAGACCACTGTCCTCCCTGCCTTCACACCTTTACTGAAGCCATATTCTTAGCTGGTGATGTACTCTCGTCTCTTCTCAATCTATTACTATTCTATAAATCCAAGGCTGAACCCCAGTTCACTGGTGGAGGCTTCGCCGATTTTTTCAGACTCCCATCCTACAGCACCTTTGCCTATCATTCTTTGGCCACTCTAATGCTTTCAGGATCTGTGATTTAAGCCATCGGGAGACATACCTCACTACAGACAGATGCAGATCACTACCCTTTCTAACCCCTTAGTGGAAGATTTAAGGAAGTACTGCAATTCCCTCCAACCCCATCAAGCCCCTCCCCATTAGAATATAAGCTCCTTGAGGGTAGGAACTCATTCTTTGAATCCCTAGCATTTAACACAGGGTGTAGCACATAATAAGTGCGCAATAAATGCTAATTGATAATAATAATAATAATAGCTAGAACTTATACAGTGCTTTAAGGTTTGCAAAAACACTTTACAGATCTGGCAATGTTGTGGTCTTCAGGCTGGAGTCCAAAAGCTTTCTCCAGAGAAAGTTTAATGATCACAGGCTTCCAGAGTCCTAAAGAGATCTCAGTGGCCATCTCTTATAAATTCTTCATTTGAATAATAAAAGATGATTTTTAAATGATGCTTTAAGGCTAGAAAAAATACTTTGCATATACTTGGAACTGAGATCCAGAGAATTTAAGTTACTTGCCCAAAGTGAAAAAGGTGGAGTCAGGATTTAATCCCTGGGCTTTCTGCCTCCAAATCCAGGACTCATTTGGCTACATGTCAAATCTATATTACTTTCGGTGAAGTTTGGATTGCGTCAAAGGGCCGCAGTTGAGGCCACATCGGTCCTCTAGGCTGCAGGTTCCCTGCCCCTGGACTGTCAGTTAAGTGATTAGTGAACGTCACAGTATTTAACCGCCCTGGCTGTGGTTCATGCCTAGGAGCTTAGGAAATGATTTATGTCTTCTCTTTAAGGTAGAGTGGTAGACAGCTCTGGTTTTGGAGTCAGAAGAACTGAGCTCAAATATCGCTTTTGTTATTTATCACCAGTGTGAATGTGCATGCTTCTTAAACTCTCTGGGCCTCAGTTTCCTCATCTGTAAAACAAGATGGCCTCTAACGTCCCTTCCAGCTCTAAATCCATGAACTTTTGATCCTCCTAGTGTGATAGGGTTCAGGATAGGTATATGGCCAATAAAAAACACTTTCTAACTGCCCAACATCTATATGTTAAGAGAGCAGCAGATATGGCGACTTGTAATCTTGAATAACCACAAAGAGTTGCTAACATAGCCTTGAAAGATCTCAAGACTTTTCAAAATGATTCCTGGCAATCAGTTCCATTTTTGTTCACCTCACTGGCTGTTTAGACAAATCAGCTAGTGCTTGGGCAAGCCATTCTTTCTTTGAACGCCTCTCAATATTGTCCCAAGGCATATGAACACAGAAGTTATTATTTTTTTGACTCTCTGTTTCCTGCTTCCTGGATGAGAAAACTCCATCGAGTCTTTTTGGCCATCACTACATCATTTGCTTATGAGTACATTTCCTTGACATCTAGCTTGAGGATATAGCAGTATTTACCTGAGCTCAATGTCATTATGCTTGGCCTCATACCCATCTCCAGGGACCTTATAGGGAAACTTGGAGCCCACCTCACTTTTCTGAAATCTGAAAAATCAAAGAAAAATGAAGGACAGGTTCCTATAATTTCATCATTATGAATTACTAACCAACACACTGATTACTAATGAATGTAATTACTAATCCACATAAATATTCAATATTTGTGTTTCTAGATCACCACACACTACACTTTATTTTATTATTATTATTATTATTATCAACAGTAGGAGCTGCTTTTTCTCTAACGTTTGACAGCTTACAAAGTATTCTCCTTTTGAAAACCCCTACAAGCCAACATTCTTATTTTACAGATGAGGAAACTGGTGCTACATGACTGTATCTGGTCACACACCTGGACAGGAATCTAGATATTTTAAATGGAGGACCTTTATTAAACTGTCTTCCTACAATATAGAACAATATGGACCTTTGCTTACTGAAAGTATGGTTAAAAGGCAAGAGAGACTGGTACAAAGGACTATTACAACAACCTTTTGGCTGATTTCCTTTCCTTACATTTCTCCTGGCTCTGGTGTATCTGCCTTTCAAATTGATCTTCCTTCAGACTGATTAAGCTGTTCTGACCGCGTCACACCCTCTACTCAATAAATTCCATGGACTCCCTATTACCTCCAGGATCAAATATAAAATCCCCTGATTGGTGTTCAAAAAGCCCACAATAATCGAGTCCCTTCCTACCTTGCCATTCTTCTCACACTTTCCTCCCCTCCACTTACTCTGCAATCCAGGGACCCTGGCCTCCTGGCTGTTCAGCACATGAGTCTCTCCATCTCTCAACTTCAGGCGTATTCTCTGGCTATTGCCCATGCTTGGGATTCTTTCCCACCTCATCTTCGCCTCCTGGTTTCCTAGCTTCCTTCAAGTCTCAGCTAAAATCTCACCCTGTGGAAGAAGCCCTTCCCTTGAGCCCTTCCCCTCAAGTCCAGTGTTCTCCTTCTGTTCATTATCTCTAATTTATCGGGTGTAAATCTTGTCTATAAGTACTTGTTTGCATGTTGTCTCTCCTTCTTTCTTTGTATCTGGAGCTCTCAGCACACCGCCTAGTACAAATACTTCTCGACTTGAAATGTGCTATACAAAGTACTGAATTTGGAGTCAGAAGTTAGTGCAATGGAAACAAAGTTGGTGTCAGAAGCCCTGTGTTCAGATCTTTCCTTTGAATTTTAGGCAGCTAAATAGTACAGTGGATAGAACTTTGGACCTGAAGTTAGAATGGGCCTGAGTTCAAATCCCCCCTCAGATGCTAACTAGCTATGTGACTATATGACCCTGGGCAAGTCATTTAACCTTTATCTACCACAGCTTCCTACTCTGTAAAATGGGGATAATAATAGCACCTACCTCACAAGGTTGCTGTAAGGATCAAATAAGATATTTGTAAAGTGCCTAGCATAGTGGCTAGCATATAGCAAATGCTTAATAAATGTAAATTCTTTTCCCCTTCCTTCTTACTTCTTCTGTGACTTTGGGCAAGTTTTTAAGTGACCCATCACTCTCTCTGAGCCTCAATTTCCTCATCTGTCAAATCAAATTTTCTTCCTATGTTAATTTTTTTCTTGAAAACACTTCGCATGATGAATGAATGAATGGAAAGCCCTTACTATGTGCCAAGCACTGGACGCATGGATAGAGAAGTGTTATAGGCCTTATTTTCAAGAAGCTTTCATTTCAATAGAGGGAGACAACGTATCCAGCAGAGTTTGGCTGTAGGGCAGGTGGAAAAGCCCAGTGGTTGTAGGGTATAGCAGCAGAGCACATGGTTTCCCACGTATTCTTTGGTATTATTTCCATGAAGAAAACCATACCATTTCTGATGTTAAACAGTGCCACTGACTTCAATGGTGAAAACTGTCTTTTCTGGGCGTTCAAGAGCTGTGGCTGCTTGGGAGAGTGGACTGAGAGGTTGGGGCAGTCCTGTAATATCCACAGAGGCAGGTGCTATGTGAGGTCTCTACATATTTAGAGAGCTTTTCAGTTTCCTGAGGTCAATGCAGCCCCTTTTCCTCTTGTTTAATTTTGGCCCTACTTATCCATTTGTAGTGCCTGTCCTAAATATATACACTAATGAGACAACAGGCATTCCTTAGGCTCTTGGACTTTTTTTTTCAATTAACAAAAGTTTATTTTTTTCTCCATCCTCATAACAAATACCTTATAACAAATCTGTATAGTCAAGAGAAACAAATTACCAAAGTTGTCTATGGTCCTAAAAAAATGTTTCATTCTCCAAGCTGAGTTCATCCCCTCTCCACCAAGAGGTGGGTACAGACGTGCTTCATCTTTATGCCTACTGTCGTGGATCAGAATTGTCAAGTGTTTCAAAGTTGTCTGTCTTTACCATGCTGTTGTTATTATATAAATTGTTCTCTGGTTCTGCTCTCTTTCCTCTGTGTCAATTCATTCAAGTCTTTCATCATTTCTCACAGCAATCATATTCTTTTACATTCGTTGCCATAATGTGTTCAGTCATTCCTGGGGACAAACCCTTCAGAACACTCACCATTCTCTTCCCGGGGGTCTTGGTCTGCAGGGACAATATCATCGGCAAACAGAAGTATCTGAAGGACCTAATGAGCCACAGGGAATCCCTCCTCAATTTGGACTCTATTGTCTCTCCTCCATCACAGTAACAGACGCATTTGGTGAGCATATAGCTCTCTGTTTTTTGCCTCAACTTGTGTTTCTGATCAGAGAGTTAGCAAGTAAGCTTATTTCTTTAAGTCAAATTTGTTGATATCTTTCTCTCATATCACCTAAAATTCGTCTATATCCCTCTCTCTTGCCCTCTCATAGAGTCATCCTATATAGCAAAGCATTTAAAAAGAAAAAAAGAGGAAGAAGAAGAAAAGGCAATTAACAAAACCCATCAATGCATTCAAAAAAATCTGAAAAGATATACAATGTTCCACAGCTATGGATTTCCCACCCATCCTAAATAGTTGGAGAAGATATCTTCTTAAATTCCTTCCTCAGGGCCACGATTGTTCCCAATAGTTTTGTAATATTCATTTTGTTTCTTTTTTAAACTGAATTTTATTGATAGCTTTTGTTTTTATATTGACTAAATTTCCCCATCCCAACCCCACCAAGCCATTCCATATAACAAAGAATATTTTTAAAGAAAAAGAAAAAGGAAAAAGAAAAAAAAAACAATGAACAAAACAGTAAGTGAAGAGAAAGTGACACTATTCAGTTACATACAAGTGGACCCTTCATTTCTGCAAAAAAAAAATTGGGGGAGAGGTCCTCTCATGTCTCTTTGTTGGCATCATGCCTATTCTTTGTATATTTGCAATATTCACTTTTGATTTTTTTTGTATTTGTTCTTTCCACTTACACTGTTGTAGTCATTGTATTGCTTCTTGAGTCTGCTTCCTTAATTCTGCATTAATTTATATAGTGGACATTTCACCATTCATTTTCATCAAATTCACTATTTTTTTGTAGCACAGTAACTTTCTATTACATTCATGCACAACGATTCATTTAGCCATTCCCCAGTTGAGGACTATCTCTTTTGTTTACATTTCTTTGATACCATAAAAATACTCCTATAAATATTTTGATCCATATGGGGATTTTCTTTTTAACAATGAACTCTGTGGAGGTATACACCTATTAGCTGAATTTCTGGGTCAAGAAGTATGGGTATTTTAGTCACTTTCCTTTCATGATTTCAAATTGCTTTTTAAAGATGGTTGTGCTAGTTCACAGCTTCACCAAAAATACATGTATCTATAGCATTTCCAACATTGACCATTCCCATCTTTTGTTCTCTTTGCCAACCTTAGTGTTGTTTTGATTTGCATTTCTTTTATTATTAGTAATTTTATGCATCCTTATCTAGTTGTTAATAGTTTGCAATTCTGTGTCCCATTTGTTCATATTTGACCACTTATCTATTGGGAGAATGGCTTTTGGTCTTGTATATTTCTGTTAGTTGTCTATATTTCTTAGACACCAAACCCATAAAAAAATTGATACAATGAATTTTTCCCTATTTAACAACGTCCAATCTTATCCTAATTATGTTAATTTTGTTCACACAGTTGATTTTCAATTTTATGCAATAAAAATTATGAATAAGGTTGTATTATGACTTCCAAGGAGTCCTGAATGATTTTGATATATGGATGAGATTCATCCATCCCTTGCTGGAAGGAAAGATTTAATGTACTTTTTTGCTCTACTGAATCAAATGCTTTTTTATAATCAACAAATAATAGACACAGAAGCATCTTGTATTTTATATATCTTTCAGTCAGTTATGAGATGGTAAAGATGTGGTACATTGTAGAATATAACAGATTATATAATATAATAGATTAGCTTCTTGTCTCTTCCAATCAAATGTAAAGTCTTTAAGGAAGAGGATATTTCATTCTTTACAAACATAGCATTGAGGACAGTTTTGTCACATACTAGGCACGTAATAAATGATTATCAATTGAATTAATGCATAAATGAGCCTCAGACTTTTTGCATAGATAGAAAAGTGAGTAATTGGGTCATAGTTGATATTTTCTCAGCCTACCCCTACCTTTTTGGTGTTTTATTGTAAGGCAATTAATTTATGTCTTCTACATAAAATCAGTTATGGTCTGTGTCTATACCCCTTTATTATTCCATTTTAATTTTTATTTTGTGATAACTTCTTTGATAGGTCAGGATTTAGTTGTTTCCAAGGCATATTATATCCTATTTCCCCCCCTTCATTTTTATTCTTTCTTCTAGTTTTGTATTAATTTTTTCTTTGCTCTAACAAGTTGGGGGTAGGATTGTACACAGAGAGCTAATTCAGAAATGACTCCCACACCAGTAATGAGTCATTCCTTATCTATTAAAAATATAATCAATTTCATTTGTATGATGTTATTCAAGGCTCATTATATTCATCATCCAATGATTCTCTCTTTCAAGTATTCTTCTATGATCTAGAGGCACAAGCCTTCTCTATAGTCTACAAGTCGTAAGTCCCTTAACATTCTTTTTTCCCTAAAATATATTTTCTAGTAAAATACATGGTCTAGCAAGTTCTACCATGATTGAATGTTTCCCATATAGTTCACACAATATATCAGGATACCTAAGGATGGAAAAAATCATCATCAGTAGACTAGCCTCTTGGCGATACATTCTTTGGCCATGACAACCTAGGAAACAAAGAAAAATACAAAATAGCCTTCAATCTTGTGGGTCCTCCTTTAATTTCTGCAGTGATAGTAGAAGAGTAGCAGAAAAGAGGGGACAGGGTGTTACTAATCATGTAATTTTTAGGTTGTTTATAAACTTGACTTGATGTTCTGAGATCTTTAGCCAATGACCAATGAGTAAGTATACAAGTGGAGCAGAGATTCTTAATTTTTTTGCATCACGAGTATCATGAGTAGTGAAAAACTTTGGACTGTTTCTTAGAATGATATTTTAAATGCATAAAATAAAAAAGATAAGATTACAGAGGAAACCAATATCATTGAAAAATATATGAATTTTTTCCCCATCTAAGTTCGTGAATATCCTGAAATCTATCCATAAACCATTTGGGAGACAAGAGATCCCAGAATAATAAGCTCTGAACTATAAGAACTCAGTCATTTCAATAATTTCACCATAAACAAAACCTGAAGAAAGTTATAGCTAAGTGTTAGGATGACTCACAGGTTCTCCTTAAAGAGGCAACCAAACGTATTGGTGGTATAGTTTTATTGTGTATCCAAAGACAATAAGAAACATCATTTCATGAGCTATTTGGTCATCTCATATTGTAGTGCTTTTCATAAGTATTTCCAAAAAGCCATCATGAAAACAAGTGTAGCATACACCCTGTTGCAGAAGATTAAGAAGTAAAGAAATTCAGTGAAGAATTCAGTGTGAAATTCACTGTGAATTCAGTGTGAATTCAGCTTCAATAGCCCTGTCCCCCAGACATAATTTATATAGTTATTAGGCCTTTTAGAGGAAATAGAATCTTGGAGAAAATGTAATTTAACTGTCATCTAGAGAATTAACTGTCATGACTTGAGAGGAAGCATGTGAGAACTGAGAGAAAGGATTAAGAGAACATCTTTCCTGAGAGACTATATGAGTTAATTGTCAAAAAGAGCCTGAAGAGACATTTCCTGAAAGAACTGAGTTAAAGAAGATAGTAAAGAACTAGTAGTAGAACTAGTAAAGAAGGTATATTGAAGAGACTTCTTGAAAGACTTTGACTGCCATCCTGAGAGAGCTGAATAGTGGGGCTATGTTTTCAGATTTGAGGAGAATTATAGGTGATTGTCAGGGGTGTCTGTGGTGCATTTCTCACTGGAAATATTTAATTATGCATTCATATTGCTGTTATGCTTCTGATAACATGAGTGTTTTTTTAAGCCTACGAGACTAAGGGATTTGAAAGAGAGGAGAGTAGGCTTTTGGAGAGATTTCTCTAGCTTATTTTATAAGCTTAGATAGGAGCTCAAACCTAATTTCTCCTAGAAAGATAGTTTTGTGGAATATAACGTGCTTATTTCCAAATATACACATTAGTTTATGTAGTTACCTGATACTATTTATGTCTTTGGCAGACTCAAGTCTCACTCCATTAATAAAGGCTTCTCTGACTAATCTAACCTCTTCAATTGCTCGTTCAATTCAGTTCAACAAGGATTTAGTAGGTGGTAGGGACAAAAACAGGACAGTAATTCACCTCACAGCATTTAGCTTACATGTTACCAGGGGAATACCACACAGACATACATAAAAATAAATAAAAAGTAACTTGGGTAGGGGAACATTATCAACTCAGAGAGGGAGGGAGGGGAAAAATTATAGCTTGTATAAGGCATCTCAACTGAGCCTTAAAGGGAGCTACAGATTCTAAAAGGCAGAAGTGAAGAGGAAGAGTCAGGAATTGAAGACAACCTGCGAAAATGCACACAGGTGGGAGATGAAGGATAGATATGAAGAATCATGAGGATGTCATTTTGGCCAGTCTAAAGAATGCAGGGAGGAAAGAAGTGAATAATCAGTCTGGAAAGATAGGCTGGAACCACATCATTAAGGGATTTAAATGTCAGACAGTGTTGTTTGTATTTTATCCCAGAGTCAAGAAGAAGAGGTTGAAGCTTCTGGAGGAGGCTAATGACAGGATCAGATTTATGTTTTAGCAATATTAACTTGGCAGCTATGTAGAAAATACACCAGAGGGGGAAAGACTGGAAGTGGGAAAAACCAATTAAGATGCTAATACAACAAACTAAGTGAAAAGTGATTCAGACACGAGCTAGCTTGGTGGCATTTAAGCGGGAAAAGGAGATAGATAAGAGATAATGTGGAAGAAGAATCAACAAGACAAAGCAACAGGTAAGAGAAGGGGAGAGAAAATACAGAGATTTCTGAGCTCTGCAACTAGGGTGGTGGCACCCTCAACAAAAATAGGGAATTTGGATTATTTAAAGGGAAAATTATGGATTCAGTTTTGAACAGGTTGAATTTGAGATGCCAATGGGAAATGCAGGTGGAGATGTGGGACTGGAGCTCAGGAGAGAATTGTGTGCTGGATATATAGATTCGGAAGTTCTCTGTGTGGAGATGATAACTGAATTCCCTTACTCTCTCCCTACCTAATGTCTTCCCTCTGAGATTATCTTGCATTTGCTTTCTATACAACTTGTCTACACATAGTTATTTCATACTGTCTTCCTTCCCTCATTAGAATATGAGCTCTTAGAAAGCAAAAACCATATTTTGTCCTTCTTGCTGTCCCTAGGACTTAGTACAATGCTTGGCACATAAGTACTTGATAATGTTTATTGATGGACTGACGTTACATGTATTTGAACCATCTTTCCAAATTGCCCCCACTGCTCTCTTTTTTAGGGCAGAGACTCCATGAAACTCAAAACCATGGTAACATCTCCTACGACAGCTAAACTCTCTCTCTTCATTGCTTCTCGAATGTTAAATTCTCAGTTGGAGATACACTAGGACCCACCATGCACTCAACCTTGCTAATTAGCTTTGAAGGACTGAGTCTTCATCTTCTCTCTCCCAACACTCCCTAAATGAAAGTTTTTCCTAGGAGCAAAACTGGCCCGACCAGATGCACATAAATATTTACCCACAACTCGCTACATTGATTTACAGCTTTCACAAAGCCATGCACCTTAATCACCCTCTTCTTTTAATCTAGAACTCAATTACTTTTCCCACTTCCATTCATCCAACCAACCAAGCAAGTAATCAATAAGCTTTGATTAAGTAGTGTTTGAAACATGCCAGACACTTTGCTGGGTAGTGGGGCCAAAAATACAAAAATTAAACAGTTCCTGCTCTTCCTGATTTCCCTCAGTATTTTACTGGGCAATACAACCTGTAAGCAGACGTATGTAGGTGGCTATTTGAGGCAGGAATGAGCCTTAACACTTAGAAGCAAATGACCAAGAAAGGCTTCCCATAGATGACCAAATAGGAGCTTGAATGATGAATTCAGGGAATAGGAAGCAGGACAGTTTCCTTGTAGCATGAGGTACCTGAACGAGAGCTGCTGCTCATCCTCCTCCTTTGTTCTTAAAGAGGACTAATGACATCACAAGGGTGATGTATTGGCTTGCAAGTGAATTGGATTTAAGTGAGGCAGAGCTGCACAAAGTTGTCAGCCTCGTTCTTTTCTCCAGAATCATTGGAGTCTGAAGGCAAGATAATTGATGATGGACCATGATCCAATGGATGGCCTTGGTTTTTTTAAATTAAGGTCTTTCCCAGGTCTTAGTTTGTCTGAGGTAACACCCATTCAATTACTAAAGGCTAGGTAAGAGTTGAGTCAAAAGATGGCTTAGTTTACCATCACAAAAGTATTCATCTCAGAGGCGAAGATCCTCAGAGTTTCTGTGGAGAACAGAAAAAAATTGCTACTTATACTCTTCCTAAGCCATCAAAACTAAATGATGAGCAACAGAGGCTTGGGCTAGGGGTTATTATTGTCCATGCTATGAAAGCCTGAGTGATTTGGGTTTAAAGATTAGTCAAGTAGCTCCATTTGAATCACAATGGCTTTTTAAAAACCTGTTTTTTCAGAGCTATATTTCAGGAAATCATAAGTGAAAACTGTGCAGGACAAAAAGTAAATTGTCCCAGCTTTCCTCCAAACTCTAAAATATCTTAAAAATATAAGTGACCAAAAATTATATTCTTAGGGCACCTACATGTAGGGTATGGTGTCTCAAGTGAAGAAAGGGACCTCTTGTAGTGAGGGAAGGAAGAAGGAGGAGGAGGAGAAAGAAGAGGAAGAAGAAGAAGGAGGAGGAGGAGGAAGGAAGGAAAGGGAAAGAAGTAAAAAGAGAGAGAGAGAGTATCATTCTCCAATTTGAATTGGAAGATTGGGTCCCCAGAGGACAGCCACTACTACTCACAGATAACATGGTAAAGACTGTTACTGTAAAACATTCTCCTAAAAACCTGGTTCACTCCTCACAAATACACACAGCATCCATGGGATAAGTAAGCTTATACATAGAACATAATATTAGTGAGACACATGTGTCAGAAATATGTGTGACAGATGTTTAACTCACAGCACCTGCTCTGGAAGTCCTTTTCTCTTTGTAGAGGTTTCATTCAGAATCTGCTGTTGCTATTCGTCCTTCATTCTCAAAGAGGAGCAATGACCTCATGAGGGTGATGAATAGGATTTAAGCGAGGCGGAGCTATGCAGAGTGGGCAGCCTCACTGTCTCTTCCATAGTCATCGGAGTCCAGTGGCAAGACGAAAGTCAAGATGACTGGTGATGGCCCAGCATGAATGAAAGTAATATGAAGAAAGCCTATGAAGGTTAGGCTGAAGCCAGATTGCCAGGGCTTTAAATGCCAAAATGAGAAGTTTGTATTTATCTGAGAGTCAATACGTAGATACTTGGGGTATTTTGACTGGGAAAGTGATTTAGTCAGAATTGTGTTTTGGGTCAGCAGCTGCATGTTAGTATAAAGGGGAAATCTTAGAACCTGGGGCTCCAATTAAGAGGCCATTGAAATAGTCGAGGGGATGGGTGTTTTCTCTCTCCCTCTCCTCACACTAGTATTTCTTCCTGTTCCTTGTCTAGAGTCAATAACTGTTTCATGTCTGAGTTACACTTACTCATCCATGTCTTTTTCACTTACCACCAATGACAGGAAGCATTTGTCCAGGAGCAAATGAAGAACCTGGGCATTCTTCAACATAGGTACGTAACATTTTCCTCTTCAGAGGATAATCATTCTCTTTCCACTACATGATACTAGAGAAACATCATAGAGAAGTTAGATTCAGCACTAAGGGAGCTTCAGGGCTGTCCAGAAGGGATGAAATGGGAGGAAAAGAATTTAGGGTAGTTTTAAGGCAGGGGAAAAGGTATGAGAAACTCTTTAACTCTCTATTGTCTCTAGAATCAATTGCAAACTGCTCTGCTTGGCATTTGAAGCTCTTCATCATCTTGTTCCAACCTGCTTTTTCATTTTTAATATATATGTGTAGGGATATGTACTTATATATGCATATATGTGTATATGTATATATGTATATGTATGTTCCATTCAAGACCTTAGCTCTCTCCATTTGAGAGAGTAGGTCCCCTACTATATCCTGGGCCATCTCCAGTCATCCTGATCTATATCTGACCACTGGACCCAGATGTCTCTGGAGGAAAAAGTGAGGCTGGTGACTTTGCACAGCCCTCCCTCACTTAAATCCAATTCACTTGCATGGCATCACCTCCCTGATGTCACGGTCCTCTTTGAGAACAAAGGACAAACAGCAGCAAGCAATATGTATGTATGCATATGTACGTATATGTATATTTATATGTACGTATACATGTTTATGTGTATATGTGTATGCCTGTGTGTATGCATACATATATATTTTATACATATAAATATATGTGTATGTGTGTGTGTGTGTGTGTGTGTGTGTGTGTATTTAAATCTCCCCTGCCCTTGCAGTCTAGAGTTCAGTTGATCTGGTCTTCTTGCTGCTTCTCACACACGACACAGGCTACATCTTTGGTCTCTCTGGGCCTTTCTGCTGACCATTCCCCATGCATATAATCTACTGCCTGCATTACATGTACTACTCTCTCCTTTAGAATCCTTGGTTTCCTCCAATATCAAGCTTTCCTAATCTCTCTAATGGTTCATGACTTCTCCACATAATTACTTTATATATATTTCACATATATATGCATATACAAATTAAGGTCTCTACTTGTATCTGTAAATGTTGTCTACTCCAATAGAATGTAACCTTCTTGAGGGGCAGGGACTATATCATTATTGTCTCTGGATACCCAGTGCCTAGCATGGTTCCTTACACATAATAGGTACTCAGTAAATGCCTATTGATTGATTGGACCAATTTTGAACTAGGTGATCCCCATGTATAACATGCTATCTCCCACTACTAGGCTTTGCCCATACCTGTAATATGCTGTCTCTTTTATCTCTGCTTCATCAAATACAAAAAGCACCTTAGGGGCCTGATCCCTCCCAGTTATTAACAGCTCTTGACATTATTTTACATTGCTTATATTTTTAATTTAGTTACTTGGAGAGGCAATGTGGCATAAAATACAGAGAATTTCAAAAGAAAACCAATTATTTTGAAAAAATTACCAAAATATAACTTTAAAATGTGATCCCCAAGTTAAGAATCCCTGTCATAGTGGGTTTTCTCCTTCAGATGTGAACTAGACCAGATGACCTCCAAGATCCCTCCCAACACTGATATTGTAGGATTCTGTGATTTAAAGGGCCTGAGAGAAAGATTTTGGGGAGATGGCTGCACACTGAAGGTTGCCTTTCTTTTCTAAGAGCTTTGTTGTGAGTTCTCTTCTGTTTTCTTTTCCCTTTCAGTAAGACTTTCCTTTGTTCATTTTGTTTTTGAGTCATGCTTATGCTTTCAAAGGGTGTCTCAATCAACATACTGGATTGATTCAGTTTCAACTGCCCCAGCTTTTCTGGATAGAGTCTAAGAACCTCAGAGCTGACAAATTGTCTTTTGTGCTGCGATAACTTTTGAACAAGGATTACACTTTGGAGGGTCAACCAGTATTTCACTGAAACAAAGACATACATTTGTCATAATCAAGTCTAATACCAGGCATTAAGGCATATATGAAACTATGGTTCCATGACATTTGATACATGGGAGATGGATGACACAAATGGTTGCTTCATTAGTAGAGAATGAGTACTCTGGAATGAGGATGGACCCAATAAAGTGGTATTGGTTTGGGAAGTATGTGTGGGCCACAGCAAGTGTGCCACTAAAAAGCTTGTACAAAGATCATAGGATAATAAATTTAGCAGTGGAAGAGGCCTTAGAAGCCCTCTAGGCCAGTGCTTTCATTTTGTAGATGAGGAAACAGAGGTCTATAAAGCTGAAGCAACTTACCCAGTATCACATGGGTTGAGTATATCAAATCTATGACCTCTGAATCCAAATCTTGAGTTCTTTCCACTGTTCCTTACACCATTTCCAAGTTGTTGTTGTTTTTTTAATAAGAAAAAGAAAACAAATCTAGAACCTTTGATATGCAATTCATCAGAGCAAAAGACATTCAGGTAATTCCCAGGAGACACCACTCCACTAGGGGAAATTAGATATACATATCAACAGTGCTGACCAGGTAAAACTCTGAATCATTAGATTAATAGGAGAAAATTCCATGGAAAGGTTACAGAGGGATTGTAGCACCACATTGGGCATGTTAGGCCTTGAGATTGTCTCAATGAATATGAATGATGTAATTATTGGGTGGAGACATATCATAAATGTTATTTAATGTGAGAAATGTTTCTGAGGGACTGTTATGTGTTGTGATATCAAGTGATGGAGAAAGTTGATATACTTATTTTACATGCATCATATGTGTTATATATACGTATGTCATATATGTATGACATATCAATATATAGAAAGAATTTAATAGAATGCTGGAAAAATGAGATCTGACAGCTATATGGAGACAACTGAATGAATTTAAATGTTCCTGGGATATTTTTAAAAATTGATCATGCCATAAGACATAAAGAATTTGTGAATAAATATAAATTCTGCAAATTTTAGGCACCAATTTTAGAGTATTCCCTAAATAAATAGTAATCAATGAAAATAATAAAACTCCATAAGAAGTATGATAAAAAGATGCAGGCCTAAGTGAAGATGAAAAAGTTACTTGCTTGAGAATGAATGAAAGTCAAATTAGTCAAAGTACAAATTAAAGAAACAATAAAAAAATTATATCAAGGATAATTACAATAATGATATAACACATTGGGTAGCTAGACAGTGCAGTGGATAGAGTGCCAGGTCCAGAGTCAGGAACACTCATCTTCCTGAATTCAGCTCTGGTCTTACTAGCTGTGTGACCCTGGGCAAGTCACTTAACCCTGTTGGACTCAGTTTCCTCAACCAGAAATAGCAAACCGCTCCAGTGTCTCTGCCAACTAAACCCCAAACGATGCCATGAAGAGTAGGATACAAGTAAAAACAACCACTACAACAAACAGCACATCAAACTTTATGTTACATAACTAAAGCAATTCTCAGAGGCCAATGTATTTCCCTGAACACATATTAAATACAAAAAGACAAGTTTAATAAAGAGATAGTATAGTTTTAAAAATTAGAAGGTAAGCAAATTTGTAAACTCTAAATAAGCATAAATAAAGAGATTGCTAAGGCCCAAGGAGAAATCAAGAGAATTGACAATGAAGAAAAAATGATTGAAACCAAAGAGTCAATTACATTGAGTCAATAAAACGATGGGTTTGAATCATAATCAATGCTTGCCACATACATTTTATTGCTTAGAGACTTAGAATATTCAATATTTAATTTGTCCATGAGGAAATAACACTTTGGCATTTCTAGCTTTCCTGGTTCCTGATTGATTGGCCAATGAGTACCATCAGGTGTTCATTCAATTGACTATTTTAATAAGATTATTCTGCAAACACAAAATGAACACCAACAAAGTTGAGTACAATGTTTGGAACACCAGTTAGGCTTTTCCACAGCCACTCTCAAGGGGCTTGATCAAGCAATGGCATCACTGATCTTAGTCTAATGTGATCTAATGGAAATGATCTTAGCCTGGCCTTGAATCCTGACTGATTTGAAGTTTACTATCTTTTCAGAGATAGATCAGCAGAAGAAGAGGATCACTGCACAAGAATTCTTCCGCTGAAGACTGTCTGAGAGACTGTCAATCTAAATATGAGAATACTCACCTGACAACACTATATGAGCAATCCTGTTGGAAGTATATTTCTTTTTCTTCAATGGCCTTTCCTTATAATAATTATGACTTCTCAACATAAAAATTTCAAAGGCGTCAATGATAACATCATGAAAAAGAAGAGTAGGGAAAATTTTATCTTTCACAATTGTGGAGAAGGAATAAAGTCTTACTAGTTATTTATAGGGAATTATACAAGGTAAAACAAATGAATTTGATCATATAAAAATAAAAATTTTGTAAAAAACAAAGTAATAAAAAAAATAAATTTATTAGAGAAATTATCACATTAAGCACTTTCAAAAACATGACATCTAAAGATTTTTTACAAGGAACTGTTGCAATTCATACAAGTAAGAGTTATTCTGCAATTGTTAAGTGATCAAAGGATATGAGTAGGCATTTCTCTATAGAACAAAACCCTCAACAAATTATGAAGAGACACATGAAAAACTATTCAAAATCTCTAATATTCAAGACATGCAAATTAAAAGAACTCTCCATTTCTACCTGACCTTGGTCAATAGACAAAAATAATAAAAGATGACAAAATGAAATTCTGGTGAGGCCATGGTAAAATAAGTATGCTATTACACTGTTCTCATTGTGAATTAGTCCAACCTTTGGAAAGCAATACGAAAACATATGAATTACAGTAATGTGAATAATCCCACTATTTAGACCAATACTCCGAAGAGATTATTCATAAGAGAAAAGGTCTATCTGTTTAAAAGTATTCCTAGCAACACAGTGGATAATAGTAAAACTGGAAACATATTAAGTGTCCATCAGTTGGGGAATGAATGAACAACTGTAGTTTTTGAAGAGAATTTACTTTTATTGTATTATAAGCAATTATAACTGAGTAATTCAATGAAGTATCAGAAGAATTTGGATTTGAAGTTAGTTACTCAATCAGTCAATAGGCATTTATTAAGTTCTTAAGTACAATGCTAAGTACTGGGAATACAAAGGGTATACTCAAACACTCCAGCGGATGAATGGTCCTATAAATTTGCTCCCTCTAATAAACAGATAAAGGCTTACTCATCCATTGTGGCTCTTGTCTATATCTTCTCACAAATGCACCACAGGGAGAGAATCAATGAGTTAGAGCCTTTCAAATTTTTCCCTGACATTTGGAGTATACCAGTGAAGCATATGGCTTACTACCTATCTTCTCTTGCCCTCCCCACATGAGCAGCCTAGCTTCTCTTCCCATCATGCATATTCCCCTGATGACATATTTTACTCTTGTTCTTCAAAGTTACTCATGGCTTATATATTGCAGATAGCTTATGTCTATCATATCCCTACCCACACCCTTTTCCCCAGTGCTAATAACTTCTCTCTGAGATTACCTTCAATTTATCCTGCACAGAGTATTTGTCCTCCTGGTGTATTCAGGTGTATCAGACTGTGAGCTCCTCAAGGGAAGTGACTATGTTTGCCTTTCTTTGTATCTTTGACATTTAGCACAGTGCCCAGCACATAGCACTTAATAAATGACTATTAACTTGATGACATCGAGTTCTATCATTTCAACCAATGTTGACTTATTAGCTGGTATACACATACTCACAAATACAAACCCATGCACTAGGAGAGATTAAAGGGGCAAAGATTAAACATAAACACATATGTATGTACATCATACCACATAAAAATAATGTGGTGTATATGCAAATAATGATTGCTGAAGATGAAGAGGTAAAGAAATTCTCTGAAGTACTAAGATTCTCAAAATAAATTAGCATCAAATAATTTAGTATCTGATGATTGCCATGCAAGGTGGAAATAGGTAAAGATGGCAAGAAATTTATTGGAAAGTTTCCACTAACTTCTACAAACCTTTTACATATGTTTGAATCTCATCTTAGACTCTTAACTAGCTGTGTGACTTTGGAAGTCACAAAACCTTTTTCAGCCTCAGTTTCTTCATCTGTAAAATGGGGATAATAAGAATACCTACCTCATAGGTTATCATACAGATCAAGTGAGGTAATACATTTAAAGTACTTTACAGACTTTCAAATACCATCTAAATTTTAGTGGCAACATGGCTAGTGGATACAGAACCTTAAAGCCAGGAAGACCTGGTCTGAAGTCTTGCCAATATTTGCCACAGATGGTCAGTGTAACCCAGGACAGATTGTTCACCTTCTTAGACTTTGAAGTTCTTCTATGAAATTATGAAGTGCAGAGAACATGCTGACATATATTGACAGAGGGACTTTTCTTACTTTGGAGTTCCTTGTAATAATGAAATCACAAATCTAGTCCTTATTGCTGTTGGATATTAGATGCAGGGGTATTACATGTGTATCTATCTACATATTATGTGTATGTCTATACACACACATATACCCCAGAAGCAATGGAACAGCATAAGCATCAGAAAACAGCAGACAAAGAACATCTTAGACATCCTGAAAAAGTAACCCTCATGGGGCAGCTAGATGGCGCAGTGGATAGAGCACTGGCCCTGGAGTCAGGATGCCCTGAGTTCCAATCCAGGCTCAGATATGTAACACTTACTAGCTGTGTGACCCTGGACAAGTCACTTAACCCCAATAGCTTCACACACACAAAAAAAGCAACACCTGCCCTCTTGATTTTCTCTTGTTTCTTTCTACTAAGGTTCCAATAACTGCAACAGAAGTAACTATAAAAACTGAAAATATTGAGCCTACCTGGTGCACTAGGCAGGTGGTATATCCCCAGTAGCCATGATGTGTCAATTATTTTAGTCTCAAAAGTGGAGGTATATGCCTTTATTGTCTCTGAAAAGACTAGGTTTTGAAGACCTTAGTGGCAATAACTACTCGTGACAAAGAGAGACCCCTGCGAGTCTGTAATTGGCAAAGGATACTCATTGGCATCAGTGAAGAAGTTGTCACAACTTCCTTGCTGTATTCAGACCCCAGCAATATTTCTGGAACTTCAGTTCTAATTGAGACAGACTCAGACTTCTTAGAGTATGGATGAATACTTCAGATAGCCAGCTTCTGAATTAAAAACTTGACCATCTGGGCCAAGTAGGTAACTTAGTGTATAGAACACCAGCCATGAAATCAGGAGGACCTGAGTTCAAATCCGGCTTCAGGCCAAGCACTTGACACTTACTAGCTGTGTGACCCTGGGCAAGTCACTTAACCACAATTACCTAAAAAAAAAAATAAAAATAAAAACTTGACCATCCAAGCTTCCTGTGTAGATTCTAATCAGAAAAGAAAAAAAAGCAGTACTAACAGCTAATAGGATACATGGAAGTCTTCTTCAGTCCATCCCTTTCAAGTTACTTTTTGATCCTTCAGCTTGGCCCCAGGGAAGTCTCAGCATATAGAGTTTTATTTTTATGGACCTGAAGTGACTCTTATTCTCTGAATTATCAGGTAGATTCTAAGGAGTCTGATTTTGGGAACTTCCCAGTACCCAAGGAATGGAAAGATCATTGGGAGTACTACCATGGAGGAGAGAGATAACAATAGCCAGTATATTAGTATAGTAGTATAGTAATATATAGTATATATAGTCGTATATTATAAAGCAACTTAAGGAGTACAAAGTGGTTTATATTCATTATCTCATTTGATTCTCATAACTACGCTGTGAGGTAGGTGCTATTATTATTTCTATTTTACAGATGAGGAGGCTGAAGCCGAGACCTCTCCGTGACTTTCTCAGAGTCTGACAGTTAGGAGAACTTGAACTCAGGTCTTCCTGATTTGGATTCCAGATCTGTGTTTACTATAGATTCTACTCTCTTGGACCCTACTCTCTATCCACTGTTGCAGCTCTCTATCTGCTATACTGAAAGCTAAGAGCTTTCGATAGAAGCAAACGTAGTCTTGAGTCAGTCCTCTATGCCAGGACTGAACAGGAATGAGGGGCAGTGGATAAGTGTAGAGTGTACATACAAAGTGGCGTACTTACAAGTTGTACCTCTAGACATACATGTTTTTCCTCTAGACAAAATGGAAAGAAATAACTGGAAGAGATTAAGCGTGACTCCAACGAATCTAAATTTGGAATTTATCCATGGAATATTTGGCATCTCCAAATGCTAATCTCCAGGAAGAGGGACCATTTAAAGAGTACAAAGGTAACTGTTACTACCTAGAGCCCACCAAAAATAATCCCAAGAGCCCTCATTTATTATTCTGGACACCTAGTTTGAGAGGAAATCCTAGGTCTGATACAGTTCAAGGTCTGCTGACCTTTCAATGTAGCTAACTTGATAGTAGACATGAGCCGATTCAATATGACTTATTCCTAGTGTGTCAGAGGAAGATACCAGCAATTTGACCTGCTTACTTGAAGCATAAACATTAGAGTTGGTATGCTTATGTTCTTGTTGGAAAGGGAATCAGAAAGGCAGGGGCAGCATGTAGTAGTGATTTGCTCACTTTAACCTATATCCACAGTCCTACCCACTCTGGAGTCAGAAGGTATCCATTGTTGAAAATTTGAAAGGGAATTACATATGATACCTAACCTTCCAAACACTTAGGGACAGCAACCAGTCCTGATAATCCTCAACAGCTGCTGGCCAATGGACCCAAAGACAATTTTTCTGGCACAGATGATACAGGCATTGAAAATTCTGAGGTGAGAAGTCACAGCAGAAGTGTCTTGATTACCCAACTGGGGACTAGGCTAATTTATTAGACTCTGGAGTTAAAAAGACAATATGCCATCTGTGTAGCAAGTAGGTATTTACTAAGAAAGGCAGAATATTGCATTGGATTGGGAGAGAGGAGAGTGGGCAGGGATGAAAAAGATAGAGTAGATATAGGACTGAATGTAAATTTGCATGCACAAATGTTATATACCATCTACTCTATGTGAATGCATTTTATATAATTGTTATATACAGTATCTGGTAGAATTTGCTGGGACTGCAAAGATCTTTAACTGGGTGGGGAGGGAGAATAGTTATTCTATTCCTCCTTTCCTTTCCAGTGCCTGTCACACACACATACTGTCTTGATAAATTCTTTCTTTTTGACTTCACTCATTGACTTTCCTCCACCTTCCAAAGACATAATGTGTACTAAGTAACCACTAGGGGGTATTGTTTCTACAACATTACACAGGGATGATAACAGCCTAGGGAGATTTGAATAACCCCACTTAGCTGCCTCAATGAGATTCTTTGGAATTTAAATGACATGACTGGGATGCTTTTTCAGCTCTTGAACAAGTGAACAGTCTGGTATAGTTGAGAAAGTGTTGGCTTTTGAATCAGAGTGCAGGCATGTGTTGAAATCCTGGCTCTGACATTTGCTGCTTGGATAATTTTGGTCAAGTCACTTAAACTCTCTGAGCCTCAGTTTCCTCATCTGTAAAATAAAGGGCTTATTCTAGATGACCTCTAACACCGCTTATAGCTCTAAAACTGCTCCTAAGATCTACGATCCTATAATATTCACTTGAAGGGAAGACACTTCTCCTGAGTGTCTGAAAAAGCAAAAACAATAGTGTGTAGCCATTGTGTTTGAAGGTGATATTTGGTGCCTGGAATGCCTTTGGAGACTGAGGGTGGTGAAGGCTTGCTTCCAAGATAAGCAATTGTAAGGCCAGAGTCAACAAGAGCAGTAACAAAGAATAGATTGAATTAAGGCAATTCTTTAGTTTTGTACTGTGTTACTAAAGCTACGATGCACAAAGAATTATATCTCCTTCTAGACATAATTTGTCAGGGCAGCTGTCCATCTCTGGTTGGTAATGCACAAGTGGGCAGTTGTTAGAATATATGTCAATGTGGTGTCCAAACATGCGTAAATCCTGCTCCATGTATATGGTCTAGAAATTCCGAAAGCCACCATAAGTGGACATAGTGCCCAATGATGGAGAAAGATTCTCTATATTAAGAAATCTCGGGCTGTGACTAAGAACACCTTCTGAAGATACTTGTTGGTTGTGTGATGCCACTCTGCAGGAGAAACCAGGTGGGCAGCAAGGTCCAAAATTTCTAAATCATGAAGAAAGAGATGACATCTTCAAGGGATCTTGCCTATTCATAACTGTGATCAAGACTATATAAATGTTCGGAAAGCATTGTTCATTAATAGGTGATGTCACTTTTCAAGATACCTGGTGTAAGATCAATGTATTCTTTCAATAAAACTTCCTGTTAGTTGTGTGAACTGTGCGCTTGAAAGGGGAATTGGCATCAGTTCCCTGGGTGGTGTCCAGAGGTGACTTTCCAAGATGTTCAGGGTGATAAAGGAGAATTCTTCCAAAGTGAACTTATCAGCCCTTTCCATGACACAGGTAACTGCTAGACTGGCCATGATGCTTAGGCCAGGGAAGTGTGAGTGAATGAAAATGATTGCATTTGACTTCACATTTATCTTGACCACTACTTCCTTCGTCAAGTAAAACTAGGGGATATAAATGAAAACAACGTTAGACATTTGCAAAGGCAGCTGGACTCAGATTAAAGGCCATAAGTAATATGGTCTTTGTAGGATGGGTGATGAGGCACACTTTCCTCTCAGTGGCGAGAGAGGTAGAGAGCTACGGCAGCAGAACATGGCATGCGCCATCACTGCGTTGGTTGGCTTTCTTCAACTGTTCTTCCTTGTGATGAGGGAGGATTCCATGGTGGGAGCTGATGTGACATCTTTGGTACTTAAAAAGAAATGAAGGGAGCCCATACACCTTTTAAAAAACTTCTTGAGAAGATTTTATTGTGATACATGTGTGGAGATTTTATAGATCCCATATTGTTTGCTTCCTTTCCCTTCCACCTCTTGGCTCTCAGGGTTGGTAATGACCAGAATAAAATGAAAGGACAGACTGGTCAAGGGAGGTATCATGGCACAGCGGAAACAGCACTGGCTTGGAGTCGGGAGATCAAATCTCATCTGACTCTCGCTGCCTCATTTTCCCCCTTTGTAAAATGAAGGGGGTTGTATTAGAAGGCCACTGAGTAACTTTTCAGTTCTAGATCTATGAGCCTGTGATCAGCTCATAGCTCAGTGCTTAGCACGTAGGGGAAGCATAACAAATGCTTATCGACTAACTGATTAACAGTCTTAGTGAGGTTTGGGGGCAGCTCTGAGGAAGAAGGAGGAGCATCAATAAGAAATCACATCATTTGAATCTATATTTGTATTCACAGGTCTACACAGCTGAGGTTGACGGCCTGGAGCTCATGGAAAGGACTCGTCTCATTCATATGATTCCAGGCTGGAGAAATAAAGAGAAAACAAGTCAGGTAAAGTTGTAAATCTGGCATAAGGAATGACAGAGAATCATGCAGTAGTTTAGACATAAACCGGAGGAAAATGGTTTCTTTGTTTAGGGGGAAGAGGTAGGAAGGAATCTATTTATCTGGGGAAACCCAACACTAAGAAAGATAATACAAATTAAATGCTGGGACTTTTGAACTTCCTGAAATATTAACGCGCTTCTTTCTTGCTAACAAAGCATTTGTAAAGCCACTCTTTACCACAGATCCCCCCCTTTTTAGCTTTTTTTTTTTTGAGTTGAATGATCCCTCTGTTGGTTAGACCTTGCTAACAAAAAGGTTTTGACATCCACTGACCTTATTAATATATTAGTATTTTGAGAGATGCAGCTGCTTCGGTAGGATAAAATAAGGAAATCTCTTTTATTTTGTTCACTGTCTAAAGTACTCACCTATATATATCCAGGGGGTAAACCTGAAAGAAAAGCTTTCAGCTTTGATAATATGGCCAAGCCACGACCTGGGTTCAAATCCTGCCTCTGACATTTACTACCATAAACAAGTCACTTCTCTGGGCCTCAGTTTCTTCATCTGTTAAGTGAGTGAGTTGAACTATATGGCTTCTGAGATCCTCCCACCTCTTCATCTTCAAGCCTGTCATCCTAGGAACTCTCAACTACAGGGAAATGTTTCCCTGGGTTTTGGGCTTTGTCTACTTAGCAGAGCGAAGAAGGAATTTCAAAATGATATATGTATACACATGTGCATACGTATACACCACTGGGTATGGTACTGACCCCCAGTTATCCTTAGATTCTCTCCCTGGGTGGGTGCTGGCTTGATCTCCCTACATGCACCCACTGTGATGGGTGGTTTACTGGTTCCCCATAGGTCATCCATATATATGACTACTACTCTAATTTTCAGGAACCTGTGGCTGATTATTCCCACTAACACTGCAACTCCAGCATATTTCCCATTAACAAATCAACCACTCCTACTTAATCTTAATCAAAATATTTACTGAAATTGCCAATAACATTTATATAACATTCTACCCTTAGACCTTAATTTCACTCTCACCAATGTATGTAGTATCTGTCAGGAGAGCAGGCACACATCTTCAGTCCCAGGGTAAGTGAAACACATATACAGAGAATATTTATGACCAGGGCAACTCACGTGTCTGAGATTGTAGACTTCTGGATCCTCTTTCCTAAAATTTCCTCAATTAGGGTAGCTTCTGTATTGAATTGATGGCCATCTACAGTCAGCGTCTCCACTTACTCCCTCTCCCTCTCTTCTTACATGCTACAATCTGGCTTCCAACTTCATCATATGATTTAAATCACCCTCTCCACAGTTACCAATGATCTCTTAATTGCCAAGTCTAATGACCTTTCATCAGTTCTTATCTTTCTTGATTTTTCTCTTGCCTTTGCCTGAAGAATAAGAATCGATCACCCACTTCTGGTAATTCTCTCCTTTCCAGGTCTTTGTGATGCTGTCTCCTGGTTCTTCTCATACTTATCTGACCTCTCCTTTTTAGTCTCCTTTGCTAGACCTTCACCCAGGTAACTCCTGCTATTGGTAGGTGCATCTCAAGGACCTGCCAAGGCCTCTTCTCTTCTCCTTCTATGCTATTTTGCTTGGTGATCTCATCAGCTCCTATGGATTCAATTATCATCGCTATGCAGATAATTCTAATTATCTAATTGTTCCAGCACTAACCTTTCTACTAACCTCCAGTCTCCTATCTCTACTGGCTATCCAATAGATAGCTTAAATTCAACATGGCCCTAACTGAACTCATTATCTTTGCCACCAAATTCTCTTTTCTTCCTAACTTCCTCATTACTGTTAAGAGTACCACTATCCTCCTAATCACTTCAACTTGCAACCTAGGTGTCATCTTCCATTCCTCATTCTCTCTTTCCACCCACCTCCCATATCCGAGCCATTGACAATTCTTGTTGATTCTACCTTTACAACATCTCTATTATATGCCCCTTTCTTTCCTCTGACACTGCCACCACTCTGGTGCAGACCCTCATCACCAGTAGCCTGCTGGGGTGGGGGTGGAGTCTCCTGGTCCCAGGTCTCTCCATACCCCAGCCCATCCTTCACTCAACCGTCCAACTGATCTTTCTAAAATGCACCTACATACACATTCACCCATAGTGGTTCCTTATTACCTCTAGGATCAAATATAAAATCTTCTGTTTCAGCTTCAAAATACTTATTGCCTGGCCCTTTCCTACCTTTTCAGTTTTCTTCTGCCTCATTTTCCCAATGTACTTTGTAATCCTTTGGCACTTGTCTCTTTTCTATTCCTTGTACAAAATACTCCATCTCCTACCTTCCTGCATTTTCACTGGTTGTACCACATCCCTAGAGCACTCTCCATCCTTATCTCTCATTCTTGAGTTCTCTGGCTCCCATCAAGACTCAGCTTAAGTCCTACCTTATTAAAGAAGTTATTCTCAAACCTTCTTAATCTTCATGCCTTTCCATAAAGATTATCTCTAATTTATCATATATATATATATAAAATATATATAATATATATTTATCATCTACATGTGCCTTTCCATAGAGATTATCTCTAATTTATCATATATGTGTATTAAATAAATATGTAACACATATATATGTGTATATATAATATCTATTTATCATTTACATGTGCCTTTCCATAGAGATTATCTCTAATTTATCATATATATGTATTAAATATATATTTAATACATATGTATATACATGACATATCTTATATATATATATATATATATACATATATATATGTATATATATATGTACATATAATGTAATCTTGTTTGTGTTGTTCAGCTGTGACCTACTCTTCATGACCCTGTGGAACATACAACATACCAACACTGTCCAGGGGGTTTTCTTGGCAAAAATATTAGACTGGTTTGCCATTACCTTCTCCAGTGGATTAAGGCAAACAGAGGTTAAGTGACTTGCCCAGGGTCATGCAGCTAGTAAGTGGCTGAGGTCGGATTTGAACTCAGGTCTTCCTGACTCCAAGCCCAACACTATCCACTGAGTCCTCCAGCTGCCTCCATATCTTGTTTGTACCTAGTTGTTTTCATGTTGTCTTTCCCATTTGACTATGAACTCCTTGAAAGCAGGGACACACACACACACACACACACACACACACACACACACACACCCCATACACAATTGCGTTCTTTGTGTTCTCAGCTCCTAGCACGGGGTCCGGCACAGAAATGGTGCTTAGTAAGTGCTTGCTCACTGATACCTATTTAATTGGCAAAGCACACAGCTCCAAATTGTCCTAGTAGGTTAGCTTAGGTAACACCATTGGCAGGTCCAGCCTTCCCTACGTTCAGGGGAAGCATCCTGAGTTGTTTGTCCAAAGTATAGAGCATTTTTCATAGCCCCATCAAGTCTAGAAGTGATGGCTTCAGAGATGTGGCCACTTATGATGTAAATGACCTAACTTCTCCTGGCAGCCCTCAATGACGCAAACAGAAGCAGCTGATTTTAGCCAACGTTCTCAAGGGCAGGATTTGGGGCCCTGCCTCCTGTACTGGGTTACTGTAGTTTCAGTAATGCTGGAGACATTGTAGAACATACAATGAGTGTCTTGCTTTCCCAAATCTAGACAATTTGGAATTTATAAGTTCTATAATCTTTGTTCATCCATTTACCAAATGCTTCTTGAGAATACGTAGGGTGCTTGTGAGGGACACAAAAATGTCCAGGCCCTGATGCCAAAGAGTCAATAAGCTGGCAGGAAATATAATATTATTATACAATATAATACTACATAACAATATTCATGATTGGCTTTATATGATGCTTTACATTCTGAGCTTGTTTCATCCTCACAACTAGCCCAGGAGTTACCTACTCTTTGTTTTAGGATCACCATTTTACAGATGAGGAAACCGTGGATCAGAAAAGCTAAGTGACTTGCCCATGGCACACAGGATTCAAATCCAGGTCCTCCAGATTCCAGGTCCAGCACACTTTCCTCTATACCAAATGCCTCTTGTAAGACATATTTTATTTTATTTTATATTTATTTTCAGTTCCACTTTCTCTCCCTCCTTCCACCCTATCCTTCACCCATTGAGAAGGTAAGAAGTACAATACCCATCATGTAAATGAAACAATGCAAAACATTCTCATAAGACATATGCACAGATGACTTTTAGCCAATGTTATAAGTGCTCGATCTATGGCACAAACACAGGGCTGCAGGCATGAAGAAAAGGAAGGGATTATATCCTGGGGAGATGCAAGAAGGAATCATGAAGGAAAAGGGGGAGTTCCAGGAGAAGGAGGAGGAAGAGGAGGAGAAGAAAGAGAAGGAAGGGAAGGCAGAAGAGAAAGGGAAAGAGGAGAAAGAGGGGGAGGAGGATGAGAGAAAGGACGAGAAGCAAGAAGAGGAGGAGAAGGAGGAGGAAGGGAAAGAAGAGGAAGAGGAGGAGAGAAGGAAGGGAAGGAGGAAGAGAAAGTGAAGGAGGAGAAAGAGGGGAAGGAGAAGCAAGAAGAGGAGGAGAAAGAGAAAGAAGAGGAAGAAGAGGTATTTGAATTGGACATTGAAGGATAGGTAATATTTCCATAGGTGGAGACTGGGGAGTGTGGGGGCTGGGAAGGAAGTCCAGGCAGAGGGGATGCAGAACTCACTGCACCATTCTGCCTTTCCAAAACAGGTTGGATGAGGAGAATCCAGAGGCAGTGAGACAGTTAGGAAGCAGTTTATTATACCCTAAGCATTAGGTGGGTGATAAGGGTCTAATCTAGGGAAGTGTCAACAGAAACAGAAATGAAGAGACAGATTTGAGGAAAAGTGTGAAAAAAACAATTTATAGAACTTGGCAACCAGATGAACAAAGTGAGTTTCGGAGACAGAGAAATCCTGGCTCCCTCTGGCCTTCTGAACCTATGTGTTTCAGGCGCAGGTTACCTGAATTATGACTGAGTAGGTTGTACAGAGTATCTTGCTGAGTTCAATGATGACTTTGATGAGAGCGATGGTCACTTGGAGACCACTGAGTGTTATAAGAATAGAAAATAAAATAATATTCCATTCGACAATATGAGCAGGCTCCAGGCACTGGCTCCATGTGCTAGGATCACTGAGGAAACTGTAACAGAGGAGAAAAGGGGCAAAATGAGACTGATGACTCATTCATTTTTATACCATCTGGAACTATGCAAAGGTAACTGAAAAATTTAAAGCTGTCTTAACATTCAGCAACAGGCATTTCCTAAACCCTTTCTGTATTTATTGCACTGTGCTATCTGGTTCTGGTTGTACAAAAAAAAAATTAGGATAAACTTAGTCTCTCCCCTCAAGGAATTTGCAATCAAAGACTAGAGGGAAACAGGGCCTGGACCCATAATTTCTTTGGTATTAGGAATTCCTGGGTGAGGGAATTCCTTCAACCAGTACAAGCTGGTACCTTCTCTTGAACTTATTACCTCAGAGAGGTGTCTAGAGGTATAATGATTCTCCCAGGCTCACAGAGCTAAGATCTCTCAGAGGTGGGTCTTAAAATAAGGTTTTCTGGACTTCGAAATCAGCTCTTTACCCACCTCTCATGGGATCACTGATTTAGAGCTGGGAAGGGCCTTTAAAGTCATCTAAGCCAGCCTCCTCATTTTATGGATAAGGGCACTGAGGCCCAGAAAGGTTGTGATGGGATTAGAACTCTGGATTGGAATCCTGATTCCAAATCCGGTCTTCTATGCCATACCACACTGCCTCTCCTCTATCTGTGTTCAAGATGATACATGATCAAGCTGGTTTGTCTTCATCCTTTGTTCTTGAAGAGGACCAAAATGACATCACTATGTTGGAGTCAAGGTACAGCGTGTCCTACCATGGCTGATCAGACCCTTATGAGCTCAGAAGGCTCTACCACAGGATTGGAAGAAGCAATGAATTCTCTAGGAGTTCAGAGTAGGGAGAGATCACTGTGGGTTGGAGTGGTTGCAGAGGATATAGGATTGGGGGTGGCCATGTGCAGGAACATAATAAAATGGTCAAAAGAATTTGGCCAAACATTTCCCAACTTGGCCGCGAGTTGCACCATTTCAATTTTACTAATGTTCCTGGGTCTGTGAGATCGTGGTAGAATCAGGATAGGCCAAGAAGTTCTTTCCAAAGAAACAAAATCTAGGGGCAATGGGTAGAGGAGGCACATTTCTGCAGCTGTTAGGAAAAACATCCTAACCTTTCAAAGTTCAAAAGAGGAGTGGCTGCCTTTGTGAGTACTCTATAGCTGGAAGTCTTCAAAGAAAGGCTGAATGATCACTTTTGGGGTATATTTGGGAGTGAGGAGGAGGAATCCTTCTTCAGCTCTGGGTTGACCTCTGAGATCTCTTCCAATATTGTAATTCTACTCTCCGGCTCAGTCAACATAATTGACCATAATCTAACTAAAGGCAGGGACCCAAAAAAAAATCACCTTCCTGCCCCACAGATTCTTAAGATAGTCTTAATCCATTTGACAGACTTTTTGGCTCATTTCTTGTTCTGCCTCAATGTTAAGTGTGGCATTAGGCTTAGTTTTTTGTTTCTTTTTCTTTTTTTTTCAACCCTGTGTTTGCATGATTAAGCATCTCACTGCAAAGATTCCCTTGGCAGACAGATTTAAATTTTCCTCTCTATAAGCCATTTTGCTGGAAAAGGCATTATGTTACCTGATATCCTGTGGAACCAAATTCAGGGCTGAGGATTTTGCACCACTGTAAATATGAAAAGGTCAGGTCCTCAGTTATGAAAGTGTTGTGCTAAATGAAGTACAGGATGAACACCTTCCTTGTCCCGAAGGTGAGAGCCGAGAACAAAGGTGCTGATGGGGGTTGGGGGAACATGGAGACAAAATCAAGGCTCAAGGTGGGGGATCGGAGACAAAGACTGGGAGCGATCACCTGCGAGTTGCTTCAGGTTTCCTTCCCCGCTTCCTCTTTCTTCCATTGGACTGCCTTTCTGGGTCACTGACCAGCTGCCAGCCAGGTGAGGTCTCCCAAAGCAGGAGCCTAGGCTATTGTCTCTACTAGTCCCACTACAGCCTTTCTCCCCTCTTTGCCTAAAGGCGTGATGGTGTGGGAACTTCCTTCAATGAGGCAGTGATTGCAACTGACTGAGTAAATAAAGTAGTCAGTCAATAATTAAGCCCTTACTATTTACCAGGAACTGTGCTACGCAAGACCAAGAGAAAAAAAGGTCCCCGCCCTCTGGGAGATTCTTTTCTAAAGGAATCTAAAGGAAGACACAATATGTAAATAAGGAGATACATTCAAGATAGATACAGAACTGATGGAAAGTAATCTGAGAGGGAGGTTGCTAGCAGCTGGAGTGGGGCTGAGGAACAGGGAGAGAGATCTTTCCAGAAGACAAGATGTCTTATACTTGACCAGCATAACAGAGCTGATTAAGAAGTATCAGAAGAATGCATGTTTTCCTGACTGCCAGCCTACTACTCTATCCACCTTGGAATGCAGCCTCTTGCATTTGTCTGTACCAATGAAGGAAAAGCAATCTGACCCAAACGTGAAAGTACGCAACTAAACTTATATCCTAGCTCCATCACTAACCTATAATTTACATCAGGCTAATATCACCTTGCTCTTACCTTCCTCGGAGAAGCTCCATTCTAGGGCATTGACAAAATGTTTCTCTTATTTTATAGCTTTCTGATAACCTCTAAGCATTGAATAACCATGGTTTCCAATGATTGGGGGGGGGGGAACCTAAATATGTATAGACTCGTCTATGAACAATAAACAGCCCTCTTTATGCTAGAATCTGTTGACAAATGTTACCATTTTGGGGGACCATTTTGTACTTTTCAATTTGTTACAAATTAATTTGCATTGAACAACGAATACTAATAGGAATTATGAACCAGTGGGTAAATGCTAGATGCCTTCCCTGGCTTCCATGAATTGGGAGGTTACATCTTACCTCCCTGCAGTATCTTCAAAGACATATTCCCAGCCATTGAGGGTACGGCAGTATGGTCCTTGCACTAAGCCCAGTGCTGATATCACCAAGCAATATCCGGAGAAAGCAATTCCAAGGACAGAAAAGACAATGGAGAGTAAACTCTAAATTAAATATAGAAGAATTTTAGTGACATTAAACAAGAGAGAAGGTATTTCCAGTGAATTATCATACAGGTACCTCCTTTCTCAATCTAGCCTGAATTTACCTCATTGTGTAAAGTTTCAACAAACAAATGTTCACTCTAAATCTAACTAATCTATAAATCTATAACTAGTAATTTTGAATTCTGGGCAAGTACCAACATCTGTGCCTGGGGAAAGCCACATGAAACTCTTCCTCAATTGAGAAGCTGAGGGGAGTAAAAGTGAAGGGGACAAAGGACTTTATAGCCTGCCATCTTGATAACTTTCCATTTTAATTGTTTTTGCTAACTAAGTGCTGAACTCTGTTGTTTCTAGTTGCTGAGGATTTCAAGTACACCTTCTAAATTTAAAACCCAGGGACAAAGCACCAGTCATCACACCCAAGTTATGATTCTAATGAGTTGCAAAGTCCATTTTAAAGTATCTCTTAGTTTGGCATCATGTAAACCAATCTTGTATGATTGGCCAAATTGTGGTCTAGTGTTATACAGGTCATATGATTAATTTCTGGCATAGACTTTGTGAAGGGATTCATATTAACCATCAACAGTTTAATTAAGCCCTTATTATGTTCAAGGTACTATGCCTTGGGGGAAACATGGAAGTAGAAGACACAGTCTTGTTCTTGAGGGCTTTACATCCAAATTGGAAAGATAAATGCGTCTGACAACCTCAAGTTCCACCTACTATAAGAGACCTTAGCTGATCTTCCCATTTATTAGTTCTCCACCCCAGAAATTACTCTAAATATGTTCTGTTTTCACTTACCCGATCAACAAACATTTAAGTGTATTTCCACAGAGTGTATAGTGGATGATAAACTGGCCTTGAAGTCTGGAGCACATGGATTCAAATCTTGCCTCTGGCTTATACCAGCTGAATGACCCTGGGCAGGTCATTTACCCTCTCAGTGCTTTAGGCAGTTCTCTAAGACCATGTAAGTCACAAAGAAAGTGCTGATCTGCATTGAAAGAGGGAGTTTCCTCACCTAGGACTTTCCCATACCAGTGAAATCAGAAATCAAGTCTGTTTTCCTATCATCACAGCAAAATCTTCCCTTTTTTGCATCACCAGTGTCTAATACATTACCTGGTCCTCAATATATACTTATTTATTGATTGAAATGTATAGTATCAACTCTTAGATGAGCCTGGGAAAAGGGAGGTGATGGAATGGAAATAATTTCCCAGCATACACTTCAGGCTATCCAGTTGTATTCTCTAGTATGAAAAATTGATTTATAGATTTAAATACAAATTTGAATAGATTTCACAAGGATGTGAGGGGAACTTTCCACATGACATGCTTAATAACATTCGTTAAATATGTGGTCATTTACTGTTTGCTCCAAATCTATACTTATTCTCTCTCTTTCTCTCTCTCTCTCTCTCTCTCTCTCTCTCTCTCTCTCTCTCTCTCTCTCTCTCTCTCTCTCTTCTCTTTCTCTCCTTCCTTCCCTGTCTCTGTCTCTCTCCCCCTTCCTTCCTCCCTCTCTCTCCCTCTCCCTCCCCCTTCTCTCCCTTGCTCCCTCTCACTCTTTCTCCTTTTCCCTCCCTTCCCTCCCTTCCCTTCTTTCCTCTCTTTTTCTCCCTCTCTCTCTCCCTCTCCCCCCACCTCTTTCTCTCTCCCTCCCTTCTTCCCTCTCCCTTCTTCCTCTCTCTCCCTTTCTCCCTCTCCCCTCCCCATCTTTCCCCTTCTCTTTTTTAAAAATAGAAACATTTCCTGTGTCTGGTTGTTTACTAATGTTCAATTAAAAAAAAAAAAAGGAAGGACATTCTTTGGATAGAGCCCAGGACTTCGTCAGAAGGCTTGGCTCAGCCATTAGCTTATCACTTGACCTTGGCCAAGTCCATCTCTTTGAGTCTCAGTTTCCTCATCAGAGAAGACTGGATGAGATGATCACTAAGGTCTTTTGCAGCTGTGTAATGTTCTATAATTCCAGATTTATCATATTATCAAAACATGTGGACAGAGTGCAACAAATTCATCCTAGAGCCCAGATTAAGAAAGAATTTATTCTTTTAAAGGATTAGCAAACTTGCCAAGTTATATACAAAAAAAATATTGAATAGGTTTTCCAGAATGGTAGAAATGATACTCAAACTAACTCCCAGAACATTAAGTAGCATATGGTCTGTCTCTACTCAGTTAGCAAATTCAAACAAACAACAATAACAACAGTCAGATACCATTCACTTAGCTAAATGATTTCTGGGAAGGAAATATAATTGTGATTCTTAGGATTCTTCCTAGGAAAGGTGGTAGTAAGATATCTTTTTGGAGTTGGAGATTAGAAAAGTTTCCTCTGTCTCTCAAGTATTCTTTTTTATCTAAGACTAAGCATCTTGGCTAAGATGATAATTGTTTCCCAGGTGCTTCTAGCTGTCATATCTATTCCTAAAAAAGGTCCTTACCCAGGACTAGAGAACAAATAATGATAACGAGATAAAAAAGAGAGAACATCTGATTCTTGTGCAATCCCTAGCTCAAACACCCAAGGTATGGCTCCTTGTTTTTCCTTTCTTCTTTTCTTTCCCTAGCTCTTGGAAGCCTAGCCTAGGTATTTCTACTGTCTCCTCTGCTTCTAGGCCTATATGATAGTTTAACATGGAATATTTGAATTGAAATGCAAGCCCATTTTACAGGTGAAGAAATGGTGTCACAGAGAAGTAACTTGACCAAAGTCACACTGGTAGCAACCAGGGACTTGGGACTTCTGATTACAAATCCAGGGCTTTCCTCCTGTACTGTGCCATCTTTCTCATTGATCCAAGGTTACCAAACTGGCAGGGCTGGAGGATGAAAGTGTAGAGACAGAACTGTAGAGACAAGATGGAAGACAAAGCTTTGGGAGTATATTAAAAATGAAAACACACACACACACATGCACACAGATGTTTAGCATTAGAAGAGACCTCAGCCTGAGAAAGAAGACAAGCAGAAACCCAAACCTATCTAGAAAACAACAATAAATTCTTCTTGTGGCATATGTTTTTTGTTTGGTTTTGATGAAAATCATCAAGCCTTTGCTTTAAGATGTGAAAGAGAGGGAAGCTCCTCCCTCCCAACACAGCTCAGTTCACTTTGGGATTGCTCTGATCATGGGGGAATTTTTCCTCCTGTCATGCTTAGGTGGTGCTGTTTGTCCTTTGTTTTTGAAGAGGACAATGACATCACAGGTGATGACTTGCCCATGAACTGGATTCAAGTGAGGCAGAGCTGCACAAAGTCATCAGCGTCCCCCTCTCTTCCTGAGTCATCCCAAGTCCAGTGGCAGGACAATAGTCAAGAATGGTGGACCCTCCCAAGACCCAGAATGCCATTTCTCCTTTTCATTTTCCTAGTTCTCCCTAGTTCTGTCAAAGAGAACCAGTTTTTTAATCTTCCATCTGACAGACTTTGGGATATTTGAAGAAACCTATCATATAATACCCAGAAATCACTTCTTCTTCAGCCTAAATATTCCCAGCTCCTTCCATCAACCCTCCTATAGCATGGACCCAAGGCTCTTCCTCGTCCTTTGCCCTCATCTGAATGATCAATGTCCTTTCTAAAATACGGGGCACAGGTGTAAACATGATACCACAGATGCAGGCTGACTGGGGCTATCTTCTCATTCTTGGGAGATAAGTTAGCTTTTAGTAGAGCAGAAGATCATGTTAGCCTTTTATTTTAATGCAATTGCTGTTTATTTCTCATAATAAGATATTTACCAAAAAAAATCAACAATAGTTAACTTTTGAATTTTCACAATTATAATTTTTGTTATTGAGGAATAAAAGAATATTGAATCTTTTAAAGACCTTTATCCTGCATACAGCTAGTTTGTACACATTTGTCTGCATGCTGTCTCAATTGGACTGTAATCTTCTTGGGGGTAGGAACTGTCTTTTGCCTCTTTTTATATCTTCAGCGCTTAGCACGGTGCCTGGAACATAATAGGGACTTAATAAATGTTTATCGAATTGAATTAAATTGTATCTCTATCCTTGGGGCCCCAGATCTTTTTGCCATCAACTTTCATTAATGTCAACAGAAATAAGGTTGCTTCACAAGGAGTATAATATGCTTGTAAGCTTTACACCTTAGGTCAGGAAGAAATCAGGTTCGGGCTGGTGTGATTCTACAGACCTGAAAAGGGAGTGGGAAGCTGAAATTCTAGCCTTGTTTCTACCACTCACCCATATTCTACCCATCTGCATTATCTCTCCTGGCTATTGTATTACACCATTAAAAGTCCCAGAACTTTTTCAGACTACTGCTTTCCTCCTTACCACCTATGTGAATGTGGGCAAATCACTTAATATCTCTGGGCCTCAGTCTCCTCATCTGTAAAGTAAGGGAAGCTGGACCTTCTGGTTTCCTTCAAGCCCTAAATCTATGCTCCCATTTGTCCTTTAAATGGAGTGGATCAGGGAGCTCTCTACCCATCTCCCACTTCATTTAGATGAGCATATTTCCCCTCCTGGAGATTAGGAGACGCTCATGGGCCCTTTGTGGATATGCCAGATTGGTTTGCCTGTAGTCATGTCCACCCCCTACGGGGGAGAAGTATTCTCACAGAATTGCCTAGGGAAAAAGAAACAAACTCTCCTATCAAACCCCCTCCCTTTGCATTCTTAAACGGCATTGTTGAAAATTGTGTAACTGAGATTTTGATTCTTTCAAAATATTTAGTTTTTGGCTTTCTGAAATGAATAACTAGTCTTGAAACCAGACTTTGGTTGTTCAGTTATGGAAATTGGAATTTACTAAAGCATTATGTATTGTTACCATCTCAGCGTTCTCTGCAGATACAGCCTAACTGAGGAATAGAACCTAAACCTACTTAAAAGGGGCAACTAGGTGGTGAATTTAGGGTTAGAGTGCTGGGCCTGGAGTCTGCGAGGCCTGAGCTCAAATTCAGCCTCAGATACTTCCTGGCTGTATGACCCTGGGCAAGTCGCTTAACCTTCTTTGCCTCAGTTTCCTCATCTGTACAATGAGATGGAGAGGGAAATGGCAAACCACTCCAGTATCTTTTCCAAGAAAATCCCAAATGGGGTCACGAAGAGCTAGACACAAATGAAACAAGTGGACAGCAACAACAAAGTGTACTTAGCAAGACATCAGACTCCGTCCTTACCACGTATTTTTTGCTGCAGTTCTCACTCTGACAGCATTTATATGGTGTATCCCTCTCCAGTATTAGGAGAGCTGCAGCTACTATAAGCATCTGGAGGAGAGAAGAGGTGAAAGGTTTAAGAATGACACCTTCGCCCCCTGTAGTCATCACATTGCTTATCTTCAAAAGTAACTTTTCCTTAACGACTACTAATGATAACAGGCAGCTAGATAGAGCAGTGGATAGAGCAGATAGAGCGCTGGGCCTGGAGTCAGGAAGACTCATCTTCTTGAGTTCAAATCTGACCTCAGACACTTAGCTGTGTGACCCGAGCAAGTCTCTTAACTCTGTTGGCCTCAGTTTCCTCATTTGTAAAATGAGCTGGAGAAGGAACTGGCAAACCATTCCAGTATCTTTGCCAAGAAAATACCAAATGGAGTCAGGAAGAGTCTGACATGACTGAAAAATGACTGAATGACGATAAAAGAAGAGGAAATGGCCATTGACTAACTGACTAGTGAGAGAGTGGGGATTTAGCAGCAGGCTAGTTTCTCCCCATTTTCTCCCTGACTCAGTCTGGGTATGCGGGGAAAATGATTCACCTGAAGTTTTGCTTTTGTTTGCCAGGCTCTCTCCTTCAATATATTAACATCTAGGTACTCTGAGACTCAGGCTGTATCTATAATTCAAGAAATAAAGTGAAGTGGGTTCTCTGAATTATCCAGATTGCTTATCTACAGAAATCAAATAAACCAATGAATTCAGTTTATTCCATGTAACATTCTTGGTCTGTAGACACAAGGCTTAATCTCTGAAAAGAACTTTGATTTGTTTAGCACTCCAAGCCCCTGATTTGTGTCTCAAAGTATTGGGATTGTAATTCTGAAAGAATTCTTCACTGAAATATTAAGTTCATGCAGGAAACATAAGCTGAGTTGACTTCCACTTTTCTAGGTTAGTAACCAGAATTTCAAGAGTTTACCATCTAAAGAGATAGCATGGCATAGAAAGCTGGCTGTGGAGACCCGTTCTGTCTCGAACACATACTATTCCTGTGGCTTTGGGCAAATCTCTTGCCCTCTCAGTGCCCAAGGCAACCCTGAGATGACAAAGTTGCAGAAATGTTACTGGTCTGAATTTGTGGAAGGGGTTTCCTCGTTTGAGAGTTCCCTAGACTACTGGAAGGACAAGTAGAGTCTCTACCCCTAGTCTTGGCTATCTAAACTCCAGCTGCATTAATCCATTTAATGATTTTAAGTATTTTCAGAGGCTCCCAGGTGGTATAATCCCTGTGACAGATCCTTTGGCAAATACAAGAAGTAATGGTTTTGTGAACTGTCCATGAGAACACCCTTTACTAGGGTAGATCACAAGCCATCTCTGACTGAGGAGACAGGTCCTAGGAACTTACCTGAACCATGCGCAGTTGAAGTCACCCTTGCTTGGCATCACAGAACTAGTTTCTGAGGTGGGATTTGAAACCAGAGCTTACTTACTCTAAGCTCAGCATGCTTCTCTACTGCTCCAGCCTGCTCCTGACATAGCTGTCCCAAGTTTATACTTTATACAAGATAACAGCAATTGATTCCCACCCCTTTTCCCAGAACCATTTTTTTAAAAAGGAAGTTAGTTACGTTGCATTTTAATTCTCTTTAAGATTTCAAATGCTTCTATTTTCAGGACTTAGACCTTAAAGCAAAACTTTTTTTGTTCTTTCCTCATAACGGGGATCCTGGTTACTGGCTTTATCTGTTGCTTTTCTGCTATCTAAACTCAGTTATATTTTGCTATATAGCCCTGTCCTCTGGGTCCACACATTTGGTGAGATAGACCGATGTTTCTTCTGTAATTTATCTGTTTTACTAGAAAATGACACATTTTCTAGGCAAACTATTTAAGTAATTTCTCTATCCTACCCTCTGGCAAGTATATTTAATTAAAAAAAAATCTGACCTTAACAAACACCAACTAAAACAAGCACTACCATATACACAGTAGATCAGACAATGGATTGCATGGAGAATTTGAGCCTCTATTAAGTATAACTTGCTTTTTTCTTTAAATAATCAAATGAAAATTCAGCATGTAATTTTTAAAACCACGTAGCTTGTCTGAGACACTTTATAGACTTCTGCTGTCAACTGTGCATTAAAAAATGATTTAATGACCCTCTTTCTTTCTTTTTTAAATTTTATAACCCCAATGCTAGCTCTCTTCTTCCTCCCAAACAAAAAAAAAAAAGAAAAAAATTAAAAAGAAAACAACTCTGAAGGCATATTTATGTTAAATTCTCTTCTAGATAAATGCATTATTGGAAGGTTTCAAGGTAGGACATATGTGTTGGTAGAAATGTTACATGGTCAAGGGTAACATCTGAGAGACGTTCTTTTAATTAGAGATGACAATAGAAAGTTATGTGATGGATTTGGAGTCAGAGGACTTGAGTTCAAATCTCAGCTCTCCAGTGGTATGACCTCTCTGAGGCTCTGTTTCCTCATCTTTAAAATTAGAGGGGTTGTATTACATGGCCACTGAGGTCCCTTCCTGGACTATGAACCACTGGTGCTATGTACCATCTCTGACCGAGTTTTAGGGCAGAGTTACCAAATATTTAGGGCAGATTTACCAAATGGTCACATATTAATTATTAACTAATTCTTTGACTTAAAATCAAAAGAATTCATCCTGCCAGACTGCTCAGAGAAGCTCCAGTGGGTCTTCTCACTAACAGAGATGCAAAAAAAAGAAAATAATGGTGGTTTAGGACATGAAATCTGCCCTCAAGGAGAGTAATTTATCTAGACGGCCAGTACCCTAAAACAAACAAGCAAACAAAAAATGAAAAATTAACTTAGGTTACCAAGGACTTTCTAGTCCTGTGAGCCAAATTTTCTCCTAACTTCATCATACTTAAATCCCTTGTATGGGCGACACTACAAACAGTTGCTTGACCAATCTTGGCCTTGGCCCCCACTGTATTATTATAGCCTCTTCATTTCTCACTTTTACTTCAGAATAAGACATTTTCCTGACAAGTCCAAATCTCCCAAACACGACTTACCATGATGCCTGAGAAACAGATCCCTTCAAAATACCACACATAATTGCTGAGTTTGTGACTGGATGCATACGATGTCTGTCCATTTGGGAAATATAGTAAGATATTAACAATAATGCTCCAAAGTGCAAGGGGAATTAGCAGGCAACTGAGGCAGCCACTGCATCTCCGAGCCCCCATCCTGGTGTGGGCAATGCGGCGTGTAGTCTGTAGAACCTGGGAGTGTCAAGAAGGACTTGAAGGTTTCTTTCCTCTTCTTTCTTTCTTTCTTTCTTTCTTTCTTTCTTTCTTTCTTTCTTTCTTTCTTTCTTTCTACCTGTGACTTTCTTTTCTGGGTCAGACTTTCACTTCATATTCATGAGGAGCTGGTTGCTTAGTTATAACTCCAGCCAAACATTTTCAGTGTTAAATAATAGTTTACTGTTCAGGGAACAATAGACAATAATCACTGGCTGAAGAGCCTGACTTGTCTTCATCCTGTGCCAGAAGTAATGAGGTGTGTTGTGTGGTGGGTTGTCTTTTTTTTTTCTTTCTGGATTTTATGTGTCATTTTCCTCTAGATTAAAGACCTCCTGCCTTAACCCTGAGTGAGTTTTAAGAAGGAAGTGTGTAGAAAGGAAAGTGAAGCCAGGCAGCTTTCATCCGACTGTCAGAAGCAGGAGGTTTAGTGAAAACAGGATGATCTGATAGTCAACAGAACCAAGTCCTAAGAGCACTGTGAATTCCCACAGCTTGACTTTGTGCCTACATTAGGTACCCATCTTCCTTCCCTGGAGTTCGTATGTATGTATGCATATATATATATATACACACATATACATATATACACACATCTGTGTTTGCATATATATATATATATACATACACACACACACATACATATCTTACAGAGAGAGGGAGAAGGGGGGGAAAAGAGACAGAGAGAGACAGAGAAAGAGAGTGAGACAGAGAGGGGGGCAATGTGTTATAGTGGATACAGAGGTGTCTTCAGAGTTATGAAAGTATGAGTACAAGTTTTCTGCAGTGCTCCAGGCACAGATCTGGTCCATCTCTCTCTACCTATCCATCCATCTATCTATCCATCTAACTATCTGTCTGTCCATTCATCTATCTGTCTCCCTGACTGCCTGTCTGTCTATCGATCTAACAGCCCATCTATCTATCTATCTATCTATCTATCTATCTATCTATCTATCTATCTATCTATCTATCTATGTCTTCCTGCCTGTCTATCTATTTATCTACCTAGCTAGCTAGCTAGCTACACACACATACACACATACTTAATCTTCAGTATGTCCCTATGAAATAAGAACAAGCAGGAATTCATGCACCACCTTAATTAGCTTGAAGTGGAGGCAGGAAGAAATGAAATGACCTACTAGCTTAAGGAGGCAGCTAGGTGATGCAGAAAATAGAGTGCTGAACTTGGAGTCAGGATGACTTGAGTTCAAATACTATCTTAGACTCTTACTAGCGAGTAGGCTCTGGCCTCAGTTTTCTTGAGTGTAAAATGGAAATAATAATAACACACAGTTTACAGGGTTGCTGTGAGAATTAAATGTGATAACATTTCTAAAGCACTCTGTGGACCTTCAGAAGTCATCTAGCTATTATTGACTTGGCCAATGTTATCTAGTGATGAGAGGAAGATAGAGGCAAGGAACTGCAGGACCATGGTAAGATGGAGAGACAACCTGCCTTTGGGAATCAGAGTGTCTAGACTCAAGACTCTTCCTCTGATGCTTGTTATCTGTGTGTCCTTGGGCAATTCACTGACCTTCCCTGGGCCCCATTTTCCTAATCTGTACAAATAAAGGGGTGGAAACAGGACAGCCTCTGATAACCCATCAGCATTAAATCAATGACCCCCTAATTTCACTCCCAGGCTACTGTGATGCTGTTTACCCCACACAGAATCCTTCTAATCCAACCCAGGTCTGGTCAGGTACAACATCACAACAAAGCTTCATTCCACTGGTTCAGAGGACTTTCTTCCTTCAGCCCTATTCAGTGGGGGCCTCTTAAGCAGAGCCCCTACCAAAAAGGACTTGGGTTTCTGAGTTTTTTCTGACCCTATTGGTCCCAAATAAACCCACAATCCTTCATTAGGCCTTCTTAAGAATTTTTACTGCTAGTAACTATGGAAACAGACAAGGATTGAAAACCACACATCAGAAGGGAAAGTTGCTAAGGTAAAGACATTCTAACAGCCAATCATTGCTTTTAATGAAGTATAAACACAGCTCAGCCTGAACTGTCTTAGCCCATTTCCGTTTTGTCTCAGGGGTCAACTTCACTCTAACTTTCTCTCTTTCAGCTTCCAGGGATAGACTTCATGCCTCCTCCCTGTCTTCCCCATCAGGGAACATAATGAAGCTTCTTCCTTTTTCACTCTATGCTTTAGTCTCCAAGAATGGATCCCAGGGTAGAAAAATAGTTACCAAAAAGTACCTCCCTGGGCCTTCATTTATGTCTCAGAGGATGCTTTCAGCTCTCCATCTCAATTTCTTCCAATTTATAGTAACAAAGTCAGCCACTTCTTCACATAAAAGTGGAGTGAATGATGTCTAAGAAAAATATGTACACATCTTTAAAATATATATTTATTTATTTATGTTGTTAAATATTTCCCAATTACATGTAAAAAATTAACATTCATTTTAAAAAATTTTGAATTCCAAATTCTGTCACTCCTTTTCATCTGTCCCAATTCCCCGAGAAGGCAAGTAATATGACATCAATTATGCATATGAAGTCTTGCAAAACATACTTCCATATTGACCATGTAGCAAAAGAAAACATACACCCATGGACACAAAACAAGAAAAACTAAGAAAGTAAAGAAGTCTGCTTCAATCTGCACTCAGAGATCGTCAGTCCTCTCTGGAGGTGGGTAGTGTTTTTGAAATTGTCTGGAATCGTATTGATCACAGTAGCTAAGCCTTTTACAGGCTTATTATGTACATACCTTTCAAGGGCAGTTGTTTAATGTTGTCATGGCTGAAATCATAAAAGCATAGATACCAGAAGTAATAGGAGAATGTTTGTTTCCTTCTCTTCTCTAAAAATCTCAATCCTGCTTTCTGACTTCTTGTATCTCTGACCCAAACTTCTCACTAGATGGAACAGAAATGGGCAACCTGAGAATATAAATTACGCGAGAGTTGAACCTTCTGTTTGACAAGGATTACTGGAAAAACAAAAAAAGTAACTTGGCAGAAATTAAACTCAGAGCCACATTTTATATCTTGTACTACAATAAGCCCATATTGATATTCAACCCCAATATTAGATCACACCACAAAAAATGGAGAAGAAACGTGAAACATTCTGAAATATGATGCTGTACCATGCTTTCTACTTCTAAAGTACTTACCCAGACTGTGGCACAGCTTTAATACATATATAAAAGGCTTAGGGGTTCAGAGGTGTCCTGGGATCAAATCATACTCACCTACATTTATGTTAAAAAAAAAAACAATAAAAATGCTTTATCTTTATGTGACAGATTTTCACTTCGTAAAGTGTTGTCCCATACATTAATTACCCCAGGTGACTTTCCTCTCCCAAAAACTCTACGAGTTCTGTAGAATGGATATTTGGTCATAGGACTACAGATTTAAAGCTAGAGGCCATCAGAGGCCACCAATCTAACTGTTGAATGTTCTTTTCAATGTCTTAGATGAAGACATAGATGACATGCTCATCGCATTTTCAGATAACATAACTGGAAGGAACAGCTAACACAACGGATGATAGACTCAGGCTCCATAAAGATCCTGATAGGCTTAAGTATTGAGCTGACTCAAGGTGAAATTCGATAGGGACAAACTTAAAGTCTTGTACTTGGGTACAAAAAATCAATTCCACAAATTTAAGGTGGAGGAGGCATGGATAGATATCAGTTGTTCTGAAGAGAATCTGTGTATGTTAGTGGACTGCAGGCTCAATATGAGTCAGCAGCAGCATGATGGGACAGCCAAAAAAGCTAACACCACATTGGGCTGCCTCTAAGAGTGGCAAAGCCTCCAAGAATGAACAGGTCATAGTCCCAGTGTACTCTGTCCTCATCTGGAGTAGGATATTCAGTTCTGAGGTGACCCAGGACGTTGGTAGGTTGAAGAACGTCCAGAGGTGGGCAACCAGAATGATGACTTTCTTTCAGTCTCTGTTATGTGAGGGTCGGATAATGGAGCTGGGCTTATTTAGTCTGGGAAAGAGAAGATGGGAGGGGAAGCCTGGGTTCTAGGTCCCTCTCTTCCCCCTACTTAGCGATGTAGCCTTGGGTCTATATCTTAGCTTCTCTGAAGGAGGAAGGTCTCTAAAGTCCGTTCTAGCTCTGAAACATTCTATCCTGTTCCTTCTACTGCAACACAGGCCTAAATGTCAAAATTTGCTCAAGGTATGATTGTCATAATATTTTTGATGAGGAGTTCCTATTTTATCCATGAAAAAAAATAAGGACAGACATGCTGGATTGACTCACCTGGTTCAACAGTGGTAAAATGGAGGATAGGACCCAATGCTTGTATTACCATTACCAATACCTTGTATTTCCATTACACACACATGCACACTGCAGCCAGCTAATGGCACAGTGGATATAGTGTTGGGCCTGGAATCAGGAAGACCTGAGCTCAAATCTGACCTCAGACACTTACTAGCTGTGTGACCTTGGGCAAATCACTTAACCTCTGTTTGCCTGAGTTTCCCCACCTGTAAAATGGGGATAATAATAGCACCACTTCCCAAATGATCAAATGAGATAAATAATTATAAAAATGTATAAAAAGTATAAAGAAAGTAATTATAAATCACATAGTAAGCAATATATAAATGTTAGCTATTATTATTATTATCTCCCATTTCCCAGGACTATTCTGAAAGCAAAATTAGATGGAAAATGCTTTGATAACTCAAAGGTTGGAATTATTATGCACAAAATTAAAAAAATTATACTTTATTTAAACAATCATTTTTTAAAATACTGAGGTCCAAATTCTCTCCCTCCCTTCAGTCCCTCCCCCACTGATTTGAGAAGTCAAGCAAAAAAATAAGGTAAGTGAAAAAAGTATATGCATGGTAATTTAAAAACAACAACATCAAACCTGTTTTAGAGTTCACAGCATCACAGACCCAGAACTGGAAGGGATCGAGGATTTTGAGCTGGAAGGAGCATTGAAGGTCATTGAGTGCAACCTTGTTTTATGGATGGAGAAACTGAAGCCTAGAGAAGGTAGGTGACTTACTTGAGATAAGTGGTAGAAATGGGATTTGAACTCAGATCCTTGAACACCAAATTCTGCATTTATTTTACTATACTATACACTCCTTAGAAGAGGGCAGCTAGGTGGCACAGTGGATAGAGTGCAAGGCCTGGAGTCAGGAAGACCTAAGTTCAGATCTGGCCTCAGATGCTTACTAAGCTTTGTGACCTTGGGCAAATCACTTAACTGTTTCTGCCTCAGTTTCCTCATCTGTAAAATAAGCTGTAGAAAGAAGTGGCAAACCACTCCAACAAAATCCCAGATGGGATCACAAAGAGTCAGACACAACTGAAAATGATTATATGCCACACTCCTTAGAGGCCATGCTGATTAATTGTAGGGTCAAAGGT